GCAGCAAGACAGTTCCCATTCATCTCATAAAGCCGCTGCCCTCGCAGCCGCTGCCATAACGAGGGACGCCAGCACGTTGCCAGATATTGGCGAGACTGAGGAACAGCGGAAGGAGAGAGTTCGGCAACAGGCTATCATGGACGCGCTTGATGACGATAGAGTTGTCGACGAAGTTACCCTTCGTGCAGCCATCACCGCTCGTCAGAAGCGCTCAGAGGAGGATCACGAGTACCTCATGAGCTTGAAGAATAGCTCGAATGGAAGGTCCGAGACTAATGAACTCTCTCCTGCGCTACGTCGTTGGAGTGTTGACGATGGACGGGAGTATCCTATACTCACTGAGCGTGCAGCAGCCATTGCAAAATGGATCATCGAGGCGCCGCCGGTCAGCCTCGGGACTGCGAAACGCAAGAAGAAGACCGCCTCGAAGAAGGGCAAGGAGGCGCTCAATGAAGAGGCTGGTGTCAATGGCTTGGCCAACCTAGCGATCAATGAGACCAGTCGGACGATTGATACTGCCGCTTAGGATCATGGTTTCTTGCATGATGGACGACTTGGATGGCATGGGACCAAGCGACTTAGGGTATATTCACTGTATCCCATATCAATAGCAAGTTGTCCTCAGCGACATTCAGCATCAAAGTGCGATCAATTATCATGGTTTACTCCAATATGTCGAATGACCCAATGTGTTCGCGTATTGCCCGGGAGGTACAGTCAGGGGCCATGTGGGCATACATGGTTCTTGGGTCCGTCTTGCATCGTTGCTATCATTGACATTACCAGTTATCTTCAATATCTTTCTCTCAGCATGTTACATTATCATCGGCTTCCCTTTTCAACATAATCTAAAACTCAGATGTTGGGGAGGCTGATATTGAAGTCAGAGTCTCGGTAGGATATGACCATACAGTGACACCAGCTTTAGGCATTCATGCAGATCAAATCGCGGATACCTTCTCAAGGCTGAGGTATGCTGGGGCTTTCCACTCAATGCAGAAGATACAGAGCTCCAAGCGAAGCCATCAAGACGGCAATTCCCTACATATTAGACACGCATAGCTTATGTGCTTCAACTTTTGCTCCTCCACCACGAAGTACGACTCGCAGAAAGGCATCCAGACGTACTGGAATGTAGCGCGTCTTCGAACCCAGAGGTATCGAACGTATCCTTTTTTGTTTGTCTACTTTATGTATAGGTAGGCTTGGAGGCTTAAGTGAGGTGATTATATTGTCTGGAAAGTTGTCGGGTCCATCCTGAGTCGGGACGTACTTTCAAAGGGAGAGACTCGTCGTCGTTTGGATTTTTGCATGAGAATTCGGGATAGGGGGTCCGTTGACGAATGACCGAGGGGGCTTCGTAGAAGCGTCTAGTAACATTGACCTGCTCAAGTTTAGTAGGACGATTTGAAAGATGGTAGGAAAGGAGATCGTTCCAAGCAGAAAGGAGACAAGAACCAGTTGCGCCGAGGAGTAACTCAAATGCTGAGAAGAACGGCGCGAGTCCAGCTCTCTCAAACTGGTCACACGAACATTCGCAAAGCCATAGTAGCTCAGCTTCTTCCTAATAGGTTGACTACGTGAAAAGAAGAAGCCTTGGTCGAGCCAACCACACCCTCCCTCCCGTCATGCGACCAGAGTTGGTGTGCAATCGGTGCCGAAGTCCGAGAACGATGCTGGGGTCCGGCCTACGAGGTAGGTTTCCGGAGGCACGTAGGGTCAGTAAGGTAGCCTTGGGTTTAGACCGCCGTCCCGTCCTCTCGGTAAGCTAATGGAATCACATAACACGACGATCGAGAGTCATTCTCAGCTACTCCTGGCCAAACACTTCCTGCTCTCGGCATCCTATCATACCCTTCATCTCCGCATCCGTCTGGTACGAACGGCAACCATGCCACAGACACGCAGCATGCGTCAGCTTCACTAGTCTCTTTTGTGAGAAATGTGTAGGAATATAGGACCAGATCTCGGACTCATCGACGAAAAGAGGCTTCACTGACACATCCCTCTCGTCAAGTTGTCACCTCCTTCTCGACAAACTACCTATTCGTACATATCCTAGTCCAGCCTAGACTAGACAGCCCCCCGGCCTCCCCAGCAGTCCTCTCAGGTGGTACCCGCAGCACCCTGGCGAGAACGGCCGCCCGCGGCAACGCCTTCGGTGTTTAGCGTGGGCGTGCGCGCATCGAACGCGCCAACAAGATCCTTTCTCACAGCTGTCGTGGACTTTGAGATCCTTGTGGAGGAGCAAGAGGCGGCGGCGCGGCGTCGTCGCTGCCCCCCTTCCCATCCCATCTGGAGCCGTCTGGGGAATGTTTATTTCTTCCATCAATCATGTTCGCGGGGAGAGCGGGTCCCCCGTCCCCTTAGGCCTCGTTTGACGGGTTGGAATAGATCATGGCTTACTCTTAGCTGAAATATCCCATAGTGTGGTTTGGGGACTCCGGATTTTCCAGTGGTTCGATTTTTATTTCTCTACTTTTTCGTCCTTTTGACTCCGGATTGCGGCACGGTGTTTTCTGGGGTCCGGGGGAGATGAAGCGGAGAGAGACCTGGAGTCACGATGGCAGTTGGTGCTAGTGCCAAGATGGGGATGGGTTGATTTCTTGAACAATTTCCTGGAGAGTTCGAATCTGTGCCGATGGGATAGAGGGTTTTTTCCCCCCAACTTTCAAGAGATGTCATGGGTGCTCACTGTTACGCAGCACAGGTGATCTTGGCCTTGCATTACTCGCCACGTTTCTTGGGTCCCAGGCTCTTGGGATTGAGCTAGCGGCAGGTTGCCGTTGGCGTAACTGGACCGAAAGTCTGAGTTCATGAGAAACTGTCATCAGCAGCCAGTAGAGCAGAATATGGCCGAGGGAGTTGAGATGCTCGGCTCAACATTGGTGTTTTCTTGGCGGCGCCGGGTGGCTTGCAGTGCCAACGCGGGAATCGCGGAATGGCCAGGCTTGGCTGTCTGATGGTCTCTTGGATAATCGCCGAAGGAGGGCAGGATTCTATAAGTGTGTGCTGCCATTCTTCTTGGCTTGCGCTGGCTGAAGCTTGTGTTGTCTCCTTCTGAGCCTCTTAACTTTCACCTCTGCTTTGGTATCTTGAGATGCCTTAAATGGCACTGACTAATCTCAGGGATAGAGTTCTGGTCACTCATATGGCGAGTCAAGGAAACAGTGAAATGGCGCCGGAGCAGCCCTCATGTCATTTACGCTGGAGATTAAGCGGAACGACTCCGGCGTCTCATGCGCGGAAGACTGCAAGCCTGGGCCAATTTTCTTTTTTGCCTCCTGCGCATGTAGGGAACGGCTGCAGAAAGAACTGGGTCACTCTCTCAAGATAAACTTGACCCAGGGCCGGGATGTTGTGACAACAGGCTTTAGCGTAACAGAACACATTGCCCTTCACATGCGAACCTCTCATAGGCAGAATTTCAGGAGGAAGCTCGAACGCGCTTGACATGGGGGCGGTAATTTGCGGCGCGGTCGCCCGCGCGCGCAAGATTCAAGAGCCGACCGGATTCAGTTCAGCATTGCATGCGCCAGTTGAGTTGTCTCATCGGTGGGATCTCGTTATGGACGGTAGTTCTCAATATGAGATATACACTACCGAGAAGAAGTGTTGAAAACAACTGACCGACACAGTCTGAGAGAGAAACACTGAGCCGGCCCCACGGATAGGCGTGTCCAGATACGGGACTCGGCAATCCGACGACGGACGTTGACGGCCATGTGCAGCGCCAAGGGCCATCATCGACAACGAAGCCCACTTGCCTACGCAGTAGACATTTGAAGCGAGAAGCGCACGCGTCAAGGACGTGCGATAAGGCGGGCTTGGCTGTCAGTCAGTCGCATAAGTCACTCTCCTCCTTCTCGAACTCGAAAGTAGCTCCGCCTGCAAACTGCACAAACAAGTCTCACGGCCCACGGGGGGAAACGGGGAACGTGTGGATTCGTTCGAGTCGAGTCGAGGAGAAGGGAAAACAAGCGTTTGCCCAGACCAGCCTCCACGCGGTGGTTGAAATTGTGTCCTTAGGAACTGAGGGAGGGCGTATCCGTACGTGAAGCCGATTCCCCAGGCGAAATTACCATTGGTGGAATTTTCAAAGTTGGGGGTTTCTCCGCAGGTTCAGACGCCCCCCCTTCTCCATGGGCTAGCCGGCTGGCTAGCTTTCTCCTTTGGCCCTTTCGCGGAGACAAGAGTCGAGCAAGGATTGTTGAAAAGGTTGGGGGTCTCTGGGGAAGAGAGGCGGACACGGCGGGCCACACGCGGCGCGGCGCCAAGAGATTCGTTCTGTCGCCGCATTCCTTGGGTTGTCTTGTCTTTGGACGACATAGTTGATGAGAGAGGGAATTGACACAGAGAGAGGCTTTGAAAAGCAACGGAAGAGAGTGTTTGGAGATATCACATTTGACAGTGTCTTCGGCCCTTTACCTGGCGGTTATGACAGACTCAAAGCAAGGGAACTTAACCTACATGTACCTGCGGATAGTCATATGCAACAAGACAGAAACCCGGCTCTAAACTAGGTATCTCTCAGTATTCGGTGTGCAGAAAACCAAACCCATCCAACCATGCCATCCAAACTCCCCCATCTCATTCTCCACTCCCCCAGAACCAGCGCTAGGCCTGGGGGCCCTCGACAATTATGGGGAAAGATGCCGGGTGCCAGCCCGAATGCCTCCTCCTTTCTCGGTTGGTTGCTCTTTCTTTCTCGCCATCTGATTCGAGTGTAGCGGCAGCCAGCCGTCTTCGTTCGAAGCCCAGCATCTTTTGGGCGGATAGTCAGGCCGGGGAATGAGGGGGACCGGGGGTGTGAGATGAGGGGATTTGGGGGAAAGGATTGGGGGAAATCTAAACTCTTGCGGGGATCCCTATCTGAACGGCTTAGGTTACTTTTGTGAGAGAAAGAGACCGGGTATAGCGTGGTATGGTGTGCGCCTTTGAGATAAAGGTTTTAAAGACAACCTCCCATCTCCCCTTCTTCCTGAATCGAACGACTCCCTCTCTCTCTTCCCTCCTTGGCTCTTCACCTCTCTGCCGGAGTTGCTTCAATCAGTTTCTCTTCTCTAGGTCGATAGCACCCTCCTCTTACCACACAGGGCGTCGTTATCTTTCTCTAGCAACTTCACCAACAACAGAGTCCGCCAAGATGGGTCTTCCGTCCGGCAAAAGAGTGTACAACTGGTACATCTCCCTGATGGCGGCCATGTGTATGGTCCTCTACGGGTACGATGCTTCCGTCTTCAACTCCCTCCAGGGCTCAAAGAACTGGCTCGCCTGGGTCGACGTCGACCTCAAGAAGGACACCCAGCTCATCGGCCTCGTCAACACCGCCTACACCATTGGCGCCATCGTTGCCGGTTTCTTCATCGGTGGTCCCACTGTAAGCACACCTTCTCTTGTCATCGAATGTAGTATCAGCTCGAGCCAGGACTAACACAATCTCTCAACACAGGCCGATTATCTCGGACGTCGCTGGGGCATGGCCATCGGCTGCTTCGTCACCATCATCGCGACCCTCATGCAGACCTTCACCCCCCACCACAAGCTCGGCGTCTTCATCGCCGGCCGTGTCGTGATCGGTATCGGCCAGGGTATGGCTCTCACCGCCGGCCCCGTCTACATCGGCGAGGTCGCCCCCTCTGAGATTCGTGGCCACATCATGGCCTGCTGGCAAATGTTCTACTCTGTCGGCTCCTTCATCGCCTACTGGATCAACGTATGTTCTTCTCACATCTCCTACAAATAAGCAAACCCCCCTAACACATCTTACAGTACGCCTGCTCCAAGCGCCGCGAACAGCTCGGCGAATGGGACTGGAAGATGGTCGTCATCTTCCAGATGCTCGTCCCCATCCTCATCATCATCGCCCTCCCCTTCCAACCCGAGTCCCCGCGCTGGCACATCCAAAAGAACGGCAACGTCGAGGCCGCCCGCGCCGCCCTCATGCGCATCCGCGACACCGAGGAAGAGGTCGAGCAGGAGCTCCTCCAGATCCGCGAAGCCATCGAGTACGAAAAGGAGGCCATCAGCAGTTCCTACACCGCCCTCTTCAAGGACCCCTCCATCCGCAAGCGCCTCTACCTCGCCTTCGCTCTCAACGTCGGACAGCAGCTCACCGGCCAGGGTACCCTCAACTCCTACTCCACTTCGATCTACAAGAAGGTCTGGCCGTCTACCGATACGATCAACCTCATCAACGCGCTCAACGCCACCATGGGTATCTTCTTCACGCTCAACGCCATGTGGACGGCTGATCGCTTCGGTCGTCGGTGGTTGTTCCTCGTCGGTGCGGCTGGTATGGCCGTGTGCATGCTCATCGTCCCCATTGTCGGCATGAAGACTCCCACCGCAGCAGACGGAACAAAGAGCGAGCCCGTCGGTATCTCCATTGTGTTCTTGCTATTCCTCTGTAAGTTCCTCTTTCAACACCCCCCTCCTCAAGTACACTTAACTAACACATCACAGTCATCTTCTTCTACAAGCCGACATGGGGCGCAACAACATGGATGTGGACCGCCGAAATCTTCTCTGTCAACGTCCGCGCTCAGGCCGTCGGCATGTGCTCCCAGATGCAAAACGTCGCAAACACAATCTTCCAGCAATTCTTCCCCACCTTCCTCGCCAACGAGGGCCTCAACTGCCTCTTCTTCTTCATGGCCATGAACATCGTCCTCGGCATCTTTGTCTACTTCCTCATCCCCGAGACCAAGCAGATCCCGCTCGAGGAGATGGACCAGCTGTTCGGCGGCGCCAACCACACCGAGAAGGGCGCGCAGATGTTGGGCGTCGGACCCGAGGAGGGACACCATGGTCACTCTGCGCTCGATAACAAGGACGGTGCTGAGATTCAGCAGTCTGAGAGGAAGGAGGCTGTTTAAGAGGTGAGAATATGTCGGTAATTGGAGATAGAAACAGGAGTAATGAGTAATGCGGATTGATGTATTATTATCAGAGAACTGAGGATCGGCCTGAAAGAGGCCCAGGTCCCGTCGCATTATACCCCAGATTGCGGAATTGAAGTTGTCATGATGAAACAATCTTTGGCTTGACGCAATGTAAAGTGACTTCGTTGAGAACTTCTCAATCCAGGTTGGAATGAGACTCTAGTGCAAACGAACAATGTCCCCTCTCGACCTCTGTCTTCATGAATCCCAAAGCATCACAAGTACATACACCGAGCTTGGAATTACTATTTGAACGCTCTCGTCAACGTTTCCGTATCCCATCCTGCTAACATTGGTCGTCATCAGCACACTGTTGACTCTAAGCTGAGATGATATCGCTGCGCGAGTGGGCTATAGCACCCTTCCCGACCTGTTTCCACTCTCTCCTCAACCGAAAAGTCCTACTAAATGTCAACCCAGCTTACTACACCAAGTGTGTTCTCATTCGTATACATACTTATATAAATACCCTCTCCAACGGCACCGTACCTGATTCTCTCAACGTCTTTCGTCATCAACCCACTGCCGAACTGAATTTGGAATGACACCGCTGCGTGACCAGACTGCAGTACCCTCTCTGGTTTGTATCCACTCTCTGCTGGATGCAAAAAAATCCTATTAAACGTCCAAACCACCTTCACTACTCCAAACGTGCCCGCGTTAGTATAACCTCGTCAGTACGCTCATATCTGAGCACGAATATGAGTAGGAGTAACGGCTTATAGTAGTGAAGAGTACTTTTCATTTCACACTTTCTTATTCTGAATAGTGCTTGCATCCGTTGAGTTTCGACGATACACTCGTGTTCGTGCTCTAATAAGGATGGTAGTGTCAGGGTGTAATAATAAACGGTAACTTGCTTAACTTTCCTGTCCCGGATAGCTCTCACGTTCACAGACTCTCGTGAGCACGCTTGTGTCTCAGCACGAATAGGAACAGTAACATCGGTACTATTAATGAAGGGCTCCTTAACGCTTAGTTCAATATGAGATGGAAGTGAACTGACATAGCTGCACTGTACCGGGTGAAGGCTAACGGACGTATAAATCGTAAAGTAAGTGGGAATGGATTCACCAGCAAGACCTTTGAGTTATACAACCGCTTCAAGCTCTTAGTCAATCTCTAGAAGTTTCAGAATTCCCCTGTATTGAGTCTCACTAGGCGGTAAGATTACATTGTCTATCAAAGACATCATCTACCAAAGACTGCTTACCATGATCAGTCTTTTTTTTTTTTACGTCTTCCGTGACGTCTCCCCCATGTACTTGTCCTGTATTCCGTATCTTTCATGTCCATACCGGACGAACTGTGGTATCTCATAACATCCGCCAATGCAACGATTCAAGAGAAGGAATAGATGATGGTTTATATCCTTAGCTTCTTCATCCCTAGCTCTCTCAATCCCCCTCCGTCTGTAATGCTAGATCTGCACATTTGTTCCTTACAAGTACTTTCACCATTGCCGTCTTTCTTCCATTACTATCCCAAAGCCTTTGTGAAATCGGACGTGGACATAAGAAAGCGACCAGAGGAATCAAGGCAGTGCTAAGGCCCAGAAAAAGTGAAGCTAGACAAGAGAGAAAGACAGAGCTTATACCATTGATGGCAGCGAATACTAGCCAAGGTGGCATTCCAACACGGCTTTCATGGACCTCATGCAATTGCGCGTCACAGGGGTACATAAGTTCAGGTAAGTTTGACACAGAACCTTGTTGTAGAGAAGACTCTGATGATGGAGTGCCATCTCTATAATCTAAGCATACAAATGTGCTGCTCCAATCCAGGTATCCATCTCGTTTCCAGAATTCAACGAGTATTGCGCAATGACTTTGTTCATGTGGCTCACATCGGTGGGCCTTGCCCCGGCGGACCAGGCATCATCTGCCCGCCCCCATCGCCGACCCATCTGTATTGCATCATCGGTTGCCCCTGAAGCTGCTGCTGCATCATGCTTTGCATCGACACCTGCTGTTGCCCCATGAGGGCCTGAGGATGGGAATGAGGAGGGTAGGACGGATGTTGGGCATGTTGAGGGTGTTGAGGGTGTTGACCAAGCGGCGGCGAGGGACCATGGGGTATAGGTGAAGACTGTTGGTGCGGGTGGTAGAGTGGTTGTTGTTGTGGTTGATGTTGTTGTTGCTGCTGCTGCTGCGGTTGATGAGGCGATTGCTGCTGATGCTGCTGCTGCATTTGTTGCTGGTGTTGTTGAGGCAGCTGTCCTTGCTCTCTCATCTGCCGACGTACTTGAAGCCAGGAAAACAACTCTGATGACAACCCTTCAAATGTAGTCTTGAGCTGTAGCGCAATGTCCCATCGCTGAGAGTATCTTGCAAGTGTTTCCACAACCTGCTGCAAGCATCGCATGCTTCTGTCCAAACTATCCTCGCCACCAGCCGGGCGATGCGGTAGAGGTGGCGGAGGTGCTGTGCCTGGACGAGTGATAGGCGGAATGATTCTTTGCTCCGATATAAGTAGCTCACGCTTGTCATTGAAGACGACAAAGAACTGTGTTGCCACGAAAAAGACCTTGAGAGCGTCCAGGGAGGAGTAAAATGCCGTGTTGACGGAGCCATGGACGACACTGTGAATGGTGTTCATGTAAGCAATGGCATGTTCGAAAATGAGTTTGCGGGTGTAGTCAGTCAGGTGTGGCTGGCGATCGCTAGGCGCAAGGCAGTGGATGTAACTGTATCTCAGCTCGAGCTCGAAGAACTCGCGGATGCCCGAGGGGAGGTTATCAGGCAGTGACTCGTGCCACTCTCTCATTTCCAGGCACATCTGCCAAATGAAGGAGGCAGCATCTGAAAGTGGCGCTGCGTCTCCCTGGAATAGTGTCTGATACCATTCGGACTGGAGTCGACGAAGCTGGAACAAGACTAAAGCCGAGTCTGCTGATTGAGGGCCAGTGATCGGCCCAGAAGTCAAGCCAGAGTTGCTGGGATACTCGACATTGATGGAATCATCTGTGAATGAGAAGGATCGGGCGCGAACCATACTGATCATCCTATCCTTGGTGTCAGCGAGTTGAATCTGGCATGCCATCTAGGCTCAACGAGCTTACCGGTCAAGTGCATATACGCAGTAAAACATTTTCCTCCGAAGGTCGAGAGCAGCCTTATCGGGAACCTGGAGCTGTGGCGGGTCTTGATGGAATCCCAAGTCAACCACAGCACGACTCGCGAATCCTATCAGATACCAGCTGTCGAAATGGCCAGGGTCGAGCATTGAGTATTGCGTGAAGAGGATGAGCGACTGAATCTGGCTTGGATATCCAGGCATCAGTGCCTTGTCAGCAAAAGGCAAGGCGCGAGCGACAAAGTCTAGACCGCGGCGAGAAAAGTCATCGTTTTTGTCCCTGCTCTGGGCCGCGTATCCAATAGCGAGAACCATGTACAGTAGCCAAAAGTCGGCATCCTTGAGCCTGTCCTTGACTCTTTCGTCTTGCTGATAGACATCGTCCAAGACGGTAAGTAAGTGAGTCTCCGAGAAGGACGGGAACAGTGAGTAGATGTTGGCCATGTAATACTGAACGGTAGCGAAGGCCTCTGCTCTGGTTGGGAAACTGTCCTCCGTCGGATCCGGTACCTCGTCGTTAGTCGCGGCAGCCAGCACCAGGCGGGCGAACGTCATGCCGCTCACGGACGGTTCAAAATCGCGAGTTGTTGCGTTGACGGATCTGGCAAATGTCAGCACGCACTTCAAAGTGCGGGGCCAAGAGATGGACGTACAAGAAGCCAAAGTCAGACACGAGTGCGTTAACGTCCGAGTCCTCCCTCTTACGGGCGGCTTTCCGGTGAATCGCAGCTCGAATATTGGCCAGAGAGTCCTTGCGGTCAGCAGGAGCCGCCGTCGCTTCATCGACATCGTGGAGATTGACCGATGCCTTGCGCGATCTCGCAAATGCCAACCGCTTCTCTAGCTTTTCAACTCTAAGCTCTAGAGCTGCTACATAACTGAGTCGCTGTTAACATCACGCATGCCGAGATCTCATGATGGGCGGACCAACCTTCTCTCCTTGCCTCTGGCGAACTGGTCATTGGCCGAGGAGCACTCATTTTCGCGGCCTGCCTTCTCACAGGCAGTACAGGCTGGAAGCTTGCCATCACACTGGACAAAGTCAAGTACGCATCAGCATAAGCCCGTTAGATCCATCAGGCTGGGCAGCGGGGGAAGGATAGCTACCTTGACTTTTGCAGCTCGACCTGTGGGGCACGATTAGCCTCGCATGAACACAAGCAGTCAGCCGCAACCATGACAACTCACATCGCGAGCAGGCCGATACAGGCCGCGATACCCGCAGCAGGGGGTTATCTGAGAAACTAGATCGCGGCATTGGGTGCGATTGGGGATGCGACGGAGGAACGAGGTGCCGTGCCTCGAGGCCGCGCTATCTTGAAGCTTTGAGATCGATGACGAATCGCAAGGGATCCACGATAGAGGATAGAGCCAGGCGATTGGGTTGATGAAATAGAGGCTTGTAGTTTAGGGGATGTGCAAGTATCTCTGAAAAGACGTGCGATCCGTAAAACGCGTAAAACGGAAGGAACCAAGTACGGATGACGTGGTGACCGTTCCGTCGAAAGTGAAGCGAAGCTCAGGCTGAGATCACGTCAAGTTGACTGTAAAGCTGGATCGTCGTTGACGGGGGCGCTGGAGTGTGTCCGGGATCCGGATGACGCTGCAGGGACTGGTGCACGTAAGAGAACAGATCGTCCTAAGCGCGGTATCGCGTGTAGTAGTTGGCGCGTCGGCTGTCGGGAAGTTGAATGTCGAGCCCTGGGCTAGATGCGAGGGTTCAAAATAGTCGCAGCGATGATGCGTACGATCAAAAGGCGGCTCGAGGTGTGCGGCTGTCGGAAGATCAAAACACGAGAGATGCTGATCTGTGGTTCAGAAGTGCAACAGAACCGAGAGCGCAGCGAAGCCACAAGTATCCGTAGAGAGTCAGTACGGATATTCGTAGAGAGAACAAGGTCCGGGGCAAGTGTCCGAGACGAGACGGTGCGCGAGTCGTTCACGGCTTCCCCCTTGCTGTTGCACTACCGCAGTATCCGTGGACCGTTTGGGTGCCTGTCGATGCTGCGTGCTTGCGTGCTTGCGTCGTGCTTGCGCTGGAGGACGAGGCAAGGGCTGTAAAGCAAGGCAGGCAGGGAAGGCCAAAGACTACGCAAGGCCAGGGCAGACAAGGCAGGACGAGGCCAGGGCAAAGGAAAGGTCGACCTGGACTGGACTGGACGGTTTGGGGGGCTCGTATTGCGCGGGGATCGTTGGTTGTAGCTTGTAACTTTGGTGCTGCCGCCAGGCGCATCCAACGGCGGCGTAATCTGTGGGAGCGAGACTCTGAGACTCCGAGTCTCTGTCTATGCTGGAGATCGGCGGCACAGTCGTTGACACGGCCTTTCCCCTCTCTTGTGCGACTGACGCCGACTGAAGGGTCGACGTTTACCCCGCCTGGGCTCCGTTTCCCTGAACCTGACGAAAGCTGTGGGAGGCGGGCAAGGCGGGCCACGGAATGGGCACTGGAAGTACAGAGTACAAGCCACCCCTGAACCCTGACTGCCCTTCTTTCTTTGCCTTGCCAGATAAAGCCCGTCCCGTTCCCCTTCTCTTTCCCCTGGGCAGCCACTGGCAGCTGTTTGTCGATGGATATTGGGCTGAGAAAGCTTCCAGGGTTCTCTGCAGCTTTATTTCTTGGACGGGGGATGGGCCGTCGTCGGGGCCCCCGATCTTGACGAGGATTGACGACACAACGTGCCAACGATGCAATTTGGAACCGGCAGATGCAGTATTCTGGAACAAAAATAGAAGGCGAACCGCGAATCCGACGATCCGCGAACGAGAGGAGAAGCTCAAGACGGTCAGGGGCCAAGGGGTGACAGCCTGGGGGCCGGCAAACCGAGAGTGCGGCCGCCGTAGGTAGTGATAAGGTTCTGCTTGGACCCGTCTCACATCCAAGACCGTAGACGTCGTCGACTTATTCGCCAGCGCCAGCCAGCCTCGAAGGCTCGACCTTGACCCTGAGCGCCTGTTCATATGTAGGTGAAAGCCTGCTTCGGGTCTTCCAGGCCGAATATTCGTATGTATTCCGATGTATTCCAAGCTGTGATAGGTGACTACAGATGGTAGAGGCGAAGCTAGAGGCGTTTTTTGATGGCACGAGGATCTTGCTGGCCCCACGCTCCTTCCATCACCAGATAGATGAACTGCCGAGCGCATTGCACGGCATTTCCAGAATCAATGTTTTCTTGAAAGCTCAGCTCATCGTTCTTCGGCCGCGCCGTACAACCCTTGTATGTGTTTAATCGATCGAAGCGACGAGGCCAGCCGCACAGGAGAAACAAGATGAGAGCCAAGACGATGCTTACAGCGAGTACCATGCGTTGCGGTCGTGAATTGCGTTTTGGCTTGCCGCGGTCTGCCAAGCACACGAGGTGCGCATCGCCGAATCGGGCATAGCGGGCAATGACACTGGCAACTCGGGACGAAAAAGACGGAGACGTGGATCTTGCGACGCGATAAGGTGATGATTATGAAGGCTCAAGAAGAATAGCTCTGTTTGGCTGCTGGTTCACCATACATATGCCCATCAGTTGAGGCGGGCTCGTCGAGAGAAAGCACCTCGAATCTTGGGAGATCGTCACTTGAGATAGGCAGAGGAAGGGCAGTTGTTGACTCAGAAGAAGCCGCCAACGCCCTCTAGTCTTTGCAATGGGCGTGTCCAGACCAAAGTGCCACGCCAGACTGACAGGTCCTGTAGAATGACGGTCAAGACAGTTGTATTGCTGCAGGTCCGGACTGAGACAAAAAGCACTTGAGCAGCGCCAATAGATGTGCATAATGGCGCAAGCCATGTTGCGTATCCCCCTCGCAAATGGGAGCGAGAGACTAGGTAGAAAAGTGCCGTGCCGTGCTCGTCCTGATGCTGGTGCTGGTGTCATGGTGCTCATGGGTGCTTGGATTTCCCCCACTTACTGGAGGGGTCCATGAAAAATGTCATCTCATGCAGGGCACGCCGTTGTTTCCGTCCCACAAGGCGATATTGTTTTGGACGACTGATGCTGACTTTTTTTCTTTCTGAAAAGTTTCTGTCATATTTTCCTTCCCTTTCTCTTCCCTGCGAACCTTGTCCTCCGGGTCGTCGATCTTGTGAGAAATACTGCGAGGTAAGTAGCGATTGAGGAAGGCCCTTGAAGTGTGCCTCTTGAAGAGGTAGTATCGTTCAATCAATGACACGATGAGGCCAGGAGCTGGATCCGTGGACGGAGGCAGGTAGGTACTCGGTAGCGTTGGGATACCTGCTGCGTACTGCGTACGCTACCTAGTGTAGGTACAATAAAGCGACCAAGTCAGGTCGAATCCTCAATGCTTGACAGAGAATTTAGAAATCGACAAGCCTGGATGCCAGGTCAGATATGGCAAGGGCAGCGTGTGCTAGTGCAGCCGAATCAAGGGTTCAGTCCAGAAAAGGCTCGTCGAGCGTCGGGAATCCTTCGAAATGAGGATTAGGGCGGGGTAGAAGGGACAGAGCCGCGAATGCATGCAGCGGCGTTGGGCGGCGGCCGCGGGCGAAGAGACGGTGTGACGAAGGATATTTCGTGCTCTGTATCCGCAATCTGCCTGTATTCTGCCCTGTACTCCGTACTCTGTAGGGTTCTGGAAGATCGGAGTACGGATAGATGAAGATCATGGGAGGCTGGTGGTTGACGACGGTTAGTCAGGTATCCGTCATTCCATCTGGGACATTTTCTGCTGGTGGACGTGCGGGCGCGTCTCTCATGGTGCATGGATGTGTTCATCGTATTTTCTGCATCAGTACTCCGTACCGTCGGCATCAATCACTACGGCGTCTTTCCCTGTCGATGGTGGTGGTGATGTGAGTCCGAAGCCGTGCTGCGTACCAAAGGATAGATATTGATGGTCGCCGCCTTGTAACGTGGACTGGGCGGCTTGGGGGGAAGCAAGGGACGGGATGGCGAGGTAGAAATGCTACCGGGTGGGTGTTCCGTCAGACCGGAGGTGGTGGTAGTCGAGTCCGATGAGGAAGTTGAGATGGGAATGTGAGAAAAGGGTGAGTCGGGCATGACATGTCATTGGCGGGCACTGGGACACACACACGCCTGGGAATGGAAGGATCGGCTGCATGTCTCTCACTCGCTCTTGCACTTGGAGTCGTAACTTTTTACGCTTTGCAAATCGCAGCTTCCTAGTTACCCAGTGCAGCTTCCCAGTGCAGCAGGCCAGCAGCAGTGCTTTCCCTGTCACCTGTGCCCTCCTGCCGCGTCTCGACAGGAAAGCCCAGCCTCCATGGTGTTTGACTGTTTGGAGAGGTGGGTCTCGCAAGTGGAGACTGCGGCGAATCAGATGATCAGAGTTTTGGGGGAGATGATCATGGAAGCAGAAAGGAAGGAAAGAGCGGGGCAAGGCCGACCTCTTTCGAAGGGCAGGGGCGGGGCACACCGGGGTGCTCAGGACGCAGGAGGTGCTGGGTGCCAGGTGGGATGAGGCAGGCACAGCAGACACACGGATCCAGAGATGGGAAGAAAGGACCGTCAGGAAGGACCGTCAAGAGTCAAGAGTCAAGCATCCAATGATCCAGAGACTTGGATGGCTGTGCTTTGACTTTTTGGCAGCCGGAAGGAGCTAAGGCCATGGGCAGAGGAAGGAGCGAAAGGTCCTCGCTCGACCTCCCTCGAGTAAGGTGGTGCAGGAAGGTGCGTTCTGCATCAGTCAGCCACAACGACACTCCTCCCCTCGCCCCTCGGATGAATTACGCACATGATAACCATCCTCACCGAATACACGTATATACGGATACAAACAAGTCAATGAAAAAAACAAGAAAAAAACACAGAACCGTCCAGGTTCCCAGCCGGGTGTTGTCAGTCAATAGCCGCTCCCATGCAGGCCATTTCCGCATGTGCCGTGCTATTACTGCCCGCCTTCATATCTTGCCCTCCTGCTCACCCACTCGGTTTGAGCCTGTTCAAACCTCGCGGACCCCAAACTCGTTAACCCACGGCTCGAAGCCAGGTAAGGCTGGCTTTCAGACGACGAGATATTTGGCCCGTCTGCCGGATTTGTTGGCGATTGTATGGATCTGTGTATCCACGGCCATGGATGGTGCCGCCATGACTATCCTGTATGGATACTGTGCCTGTAAGGTATCTAACGGCCCCAATGAAGCAGGTAAACCTCTTGGGCTGTCCACTTGAATATCCAGTCAGTGCCATTTCGCACCAGCGATTATCTGGCTAGTATTCTCTAGTGTGTAGTACCTATCCACGGCCCACGGGACATTTTTTGTCTGAAGTCAGTCAGTGTCCATACTCCGTATCCACGGAACGGACTATGGGATTATGGATCCCTTCATCCTGGATCCCGCCCACCTACCGCGCCCACCTCCATTGTGACTGTGACGAGTCCTGAGAGGCTTCATCCTGTTATTCGGTGTTCCCTTCTCTGTCACCTGTATCCCCCTCCCGTCACTCCTTCAAGTGTCGTGATGAAGCGCGGGAATGGAGATGATGTTACTATACAGGGTATCTCAAGAAAGGAACGGGAGTGTCAGGTCGTCCAGTCTTAACGAAGCTCTGCTAAGGTCCCCACTGCAATGGTTCTGAAACGCCCCTACCGACACCTGGTACCCGCGAACCTTGACCGTCGCCCTGGCCGATTCCTCTGATTAGCGAATGAACAGCCGAGACCTTGCGAGGTCGTGCCTTCCATTCCTCGCATCTGGGCTGTCGTCCAGCTCCCGCCTCAGCGCGTCTCCCACTCTGTACCTCGGCAGTACATCCCACTTCGCCTCATTGTGCCCTGGTCTGCGCCTAGTCTTCATGTACCTTTTCCTCTCTTTCCAGGATCTCTCCTCTTCACCCCCGCCACTTCCCTGTCCTGCTCTGCTGGACCACCACCCATGCCCATTCAACATCGCCCATAGGTAAGGTAGGTACCGAGCACGACAGCAGACTGAAGTACCTTTCTTGCTGTAGAGCGTCGAAAGTGACAACCTCCGATGCGTACCTAAACGTACGGCATACGGAGTACTCCATACCTGAGGTACCCCCAGCCTAGCAAAAGGTGACCACCACGCCTTGCGGAATTGCGGGCGGACAATCAACTGGACGGCACTCCAGGGCACTTCTCTCCTCCCGGTCTCTCTGCCCTGTACTCCGTACATTGTCACCTTTTTCGGCGCAGCAGCCAGCAGCAAACAGCGACACCTTCAATTGTGGACCTTGTCGTCTCTTCACGCCCGCTGCCCGTGTCCGTCTCCTCTTGCACCTATCCGTCCATACCTAAGCCCGACATACAAACATAGCCTACACAACCGCCGAGTCCACCACACACGCGACTGGCGAGACAAGAGGACCCTCTGTCTCTTCACGATACCCTCGACCTACTATCGAATCCCTCGTCAGCCGAATCATGAGACATTCTGCCCGCCCTTGCGCTCCACCGATCCCTTCGCCCACGTACGCCTCCGCCCCGTAAACGACACCCACTTCATCGTGAACAACTCTCAACGACGACTACATACCACCTTGCCCGCCCTCGCCGGCTCCCTGCAAGCTTTCTCAGCGAGGCAAAGGCAAATCACCGTCTATACCATAAGGCGCCTTTGTGATCTCCTCGCTTAGACACACAAAGATCGACTGGGCGAATAGCCTCAGTCTCTATATCCCGGCCCATGGACATCTACCGTCATGGCCTGGGCAACATGATGCCACGAAACCCGCCCTACCATCACCACCCGCCTCCCAACGCTCCTCCCCAACTCTACCCGGGCCCCTCCCGCGCTCCTCCTACCAGTCGCGAAGATCCAGAGAGTGACGGCCCCTCCAATCGCATTGCCCACACTCTGACGGCTTGCTGCCGCTGCCGCCAGGTACGTCGGAGCCTCTCCCCGTGAACCCGGCGCCTCCTGGCCTCTCGACTAGTGAATGTGTGTGTGGCGTTTCGTAGACCACGGCTGACTTGTTCAACTCTGTAGCGTAAAACAAGATGCGATCCTACTCTACCCCGTTGTCTGCCGTGCGAACGCGCCGGTTCGGTTTGCGAATACTACGATACGACCAAGGGAAAGAAGATCAATCGTAATTATGTCATTAAGCTGCAAGAAAAGGTGCGCGCCCTCGAGGCCGAGCTACGCCAGTACACCGACGACGACAGCGAGTTCTCCCATCTCGATGAGGACATCGTGCGGCCCGGTGGCTTGGTTCGCCTGAATGATACCGACGAGACTCCTCGTTATCTGGGTCCGAGTAGCGGCATCGCAATGACACGCTTGCTGGTCCAGGGCGCAAAGCTCTTTACCGACTCGAAGCGAATCTCAGAGTTGATTCCCGAAGTTCGAGCGCGGAGGATGACGCGCATGCAATCCATCGTCATGACGAGGGATCGAAAAAAAAGTTATCCCATGATCAGCGCCCATCCTGCCCAGAGCCTGCCGACTAGACCCATCGCCAATAAGCTCGTGGATGTCTTTTGCCAACGATGTAAGTGAAACCCCTCATTAGTTCGGGTCAACCCTCGACTGACTTCTAGTGAACAGCCCAAGTATTTTGGCCGACATTGCACGAGAAAATGTTCTTGGACGATCTAGAGGCAGTGTATGCCGGTGACCAAGACCCCTACAAGAACCTCATCGTCCGCATGGTGTTTGCCATTTCGCTGCAAAAGATGGATCCTCAGTATGCCGGTCTGGCCGACAGCTACTATTTGGCTGCCATGGAACATTTCGAGCAAGTGTCCCGGCCAAAGGACCTCAAGTCTCTACAGAGTTTGGCGCTCATCGGTCAATACTCCCTCTTGACCCCCACGAGAACCGCCGTATACTACATGGTTGGCATGGCCACGCGCGTTTGTCAGGCAGAAGGCTTGACTGATGAGAAGACCATTGGCGCCGGGAATCTCCTGGACCCCTTGACCCTGGACATGCGCCGCCGTCTTGCCTACATCATCACTTCCATGGAAGCTGGCCTGGCACATAGCATGGGTCGACCCAACGGATTTTCCAAGGCTGACGACCGGATGGATGTGGAGCCATTTGCGACTGTGGACGACGAGTACATCACGGCTGACGGCATTGGCAAGGGGCCTCCAAGCGAGAACAAGCTGGTGGCTTTGCATTTCTTCAAGATGCGCATGGAACAGGCCGAGATCAGGAGAGTGCTCTACGAGAAGAAGCGCGAAGAGCCCAGGGATGAGAGCCACCCCTGGTTCGCAAAGATGGAGAGAGACATTCAGAACTGGATTGATTCTTCACCTCAAAATCCGGCTTGGTGTAGGCCATGGTGCGTACTGGTCTCCTTCATTTCGAGACTGACCTTTCTGACCAATTGCTTGTAGGTTCACTGGACGATACCACCAGATGCGCATTTTCCTCTACCGCCCATCCCCGCAAGTACCGAAACCCTCTCCACGAGCTGCGGGCATCTGCTTCGAAGGGGCATCATACATCATCAACTTGTCGAAGCAGCAGATGGAAAAGGCAGCAGTCGATATTACTTGGGTGTTCCTCCTCAACCTCTACATGTCCCTCAACACACTGCTCTGGACGGTCTCGTACCCCGAGATCCGGCAGGCCCACCCCCGCGATGAGGTGGAAGAGCTGAGTGACCAGACGTTGGATATTCTAGAGCGATGCACTGAACGCTGGCCGGGAACTGCTCAGGCTGTGCAACTCTACTCCATCTTTGCCAAGGCATGCCTCCAGAGCTACGAGGCCAGAGATACCCCTATCCTACAAGCGTCAAGTACTTTCACGACGCCTCCTTCGCTCTTTGACGGCAACTCTCCTCAAGGCTCAGAGGTCTCGGCATCAACAGCGCCAGGTGGTGGGCCGACGTTCAAGGTCAACCCACCGCACAACCCACCACAGTTTGGCTTTGTTTTCGATGCTACCCCTGAGTCGATGAACACGTACCAATGGGATCCCAACTTCCCTCCTCACCCAACGTTCCGTTCCAACTCGATCTGGGGCAACTCATCTGGCGATACTAACCCCAACATGAATCCGGGCGGTCGCCGCTTTTCTGCCTACCCTCCTGAGTCACCGCTTGAAGACTCTACACCGCCGGCGACGACCACACCCGGTTACAATTCATCTTCGTCACCTCCTAGCACCATTAACAACGCCATGCCCACACCGCCAGACTCGTTTAATAGCGGCCCTGTAGGTACGCCATCAAGCTCGACCATCTCACCACCCCCGATGGGAACTCCGGCCATGTCACAGTCCTCGCCGCTTGTCCTTCAGCATGGAACACCGACCATGATTCAGCACAGCACCAACATGTCGCCACCTCCGCCACCTGTTCCTGGAAGTAGAGGACCTGGTGGTTTTGGTGCACCGCCGACATCGAATCCCGGTGCGCCACAACGCCCGCTGCCGAATTATAATCCAACAACGGACTGGTTCAATCCGCCGCCTCCGTTCATCAACCCCGATGCCTTTAGCTCGATGAGCAACAGCTTCTTTGGCGACTCGTTGCAGGTCAATGGCTTCAACTCTCAAAACCCCGGCTTGGGGCTTGACCAGTTTGGTGGTCCGTTCAATTGGTCACAAGAGCGACAAGGCAGTCTGAGCCAGCAACAGCAAGTGGAGCTATTGAATGTCCTAGAGAATGAGGGCATGAGCGATATCGATGCCATTCTCAATATGGGCATGAACAACCCGAGCCCCGCCGCGAGCGTTTGGCCACAAGCATGATTTGGTTCATGGGAACCTCGAAAAGAAGGAGAGCAAATAGCAGTGTCGTTGTTTTGGGTATTGGCGTGTGTGTATTATATACCGTATACCAAGGAGTCACAGGCGGCTGGAGGTTTTGAATTGATATTGCGGACAGCGGTTGCAGCGATGCGCCTCCGCATGGTAGGTATAGTGGGCAGTCACGGATCATGATTTACAATAGAAAGGCGTAACACTTGTCGTTACATTCTGATTACCACCTGCTTTTGCGCGCTGCAATCGGCCATCCAATGTTGAGTGAGACTGAGACAAACCATATGAGCTTGAGATGATTCCCCGCCACTAGATGAGCATACGTTGCAACCCCTTTGTACTGCCATGGACACCTTGACTTGGATGGCTGTAGCACCGAAGATAAGTGCAAAATTGGTGGGTATGGAAGTATTCATGTGACTAACTGCAGCAGCTAAAACGTTGAGATGGTCTTCACTAAACAACCAACGTCTAAGGAGTCGTGCTGAACGTCAAGAGGCTCAGTCAAAGTTTTCAAGGCAGTTAAGAAACAGATATTTAGTAAGCGAATGATCTGATTTATATACTGATACGCAAGGCGCGAGAAGCACGCCCGGTGTGTGAGAAAATGGTTGAGAATATGTACATGAAATATGTGTTGTTCATTTCGAAAAATTCCAAGAGAAATGCAAACAATGCGAAATAGAGGGGAACTTCCGTCGAGTTCCGCACCCTCCTTTTTATCCCTTTCACATATGCTTCCCTTTATATTCCCGTTGTATCCCAATCTTTCAACTCGTCACTGTCAAGAGGCTACCAAAGAGGAAGGCCCATCTTCAAGAGCCATCTAGAGACATTGGCTGTACCACTGGTTGACGACGGTGCAAGTGCTGCCAGAAACGCAAGCAGTAGCACCAGTCCACCCCTGGCCGCCACACTGTCCGTACTTGGCGACGGTGCCGGTAGCGGGCGCGGTAGACGACGTACGGACGGAAGTCGTGATGGTGCTGGGGCGCGCAGAGGTGGTGGTCGTACCGGTTCCGGGGGGAACGACGACGGAGCCCGAGGCGAAGGTGGAGTTGATGGGGCCGAACTTGATGTTGGAGAACTTGACGTTGGAGTTGGGGACGCTGGCCTCGATGTCGGCGGGGACGCCGGAGGTAGTCGGGCACGAGCCGCGCTCGGCGCCGGGCTTGCCTGCGCCGTCGGTAGGGTAGGTCGAGTCCAACCAGAGCATGTTGGCGTAGTGGTCGTCCCAGAGAGACAGAACAAGGACCATGGGCGCGGCGACGGCCTCGGACATCTTGGCGAAGCCGCCCTTTGCCTTGAAGACGTCGGTGTCGTTGAAGGCGAGCTTCTGCTTGGTGCAGAAGTCGGTGGTGAGGGAGTTGCCCGGGTTCGAGGCGATGGTGGACTCGGAGTTGGGGACGACGTTGCCGTTCTGGACGTAGAAGCGCTTGATCTCGGAGAGGACGCCGTCGGAGCCCTTGATGAACTGGGTGACGATGGAGAGCTTCTGGGTGGTGTCGAGGGTGAAGCCGGACCCGGGGCCGTAGAAGAGCTTGTTGCCCTGGCGGTAGGAGTTGAAGTCGCATCCGTCGGGGTCGCAGTCGCCGGCGTAGCGGTCGGTGGAGTAGGTTCCGCCGCAGGCGTTGCCTGTGCAGGAGTGGTAGGCGCTGTTTTGGCAGGGGTGAGGGGTGTAGGCCGTGGAGATCTTATTGGCCTCTGTGTGGTGTTGTTAGTCTGGTGGTTCATGTTGATGTTGTGATGAGTAGAATAGGGGGTTGAGACTTACCCCAGATATCCATCTCAGCGCAGCAGGCACCGAGGTTACCGACACCACCGTTGGCGTCGTTGCTGGAGGGGTTCCAGCCGTCGACGTTGGCCTAGAGTTTACTTGTGAGCTTTTGATATATGAGTTCGACAGTATGAGTTGTGACTTACAACACCGTTGATGAACTTGACGTCGCGGGGGCACTGCGAGTCGCAGTATCCGGTACCGTACTTGGCACCAGCCTTGTTGGTAGAGAACTTGGACAGACCACCGTCGAGGTCCATGGAGACGAAGTACAGAGCTCCGTTCAAGCCGCAGCCAATGTTAGAGACATCGACGTCAAAGGTGAACTCGTTGCCGAGCAATACGAAGCTCTGATACTTGGATTCGTTCTCCATGAGGTAAACACGGCTACCAATGTTCTTTCCATAGGCGTGGGTAGTTACGAACTTGAGGTTAAGCTCGTTGCCGCTGCTGGTGATGCCGTAGGTGCCCGGGTAGTCCGCGCCGTCAACACAGCACTTTGTCGCACAGGCGGCGCCCTGTCCGCTAGCGCAGAGAGTGCTGTTCCACGTGTTGCCCGTGTAGCAGTTCGTAGAGCCCTCAACAGTGTGCGCCCATCGCCAGTTAGAGTCGAGGACGACGGAGCCGGCGACGTTGGTGCAGGTGCCTCCGGCGGCGCACTTTTGCCAGGTGAGGGACGGGTGGGTCTCAGCTTGGGAGGTGCAGACCTGCTGGGCGCGGGCGGCGGCCGCGAGGGCGAGAAGGGCGGCGAATTTGGTCTGCATCTTGAATGCTTGGACTGTGGTGGTGTTGAGGGAGGGAAGGGTATCTGAGGATGAGGATGAGAGGGATGGGGAATGGGATTTTCTGGATGAGGAGTTTCGATGACTTATATAGGGATGTTTGATCAGTCTTTGATGATACTTCGCCATCGGATTCTTGGACTTTTCGCCTCTTCTACAGCCGCGTTCCACTCTTCAAGCTTGGTTCGATGTGACATTCAACCCCATGATCGACTAGCCTAGCGACGAGGAAGCGAGGATCCGAGGGAGCTCACGGCATCCGGGCCGCAAACGATCTGGAGCCAAGGTACCAGCTGTAGTTGAACTGACCATGTTCAAGGGGTATACTTACACACACTGACCTAGACTTGGCAGCCTAGGTAGTATGGAGCATGGAAGCGGGAGGGGGGGTAGAGCGTGTAAGTGCCAGGAACCACGGCTCCCACGATGCGTCGTCGTCAACCCAAAGTTTGTGCTTTGCTTGCCTAAATAGGCAATTGGAGAAAATGCACCGCTTTTCCTTCGATTTTGGGGTACGCCGCAAGGTACAGACAGGACCTAGCCGAGGGGGTGATCAGAGAGTATGCCGGCCAACACATGAGCAACACCCTTTTCTATCACATATACCTTCATTAGTCTCCCACTCCTTAGGTTATGAGAACATATTACTAAAGGAATAAGTAGAGAGCGAAGAACCGAAAGAAGAGGAGTAGTAATAGGGATGCTCATAGTAGTAGGGGAGAAACTAAGGACGTTTGAGCGGTACTCACTCGCTTGCTAGCATAACGGATGTTAAGCCCACACGCTGAGGCTCGCAGGATCTCGCCCTCAGTCCCGAGCCAGAGAGAAATGACACGATGTCACATCCGGCCATGCGGCTGGTCACACACTCACACATCCCATTCTCACTACGGAGGACCGGGTCGCACAGAAAATGAGTGCCATGTGTGTGTGTGAGATGAGGTGAGTTGAGGTGGTGGTGAATTTCTCGTCCCAATGCGGACTTGTCCCCGCGGCTTTCCTCATTGGAGCACTTTTCTTACCCCTGCGCACAACACGGAGGCCTTGCGCCGAGTACTACGCGCCTCGAATCGTCACAAAAGAAAATAGTAGGATTTTTTCGACAGAGTGGGAGGCCGATATCGTGAGATGGCACAACCTGAATCATCTCGCACGAGGAAGACCGGGAAAAATCGTGCATCCCTCGTGATCATAATGGCTTCCCGAAGATCCCGCCAGGCTTGGTATATTCATTATTAGTGAGACTTCACATGAATGCCCCTGAGTGAACTCTCACTCTCACTCTCAGTCTCACATACCTTCTTCACACCACCATGAGAACCACCACGAGGGACGCGCCTTTGAATTCCTTCTGGTGATTCGACTGATAAGAAAATTAGAGATACGCGAAGAGTTGTTTAAGGCATCTCGCTCCCCGCAATTTGCAGGGATCGCCCTCCAGACTTCCCGACTTTTGCGTTTGTACATCATGAGCGGGAAGAGAGAACCTTCTCCCCGCATAACGCTATTAGCCATCCGGCACTGACTGCCACGCGCCCGCTCTGTTCCTTGCTTGTGCGGAGAGAGAACGCCACATTTTTCATTCTTTGGGACGCCAGCAAGGGTTGAATCTCTATGCTATTCAGACATGTCGTTGACGAGAGGTCGTTCATGAATCTTGACGTCGTCAAGCTCTTTTCACAAGCGAAGCGGCTCTGTCCTGCCAATATGCTGGGCCCCAGCTTGGCTTTCTAAACTTTACGTACTTGATTAATTGATCAACGCTTTCAATCAATGACAATTAATGCCTACCAGACCGATGGGTTCAGAAACAAATTGGGGCGAGATTCAATGGAGCCCTGGTTCAATTTGGAGGCGGGAGGTGCTGTCCCATATTGCATGCGTTAAGAGCAGGGCCTGCCACCACACCACTTGTGACTGGTCACGTTGCCTCTCTACAGGTGTGTGTATGTACCTTGGGTATTTGTGTATGTGACTGAAGAGACTGCGGTACTTCGGTCTTGCGGTACGAATGTTGTAGGGAATCCTTACTTGGGGTTCATCACGGTGCGATGTCACTCAACGACACCCGGTTCCGACGTTGAGCAAGAAAGAAACCCTCGCGAAGCCAAGATTCAACCGCCGAGAGACGCAACGGCCCCACGTCGCAACTTGCCAAGAGGGCTTTTCAATTTACCCGTGATGACCAAAGAACTAGAGTTACTGGGCGACCAAGAGGCCAAAAAGCTTGAGAAGCTTGAGCTCAGCCTCCAAATGTAGCAATCCGTGGCAAAGGTCCAGAGCGTGAACCAGATTCGGTGATGATCAGCATGAATAGCCGCGACAAATTCAACGTCGTCCTTCAAACGACCATCTCGCTCTGATCATCCGGGACCTCGCCGATAATAGCTTCACAAGCGAGGAGGCTTTCGTAGGCGAAGGGCATCCGCCCCTGGAGCATGGGTTTCCGAAAGGCCTCAAGCGAAGAAAGATCTGAGGGATCTTCGCTGCGTGGAAGTGAGATGGCTGCGAGGAGTCAGGTACTGATGAGCTCTTTTCCCCTTGCGTACATCCGAATCGAGATCATTCCGTGCTTAGGCAGACATGCTGTCTTATGGAGCACCAACTTGCAGCTACCGGGACACGAACAGCTTCGAAGCCGAAGTAACGAGCCTCGTGGGGCCCCATTAGCTCTATTACTGGAAGTCTCACGGTAGCTTGACGAGAAGCCCCTCCGGCTGCTGAGCCGACTAGCTGGGCTGGCCGGCAACAAAGGGAACGAGAGCCGTGAGCGCTTGTAAGAGGCGCCTTATCGTAGGCACACAACACACAGACTGCACACATAATCTATCGTGAGGTTGCATGCATAGGAGATGAATAGCCCCCCTTCGATCTCGGGCCCGTCTTCCTGGACTTCCATGCGGTCGTCCTGAGAGCTCAGGAACCTGAAACCCTTCCCCTTCCCCTTTGCAACCCGTCATTGTCGGCACCAGCCGGGCCGCCGCAATATGGGACAGCATCGAAATGAAGCCGGAGATGAGCGGGATGCGACAGAGACCCTTTCACTCGCGTAACTGATGGGTGGTGTGGCTGGCAATATCGTAGTTCGCCTCTCTAGAGTCAATGATGACGGAATGAACGTCGTCAACATCCGATGAACGCAAACATGTCTCATCTGATAAGGCGAGCGAAAAGCTGGCAGATCCGCTTATCGCCAACGAGTCAAGTCGTGTCCGAACATATCCAACGGAATCTGGAACCACCGCGAATGTCGGGCGGTGCCCAGCACAACGACGCGCAAAAGCTGACTCTCGTTTCCCTCTTTCAGCGATGGAAGCCGAGCGCGAGCTTGGTATCGAGCGCCTTCTGGCGCAGCTCAATGGGCCGATAGAGCAGAAACGTCAAGTCAGCTCCCGTCGGCTGGCTGGCCGGCCGCGGTCCTCGAAAAAGAGTCCTCTCTCTCCAGGCTGCCTGCGGCCATCCCATGGTGGATATGCCAGAGTCACTTGACCATGCGCAGAGTCCTCCCCTTCGGCATAGGCGCAGAAGCGAGCAGCCACTTTCCCCCACTGCCACCACCACTACACGCCATTCCCAGATCTGCGATTCGCGCAGATTAGAAAGTGACGGGCCAGGGCGAGGCGATGCCGCCTCACAGGCCAGCCTGGAAGTCAGGTACCGCCCGGAGAAATCCCAGTCACTCGTCTCCAAGTCGGCAAACCAGGGGCGAGCGAGGGGAGGGCTGTTTAGCCAGTCGGGTTCTCCATGTTGTACCCAAGTTTGAGGGTAGAGGGAGGACACGCATTAAGAAATCGACGGGGGAAAGAAAGACAAGAGCCTAACTCTAAGTCTACCTTACCTACCTTACCCCATCAAAAGGGTTTACCCGGTGACATGACATGCCAACAAGGGGAAAGCGTCAAGTTTTTCTGTGGGAAAAATTGCGGAGGCTGACGGTCGTCGAGCTCCGTGGTTTTTCTCGTCCCGATTCGGCATCTCTGGCCTTTGCCCTTTGCCACGACGTCGCACTCGCTGGCCGTTGGACAGGGAAACATGTGGCCTGGCGCAGGCCGCGGATATTCGCCGGATTGTACTGCTTTGAAGAGCTCGGAAATGAGTTCGGAATGACGGGCGGCTGTCGGGATGATGAGTGACCTTCACGTGTTCCTTCTGAGTTGAAGAATGAAAGCTGGAGGGGTGTTTGAGAGATGAGAAGATCCAAGTGGTTCAAGTGAGTGAGGGGACTGTGTTAAGTGGTTTCTCATACAGTAAATTACACACAGTACCCTTATTCCAGTCTCGAGTTGCCCCTCTACTCATGATATCATCTAATGGTTGGTCATTGCCATCGGAGGCAAAGGAACTGAACTACCAGCCCCATGGATGCTTGTCTGTGTGTATATTGAATCTCTACACATAGTCTACAATACTTCCCCCTACGACAAAGGGACACCTCGACCGTAATTAGCCCGAAAACAAGTGGAATATCGCACAACCCTGCTCGCAGCCGGACTCCTTTGACTGCCCGGCCCAGTAGGCCAGGGCCAGATTATCCCCAGTAAAACGCCTGCCTGCCAGAACCGCCGCCTGCGCATCATGTACACAAAGAACTGGTCCACAGCGCACAGTTCTCCTCCTGGATCATCCGATGCGTCCTTCACACCGGATCATGTCTCATTCTCTCTTCCCCTCGGTTTCGTCCTGTTTGCAAAATGGTACCGACGTCGTCGCTCACGAAATGACAAGCGAGAAGCTCCATCTTGTTCTCTCATGCCGTTCGGATGACCGTCAAATGCATGTTCTTCGTTTGGCGGGGCAGCTTGCCATCCCGCTCGTACAGCAATCCACAGTTTTGGCATAGTGACTGTTTCCCTGTTAGCCCACATGTCTTCTTCATTACCAGATTGAGAACTTACCCGTGGTCCTGCAGGTCCAGGTCTCACCGCCCACACACTTGAGCCCCAGAGACAGCAGTGCCAGCATCTCCAAGATAAGCGCTCCGTGTCAGTCAAGCCGCTGCCTGCACCATATCCGGATCCCACGTCTGGCGTTCCGCGTCCGCCAGGGGTTCCAGATCGGCCTATCGGGCTCAGACTGCGGAAGCGACGCTTCTTCTTGGACCGCTCGCCTCTGCCCATACGTTCTTCTTCCGGAGCTTCCACCACGTTGCCAAATCCAGAGAATGGCACGCCGCCCACCAAGCCAGTAGTTGAGCTGAAGCGAGCAGTCTCGCGGCGGAGTCTGCGAATTTGCCGCTCTCTGTCGCCTTCTCGCTTCTCCATCTCTTCCTTGCTGAGGATCTCGACCTTGGGCTCCCAGGGATCGGCCAAATTCTCCGGATCGTAGCGCCATCCGGCGTCAGCTCCAGCCGTGGCATCGTTGGGGAACTCGCGGACTCCGTTCCAGCCCATCACCAATCCACCCGCTTCACAGGCCTCTTTCTTCAGGCGCAACACTGCTTCGTATATGGAGTGTGTGACGGCAGGAACCCACTCGCCCGTCAATCCAAGGTCTTGGCATGTTTGGCTGGCAAAGGCCTCCGGCATACCCGGGGGGTGCAGCAGAGACCACTCAAACTTGTCGGTGTACAATGCTGACTGGAGGTTGATGTTGAGAGTTACAATACATCGGTAGGCGTCGTCGTGGTCATACTCGTCCGAATCAATAGGCATAGGGCTTGCGTGGGCTGTGACGTCTGGTGCTGACGTCGCGTCCTTGCCTCGGGATGGCGTTCCAATGCCACCGTTCAGCATGGGAGTGTCGGAGCGGCTGATTACCGCGGCGGGAGTGGGCGTTTCGTCTTGGTTAATCATCGAGTTCGGCTTGGTCGCGTCGTTGGTTCCAGAGTTCTGTGACTGCGCGTGAAACAAGGGATGCAGGGCAACGCCGGCATATTCCTCAAGCTGGGTCCGAATCTGCCTGGCAATATCGAGCATCAGGTTGTGACGGTTCGGCAAGTCGAGGTCTTGGACGTATGTTTGCGCAAATTGTTCAGTCGTGATGACCGTCTCGTGTAGGTTCCACAGGAAGGTATCGCGAAGCCGGTAGGGCGGCGTCATTTCTTGTGCTCGGTATTGCGGGAGTGATGTGTCGACGGTGTGAGGCGCCGAAGGAAAGGCGACCTGGGGCAAGAAGGACGGAATATCGAGCTCGATTCGGATGGGGATCAAGGTCAACGGCAGGTCTGCTTGCGCCGAGTTCTGCTGGTCATTCCGCACCTGACGTCCCTTGCCGAACCAATCTCTCCAAATGCCCTGTACTTCGACGGGCTCGTCCGTGTCCTTTCCAGCCTTATCTAGCAGATCCTGGCTGATTGCCGAATCGTCCTGTCTTCTCAGGCTGCGTAGGCCGGTAGGACGACGGCGGCCGCTGTCCTCGTCATCGTCAATTTCATCGTAGCCGTCTTCCGCGTAGTTGATGATGGTTGTGCCACGCTTTGTTACCCGGGAGTTGGTCGTGGTCGGAGCGCTGGCAACGTTCGGGGTCAGGAGAGAGTTGTTGTAGGCGCGGATTCGAGGCGCATAGGTAGACAGGAACGCCTGTGGCTTCGGTCGGGCGTCCATGGTGGGAGACTATGAGACCCAATGGGTCATGGCAGGTTGTCGCAAGACGATGGGCGGCGGAGAAGTGACCGGGGACACTTCGAGGGAGAGAGGCGAGACGAGACTGCGCGGATCGGGGCAATCGTTTAGCACGCGCAAACACGAATTGGCGTTTCGTATAACTCTGGCGACTGACGTTGAGTGCGTGTGGAGCTGTATCACCGGATGTCTCGTTGCGCGCTGATGGAAGTATCCGTGGTGTTGAGGCTGGAAGGGGAGCGCTGCACCGATTGTGAGATGTGGATCGCGTTGGAAATGCATTGGAGAGCAGCAGAGCGCGTCAGAAAAATCAGGTCGGCGTTTCCCGACCCAGGCCCAGCTCCAAAAGGGCTTAGCGCAAAAGGCCCCACACAGGTACCAAGAGACTCACCGAGGTCACCGAGATATCCAGGTGAGGCACACCGAACTGACCGAGATCAACATTTACTCAAAGACAAGGAGTTGTATCATAGGGCAGCTGTTCTGAACAGGAAACACTTTCAAAATGTCTTTATAAGTCCTGAAACAAAGCGATTGTTAGTTATTCAATGGATCTGTGTCTTTGTGTAATCATCACAAGGCGACACAACTCATTTGTTGCGTTTAGGGGCTCACGCAGGAAGCAATTGGATTGTGAGAAAAGCGTTGGATACATATTCAAGACAAATTCTCATCAATTACAATATTTTTCATGATATGTAGATACCCAAAGATTTCTGGACAACAGCTGTAAATACAATAACAACACAACACCCAAAACTCGAAACTATTCCCTAACAACACACTTACAAGAAAGTTCAGGAAACGGAAGAAAATGGACAGGCTTCAGCAATCCAGTGACGGCCAACAGTTGAAGATCCGGTTTGTGCTTCAATTCCTCGTTCAGCGCCCCGATAAGGAGGCATCGTCACTAGCAGCATGTCGGTCTCCAAACGCCAGCATCGTGGACCGTATAATCTACGAAGCTGTGATCGAAAAAGAACGGCAAGATCTAGTCCACATCATTGCCAACTGTCTCCGCCAGATAGATCTACCTACCGCAATTGAAACCACAGACGATGCTGGAAATCGTCAAGACTCCGACCCAGGTGCTTGGAACGTCTCGTTGGACGAGCAAGAGCTCAACATACTTGGGTCCCCCAGATGGCACCTCGCCAGTATTCGTTCTCCGCTAATGCCCATGACACCGCAGACTTCGGCGATAATCATTGCAATTTGTTCCGCTCTCAAGGTCTCGAGGAACCTCACCATCGCCTTGAACGAGATTCCGCGCCTCCGCATTGATGTCAAGCCCAAGGAGGGAGACTTCACCCTCCCAGAAGTCCGTCGTATCCTCAACTTTCTATGGTTCGCTTCGCCTCGCCTGAACGAGCTGCATGCGCCATACTGTGGGCCAGGCTCACTGGTTGCTCCTGGCCTTGAGTTTGCACGCATGTTCAGCACCGATTTGCACGCCTACCTTTCTGATGCCGAATGGCGCGGTGAGCCCACCGAGGCCTTCTTCACCCGCGGTCTACCAACTGCTAACAAGGTTAACATGCTCGAACCACCGTCTATCCGCGGGTTGGACATTGAAAACGAAGCTATCATCCGCGTCAATACCGCCGAAAGCTTCAATGATATCATGAGTGGCGCCGAAATACACGTCAGGGACTGGGAAGGTCAAGCAGGCATCTTTCCTGGCGCCTACGACTTTTCCAGACTCCTTGACAAAGACTCTACCAAGAGGACCATAGATTTTTCCCAGCACGCTGGCACGTTGGACTCTGCCGCCATCGAGAACTGGATTAAGGTATGTCACGGCATCATCAGCTTTTGCCTGAACGAAACTGAGGATCAAGTAGAACGTGTGCTTGGACAGCTGAAGCTACCCATCTCTACATTTGGTTTCTCTGATTTGTACACGACAACTCAGTTTCTTGAAGATATTAACCTCCACGCACAAGCAGCATACTACGAACCTCTGGGCCGGAACCCATTCGTTCCAGAACTCGACAGCCACCGCCTTCGCAAACCCGCCATCAACCTCGAAGACGAAGAAGACTTGTCCCCGTACACCTTTGGCATCGAACTCGAGTTCCTCGTTCCTTTCACCAACACCAAGTATACTGGCAAAGGCATCAAAGACCAGCGCTGGGTCTACGACCACTTCACCCCGTATGTCATCCCAAGTCCAAGCAAGCCCACTACACAGGATGAGCGCGACGAGCTGGCTGACCTGATGGATCAATACCTCTGCACTCAACCCAAAGACGAGCGCGGCCAGGCCCACGACGAATCAGCGAAATATTTAGAGAGGCTGCTCTGCGACGCAGGCCACTTTGGCGCCACGTTCGACACCGTCTTTGACCTCCAAGACAAGTTCGAGGGTAAGGTCTCGATCCCTGGGATACAGTCCGTCGCGGACGCCGCGGGCTGCCACCTCCACTTCTTCGAAGATGTCCTCGCGATGTTCCAGTGCTGGTACATTGAGAGAGATCCTAGCCTTTCGGACTGGGCTTCCGGCGAAAAGGGGTACGCTGGACACATCGGGATAGAAATGTCCAGTCCCATAATGCGTGACTCGCCCAAAGATTTCGGCAAGATTGTCGACGTGTTGAGGATTCTCCGCGGCGGGCTGAGGCCGATGCTGGACATCAGCTGTGGCCTCCACGTCCACGTAGGTAGCGTTCGCGGCTTTTCTCTCCGCAGCTTGAAGCGTATCGCCACGTTGATCATGATTGCTGACCCGATTCTATATACACTCGTCCACCCGTCGAGGCAGTGGAATCCCATGACGGAGCCTCTCCACCTCGAAGCGACTGTCGCAAAGGCCGAGGATTTGCCCGACTATACCGCAGCGTTTGCATTCGAGGACGCAGGTGACAAGTCGGAAAGTAACCCCCTCCAGGTAGTCATGGCCAATGTGCTCTTGGATTTAGAGGCCAACGTCCCCGTGAACGACTTGCCCCGAAAGCTGCGGGGTCAGCTAGCCAAGCTCTGGGCTATGGATAGTCTCGCCGCCCTCCTAGGCCAGCTCGCCCCGTTCCGTGGATGCAAGGGCGGTACCGCCTTTGGCGCGCTCAAGTTGGATTTCACGAGGCCGAGCAATGAACCGCGAGCGAAGGGAACCATCGAGTTCAGAATGCTCGAGGGCACGCTCGATCCGGTGTTGACTACCTACTGGACCAAGCTGCTTCTCAGGATTGTGGAAAGTGGAGACGCCGCGACAACGAAGGAGTACTTCGAGACCATTTCTACCCTCGCAAAAGAGCGAGAAAGTGCTGGTCAGAAGCTTGCTGCGTTGTTGGGTGTCCTTGGCCTTGAAAAGCACCTGCCGTTCTGGAGCAAGGTCCAGCAGAGGAATCAAGCTATGGGCGTCGAGCTGGAAGAAAACGACTACGGAAGGAAGATCATGCCCGAGGATTGGGAGTTACCCATATATCTAGAGACTGAAGGCAATAGGCAGGAGTTTGAACGTAGTTGGTTTGAGCGGAACGTCGTCAGACTCCCAGAGCTTGACGAAGATATTTGGGATAGGATCACAGATATTCTATGAACGGATATCTTCTTGGGTATAAGGTAGATTTCGCCTGTTAGTAACACGGAGTGTCTCTTCTAAAACGAATGTGTCCAAATGCCACGCCTTCCTTACCTATGCCTAGCCTCCCCAAAGAGATTCCGCTGCCACCAACAAACATTTTAGAGCGACTGGCATACCTCAAGGTTTGCTTCAATTAATATAACAGCATACTGTTTCAAATACTCTAAACACTCTCACATGTAAGGAGTCGATGATTGCCCAATATAGCCGCCAAATCCCTTGAACCACCACACTGAAGCCATCTACCACCCCCATAGTGGTACTCCTTCCTTCCAACTGCTGAACTCAAATTGCCCCTTCCGCAACCGTTCCTTCTTTGCTCAGAACGAGGCGAATTACATTAGGCAACAAAGGAAGGGCCGTGCGGTTGTGGGTTACACTGTGAGCATGGCCCACATAGCTCGAGGAAGAAGGAGCGTACAGGCAGGATGAAGAGGCCACATCAACAATGCGTGCAAAATAGTTGTGATTCGACTTTGCAATCGCGAGATATTATCATTGAACGTCGCCTGGGACATGTTTTACAAGAGCCAAAAAGAGTCGGCGGTTGGGTGGTGTTGTGTTTGTAGGGAGCGCCCGGGGATGTAAGCCACCTCGCCTAAGGCAAGGGCCCATCACCACAGCTCATGGCAGCTCTCACAAAATGTCAGTCTGAAATCTCCTAGGACTGCTGTATGATTGATATGTTGCACAGGCATGAAAAACTGCACGTTTGTGCGGGGTGTCTTTGTTGCTGACCACGTCTGGGGATCACTTTGAGTGCATACGCAGTGCAACCATGCTCCTGCCCGCAAAGCTTGGCCTCACTGAGTTTCCACTCTTCCCAGACAGATTCCAATAGATTCGAATCACGTGCTTTTACTTCCATGCTATCCAGGAGTTGCCAAGGGAGGAAGGGACGTTCTTGCAGCTTAGGTAGGCAGAGCAGTCGAGAGATTACAGCTGTCCTTCCCCCTGGTCTAGCCTCTCATTTGTAGCTGTCGTGCTTCGGGGAAGATTCCGAGATGGCTTGTCAATTTGCTTCATCTAGATTGATAAACTGTCAGGCCAGCTCTACATCATTGGTCTCTCCATGTTGTGTCGCCCACCCAGTTCTCCAAGTGTGCCTCAACGAAGATGTGCCAGTTTCCCCTGAAAGACTCTGGCTTCTGCGTTCAAGTCATCCGGTATCACCACCATCGTGAGAATCTCGGAATATCTACCTGCCACCGTTACCTGTTGCCATCGATAACACTCTGAACGGGAAGGATAGCCCGGTTGGAAGTATGGCAGCAATTCTAACACCAACTTGATTCCTTCCGAATTTCTTTTGCCGCTAGAACGCCTTGGAATTCACTTCTTGACGAGAAACTTGCTCAACGGAAGGTACAGGATTTTGGGCTCCTTCCTCTACTTCTTGGGCCCTCCCTCCTGAGCCATTATATAAACCCGCTGTCTCTCCCACCCACCACCCTCTCTTCTTCTTCCTCCCACACACACACGCACACTTCAATCTCTCTTCTTCGTTGATACCCAACTTCAAAGACTGCGTCTTTCTTTTCCACTTCAACCTTTCCATCCAACACTGTCTCTTTCAGGCTTCTCATTCACTTCACTTCACACACGCTTCACTTTCCATCTTCCCACACACACTACCCACAACAGTCAACATGATCAGCATCAAGACTGTCGTTACTGGCATTGCAGTCGGCCTCACCGCCGTCGGCATAGCCCATGCCTCTCCCACCATTGCCAGTGGTGACGAGAACCGCGCGCTCTCCATGATCAACACTGCTCGTTCCGAGGCAGGTGCCCCTCCCATCCTTTGGGACAACAACCTCAAGGAGGACGCCGACACCTGGGCTCTTCTGCTCGCCAAACAGGGCTTCATTGGCCGTGCCCCTGCTCATCAGCGTGATGGTGCTGGCGAGGTCGTCGCCTACTTCAGCTCTCTGTCCGAGGACAGCGTGCAGGTCACCAACCCTCTGGTCTCGGCTGTCAAGCTCTGGCTTAGCTTCAAGGACATGAAGAATTTCCAGACCACTGTCGAGGACTACTATGAGACCCTCAGCACCACTGGTATGTCTTCGCCTCGTCTGCTGACTTTCTCGTCTAACCTTTCCTGCAGAGCAGCTCCTCTCTGACAAGGCTACTCACATTGGCTGCTCTACCCGCCTGGGCAAGAAGGGCCGCGCTGTCAACCCCCTCGCTTCCTTCACGGTCTGCCGTGTCTACAAGGATGTCGAGTAAGTTGCCTCTTCTTCTCTCTTCTTGCACAACCCTCTCTCAGATGCTGACACTGGCTTGTTGCAGGCCCCCCGCCGTCATGGCTCGCCAGGACCTCAGCCCCGGCCCCTTCCAGGGCGACATCACCTTCTTCAACCCTGGTCTTGGCGCCTGTGGCTGGACCGACAACGACGACTCCATGATTGTTGCCCTCTCTCACATCAAGATGGGCTCCCAGTCCAACGGCAACCCGCTCTGTGGCAAGACGGTCCGCATTCAAGCTGAGGGCAAGTCTGTCGACGTCAAGGTGACTGACAAGTGCATGGGATGTGCTGTCAACGACATTGACGTTAGCCCTGCCGTCTTCAAGGCCCTCCTGGGTGACCTTGGCCGCGGTCGCGTCGGTGGTGTGACTTGGACTCTTGTCTAGGTCTACCTTTCTATTCAACAACATTTCTCACGGCCCAACATGGATTGGGATTTCGGAAGGCACATTGACTTTCATCAGGACTGCATATTTTGGGGGAGATGAGGACATGGCATGGTTGTACCGTCAGGGGATGAGTACCTTAGTCTAGATATCTCCGCAATGCAGCAAAGAATCATTCGCACTTGTTTGTTCCTGGTGATGTTTGTCTGTCTCTCACTCTCGTGTGGCTACTGCGGCTAATTAGTGTCTTGTCATGAAGCTACCATTCAGCTATCTAGCTACCATCTTGCCTTACCTTGCCGATGAACGTTGAACTTAGCCTGAGGCTGCTCAGCCTCTGCTTGCCCAAGACATCATATGAGATACGAAGGATGCCAGTATCAACCTGTGTATCGTCATGAATCGTGGGCAATCATTTCATCTATATACCTTCTTTGGCCAGCGTATCTCCAGCCAAATCATCTATCATGACGCGTATATACACTCTTCCGACTACCAATTACCATGAAAACCGCCCAAGTAGATATGCAAAATTCCAACAAGCCGCCCATCATCGAGATCATTACTAGGCGTACACCAAACTCAAACCACACACTACACGGCAACAGTATTCCGCTGCCGGATACTCTGCGACCTCAAAAACGAAATCTGCCCTCTCCGCACAGTCATATCCCCACGCGGGGACCTCATATCATCCTTATCCTGCGACATGCTCGGCGACAGCTCAAGCGTATTACTCCCGTACAAATCGCTCGCCGAGGCAGCGGGCCGCTCATCCCGCCTCACAGACAGATAAAAGAAGTCCCACCAGAAAGAATGCTCCAAGTCCCTCGGCTTCCCATCAGCAGTCCAGTACCGCTCCTCCGATAACTCCCTCGACAGGTGCCGTCGGAAATACCGGTCCTGGCTCACCCACCACGCGCGCCAGGCGACGAGGATACCTATCGTCAGCGGGATGACGGTGGCCCAGTAGACCCAGAAGAGGTGGCTCAGCACGGGGATGGGATCTTTGGGGTTTGTGGAGGTGCCGCTCCCGTTGTCGCTGCTGTCTGCGTCTTCGCCCGAGGCTTGCCAGTCGAACATGGACATGCCGAAGAGGGTGCCGAGGAACTCGCCGAGGAGGAAGACTGCTGTTATCACGGCGAGGGCTTTCATTGAGGAGGAGTCGCGGGAGGAGGCGACGGCCATGCGGGCGTTGAGGACGTTGTCTTCTTGGGCCATTTTACTGTAGATCTGCGCGGTGTTAGTTTTGAGGAACACGGTGAGGATGCAGTACATGATGCTCACAATATCAATCTGGGCGCGGCACCGGGCCTCCGACATGCGGCGATCCGTCTCGAGGCCCATACACATCCGCTGTAACCCCTCGAGATACTGCCTTATCTCATGCCAATGGTTCCCCAACGGATCAGCCAGCGGATCCGGCGCCTTGGGCAGCGACCTGCGCCTCGTACTCGCAGACGACCGCGACGGCGGGCCCGTAGGCGGCTCGTCGGGCTGCACCTGCTGGTCCTGCTCATCTCTCTGGTCGGCGTCCGTCTGCCTTACGTGGAAATCGTCCAGTCGGATCTTGAGTTCCCCCGTCGACATGCGCTCCGCGAGCTCGTCGCCGGCCTGCAGCATCAGCTTGACCACCCTCTCCATCCACCGCACGGTGTCGAGGAGCTTAATCGATTCTTTAAGTACATCGTGCGCGCTCTTCATCAGGTTCGCCATGCTCATCGGCCCAGCAATCTGCGGCGTCTTCTCGTTATGCGAGGCCGCAGCCGTGGACGAGGCGAACGTCAGTCTGCGCATGAGCTTCGAGCGCTTCTCACGCTCCATTTCAAAGGCCTCGAAGCCGGCGATGGAGCTGACCTGCCACTCGAGGGCCTTGACGTGGTTGATGTTCTCCATGACGGCCTCTTCGGTGCGCATGAACTGGACTTGGAGGAGGACGACGGGGGTGATGAAGGGGTGGGCCCAGTGGGCGCGGCAGGCCTCGAGGCGCTGGTCGTACTCGTCTAGGTTCTCGAGGGAGTGCTGGCGCGGGTGGTAGGATTGGCGGACGAGGACGGAGGAGGTGCGGTTGCGGACGTCGTAGGTTAGGGACATGAAGTCGTAGGGTGTTCTTGGGTTTTTGGAGAAGGAGAGGATGAGGCCTGCAGGTGTTAGTTGAAGGTCATTGCAAGTAAGGGTGAGAAAGATGGTTGCTGGCATGAATACTCACTCAGTTTGGAGCGGTCGAGGGACCAGAAGCGGGATTCGTTTGTGACGCGGCGGGAGTATTGGAGGGTGGCGGGGTGAAGGTCCATTGCGTCGAGGTCTCTTGGGGTCATGGTGATGCCGTCTTCTCGGCGGTCAAAGGATTTGTTGCGGCGGAAGCAGATGCTGTTGCTGTTAGTCTCTACCTGTGATGAAATCCTCATTAAGGTGGGTGAACTCACACTCGTCGAACCCTTCCATCTAAAACCAACTCTGGATGCCGCACCGGCTCTTGTGTGAATACTCCCTTCTAAGACGTTAGTTACTCTATCCAACATTATCAATTGGGTGATATCAAGGGGAGACTACATTATGGTCAACAGAATACCCATGACGAAATGCTAGATTGAGCGTGTGGTGACCAGCCACCTCCTCTTTGTGCTGCAGCTGGAAACTGATATCCTCGTCGTCCTCTAACCCCGTCTTGGCGCCCGAGGGGATACCATTGTCCTTCTTGAAGACAACGTACTCATCGTACTCGACCTTGGAGACGGCGTTGTCGTCGGAAACGAGGATGTCGTCGCGCAAGGCGAGGGTGTCAAAGCGGAACAGGTCGGACGAGTCGAGGCCTTGGTAGCGGGCCATCAGGGCGTTTCGGGGATGGTGGTGAGCCGGGTGGTGTTTGACATGGCCAGGTTGTGGTGAGTGAGTGAGTTGTCGTCAGTTGGTGAGTGAGCCTTCAATTGGTGGTGAGTGAGGCTTATTCTGTAGGTGAATGAGGTGAGAGTCGGTGAGAATGAGGGTGAAAAGGGAAGTGAGTGAGATAATCATCCGCCTCACCCCCCCTGGTCTTTCTCTCACTCATCGATGAGGAACATGTTTTTTTCTCACTCTTTCCGCCGGCCAGGTTGCCTTGCCGATCTTGGCGGGTTGGTCGCAGGCCGCAGGCGGGTGGTTGGTGATTTTGGTGGGCCTCGATCGCGGGGGCGCTGTGCCGCTGATGTTGAGGCTTTAGGCCACAAGCAACGGGTTACAGCACCCGGAGCGACCCTTCAACGGCTGCCCCTCCCTAAAGCATGTGGTGCATTCGCCCCCCGTCCAGTGACATTCCTCGCTAAAGTTTGCCTCGCCTCAGCCACCACTCAATTCCCCCAGACGGCCTCATTATGGGTCTTGGCGGGCGTTCTTGGCGGGTCTGCTGCCCGGGGTCTCGCTGTAGTGGCTGCCGGGTACCATTTTCTGGCCTCGAGTCTTGCGCCGTTTGTTACCTCAAACCAAACAACTGCGTCATTTCTCCTTCAACTTCAAAGTAACCTTCTTCATCTCAGCTTCAGAGTCATCGAACAAACACATAAAGTTTCGCTTGATCAAGATTGCATTTGGCTAATCTGGAACACTCGATTAGCGTCTTCCGAAACCATGGAACGGCAGCTCGGCACGGCCCAACCACCGAATAGCTTCATCCCCCGGCCAGTTCCTCCACTCATCGGACCCTGTCACCGCCGATTTTCCTCACCACCGGCGCCGATATCCGTCATTTTCTCCACCGGCCCCTGCTCCGGCCCCTGTGCCTCTTCGGGTGAGGCCGGCTGTGGTTTCGGCGCGTCTTTGCGCAGCCTGAATCCGCCCCTCCATCCGATCCAGCTCTTCTCCCGTGGGCCTTTGAGCATGGTGATGATCAACGACAACCCAATGAAACCGACTGTAGAACGTTAGCAACTTCGGAAATCATGGTAAACAAGGAGACTCCGAGAGGGGATCACGTACTGGAGGTGCCCGCGCTGTACTTCCACCCGCCCTGCGCATACAGCCTATTCCCCACCGCCGTACCCGTCAACTGCCCGCAAAACACACACACCATGTACGCCGTGTTCACCCGGTTCCTCGCCTTGGGGTTGATAGTATAAATCGCAGTCCGGTTGGCAGTCTGCGCAGTCTGAATCCCAATATCAATGCAAATCGCCTGGATCACAGGCCCAGCAACGGTAAAAGTACCCGTGAAGGCACCAATGATGCACCCAATGAGTATAACAGTCTGCCCAAGCACAGAAGATAGCCACGGCACGTATCGATCCATGATGAGACGTCCATACACCGGCCCACCGCAGATCGCGGCGATACCAATCAGCGAGAACAAGCCGATTGTGATGGATGGGTACTCGTACGGCGGCGAAGCCAACAAGAACGTCAACGTCGTCCAGAAGGACGTGAAGATGGAACTAATAAAGAACCCAATCAGGCACGCCTGCACGAGTATCGGCTCGGTGAACAGCATCGTCACAATCGTCCACAGCGCGCGGAAGTAGTTGAGCCCGTCTGGGTTCGTCGACGGGTAATCCGGCACGAAGAAGAAGAGCAAGACCAGCAGCAGGTTCTGCGCTCCGAAAGAGAACCAGTAGATGTTGCGCCAGGAGGTGTAGTTCGCCACGATACCGGACAGCAGACGCGCGATGAGCATGCCGAGCATGAGGCCTGACGTCGTGATGGAGAGGGAGCTTGCTTTGCGTTCGGGGGGCGCCATGTCTGCTACGAGGGGGAGCATGAGTTGTGGTGTTACTGTTGTTGCGCCGACGATGAAGGAGAGGCCTAGGAAGGCTTGGAAGGAGTTTGTTAGGCACAGGCCGAGCCACTGGGAGGTGTTAAGATGATGGACTTCGCAAGAGGTCTTTGTGTTGGGTGGCCTACCAGCATTGCTGTCACCCAGATGAGGCCTAGGATGAATGGTCGTCGTCGTAGCATGTCGCCGAGAGGGCAGATGAAGAGCAAGCCTGCTGCATAGCCGGCTTGCATCAGCGTCGCGACGGATGATGCCCTCTCGAAGCTGACGTTGAATGTCTCTGCGATTCTGTTGAGGACCGGTTGGTTGTAGTACAGATTGGCGACTGTGAACGTCGCGGCCTGGATCGCTTAGCATCTCATTCTATCATTTGTGTATGATTGAGGTAACTTACAACCGCGAACAAAAAGTTGAGGCCTAGCGTAAATTGGGGAGGATTCTTGGGATCATATCGCAACTTCCTCGGCGTCCAGGTCAGAAACCCAACTGTCGCGCCAATCACTCCTTTGCGACCGCCCTTCTCGCCGGCATCTCGATGCGATTCGCAGTCCGAATTCGAAGGTGATGGTGAAGGCGATCTCGTCTCATTCCCACCGCCCGTGGATACCCGCTTCTCATCGTCGTCGCCGCCAAAGCCCTCATCCCGGGCAGAGTTCGCGGCTGAATTCCGTATTGCCTCCTGCGGCATGGAAGTTTCTTTTCCTTCCGCAGCAGCAGCCACCACCGCTTCATCGGGCCCTGCCGTTGCACCTACGCCTGCGCCTGTGGGCGTTGAGCCCATGTCCTTGTTGCTGGCGTCCGTGTCACCTCTGCTGCGCTCAGCAGAGTTTCGCTTCTCCAACATTGGGACCCTTCTGTACTGAGACTCTGAGGTCACCCCGATTAAGCTTCTTTCTCTTCAAGTTGAAGGTATGCGACAAAGTAACAGAGTCAACAGTCTCCATAGATTGTTTATCCGCTCGTTCGCGAAACGCTCTTAGCGTGCGGGAGTCCGTTGGGGCTAGTTGATTAGAAATGACGAAGTCATGGCGTTGAGTTGGCAATCTTTCAAAGTCGATATTTACTGCCTTCAGAAAGTCCCACTAAACCTTCTGTATCCTTATTCTCAGAGCGCAAAGTCAATTCGAGGTTGTAAACTCCATGGTCTTCCAACGGCGCATCTAAAAGAGAGAAAAAGCCCGTCGGCAAACATGCTAAACAGCTCGGAACTTCGTCTATGACGCGCGACTCATGGAGCGCTTAAAGCATTTACCGAGACTCGATTCCGGGGGATTGTCGCGGAGATAAGCGCTCCATTCGATGGCGCGAGACCGGGGCGGTGTCCTATCATCGTTGGCCTCAAGCTACTAAGACTCAAGTAAGCTTGTTCGGCCGGCACCGACTCGGCGTGGGGGGGTTGCTGCTGGGTGCAGCGGCTTCAGTACCGGGGCTTGTTCCGATTTCCGGCTTTTTGAGACATGCGCCGGGCCGTTGGGAGTGTGGTTTGGATGGAGGTTGTCTGGTATGGGGCAGAAGGTGTGTGGTGGTCTCGGAGGAGAGGTGGGGGACATGGTTCTCTGTACAAGCTTTAGGGAACTGGAAAGTTTGCCATTTCTCCAAAACTCTGATGACTTCACACCTAAAGAAGATGATTTCCGTGATAAACTGAAGAAAAAGAGTAAGAGGCGAAGTAAAGATGGCAAAAACGCAAAACAATTAGCACAACCTGGTTTCGATCCAGGGACCTCTGGGTTATGAGCCCAGCGCTCTACCCCTGAGCTATTGTGCTTCCTGATGGAAAATTTCAGAAAGTTAGTCTCTCTTGTAGGTTAGCGCTTGGGCCGAAACTTTTCCGGCCCAGGGGACAGTCCGCGCTCAACGTTCATCAAGCCCGTGAACTTCGCAGGTGCATAAATATGATGTGATGGGTACCTCGAGTGAATTTCTTTGCCTAAGGTTGGACACTGTCGTTGAATTTGACGGTATTTGTTATGCATCGGCTCCCGCACCCGGCGACAAAATGTCACTGAGGGTGGCAGCTTGTGATGGATACTTGCTTGTCCACCTCTCATTAATTTGTAATCAAAAACGCCATAGATAGAAATCTTATTGTGCATGGCGAAAGAGGAAAAGTAGGCCGATAGGGTAGAGTTGGAATATGAAGAGAGACCAGGGCGCGGTGATTGGGAGAGCTTCGATGGGTTGATCTGACATTTTAAGTGTTGGATTGCATGGCAACTTGCGACATCCGTTTGGGGAAGCATCTAGACAAAAACGCCGTCTTTTCTAATATAGCTCACTGTGCTACGTTCTCTGTCTCGAAATCCACGACTCTCCTTGCGTCTCCCTTCCTTCATGCGATGTGCGATGCTGAAGCATCGACTAGTCACAGACAACCCTTGCCTTGACTAGCAGTAGATCCGAGTCATAGCTGTCGCCATCAGCGGTGCCAACCTTCACTAGAGCCGGCGAGATGTTGCATAGCACGATGTTACCATCACCGAGCGGCTCCCTCTCCCAGCCCTCAGCTTCCATATACTTGTCGTCGAAATGAATGGGGGGTAAATCCGCCACTTGCATGTAATCCCAAGACGTGTAAAAGTGAGCCTGGGAAGCCATGAAGATCGCACGGAGCTCCAGCGCATCGTTGAATATCTTGCACATATTCTTCTGAAGCTTCTCGTACTTCGCTTGGTGGTCAGAACACCTCTTGGGAATGAAATTGATGAAGGCCGTGATTTCTATCTGCGTTACTGTCGACAGCTCCGTGTGGTCGACGCCAATAATCCGGTTGATCATCTCTCCAACCTCAGCTTTGCAACGCAGAAGCTTCGTGGGGTCCAGTTGCTTGCGATCGCATACCGCTGCCATTCAAAGGCTTTAGTAAAGATAATCACCAGATAGGCAACACGGGGATACTCTTACCTACGAGCTCTTCAAAGCAGGTAATGAAGCTCATTCCGATACTGCCGGCCCAACTTCCGTCTACCCCGAGGTCGAAGAATCGTCCCACGACAGTCTTCCAAATGTAGTGTTCCACAACGAAGGGTCTCATGTCCTCGTCTTGGAGTAGTTCGGTGTAATCATTGATGCCATCGGAACTGAGAAAACAGGAGTCATTGATGCTACCATCTTTCAGGTCTCTCTCTGAGGGAAAGCCGGTGAGAACGTTATTGGAAAGGTAGTTGATGTTGTACTGCATCTTCGCCCATATGGCCCTGATCGATTCGTCCGAGACCTTAGTAGAGTTCGCAAAAGGTTGAGTCTTCGATTTCGCGTCCTCATATCCATCATGTTGGGACTCGATTTTCTCAATCCGTCCGGAAAGCTTATGGTAAACCTGCTCGAGGTCGTCCATGGCATCTCGATGATCCGACTCTCGCTGAGCCAGCTCTGCTTCAGCATCAGCGGCCTTCTCAAGCGCAACCGCTAGCTTCCTGTCCGTGTCGGCTGCTTCATTATTTGCCTTGTCCAGGAATTCCTGGAGCTTTTTCTTCTCGTCTTCGCATTCCTGAAGACGATTTGAAAGCTCCGCAATGCGCTGTGCTTGTAGCGCGGCCTTCTCCTTGCCTATGATGACGAGGGTATGCTCCTGGTAACATGGCGTCGAATCACTGGGGCCCACAATCTTTTTCTCCCAGCGGACAACCTCGAGGTTCTTGCTGTGATAACTTTTGCGGATTCTTCGGCGGAGGCTCTGGTGAGGAGGTAACGCTGCTATACGCTCCCCAAAGGAAAGTGCCATCTGCTCGCTAAGAGTGTCGGTGTTCATTGATTGCGGAACCTCGCCCTCGCCGGGCTCATCTTCTAGTATGCTGATGGGAGATTCTACTTCAGTGTCATCGATGACCATGAAGCGTCCCTGAAAACCAAGTAAGAATTTGAGGGTGAAGACTTTCTGAAGTTTGAGTATTTGGGGTAGCTTACCTGTGTATGCTCAGCCATGATTCAGCTGAGCAACTTGATTTATCTCTTGCCGATGTGAGAAAACTTCGGGAGTCTTTGCGCAAAGAAGCTTCCATGGAAGGTATGATTATGTTGTATGAGAAAGACTCTGGGGATTCGCAAGAATGATTGTATGAGGTGAGGTAGAGTGGTAAGGCCGGGGCGGACTAAGGTGATGTGAGGTGTGCTCACCACCCAAGCTTCCTTCCTTTTCTTTTGGCAACAGGTACCTTCCTTTTGCTTTTCTTTCTGTGCCTTGTGGCCTAAGTGAGGCAAGGTAGGTACGATGCACCCATTCTTCTTGACTGCACTTTTTTGGGAGAAAAAAATCTACTTCACCCTCTCAACTCAACACCTCACCTCACCCTCTCACAACACACTTTTCGAACTTCTTTTTTTACTCACTATTCTTGCTAAGCTCTCAAAGTTTTCAGTACGTTGTTCTCTCTGATTTTTCCCTTCACCTCGTCAGGAAATGTCAGTATTTTCTGTCTCCCATCTTTTTGATGTTTTCTCTACAAGCCCACCACCGCTTACCCCCAGTTTCACAATATTTCTCTCTTTACTGACGAAGACAATCCAGACTGGAGATCAGCAGAAGCTCTCGGCGAGAAAGTGAAGCCCATCATGGTGAGAACTCGGAACTCTGAAGAAAATGAGAAGGCCATCATCATCGGCATAGACTTCGGCACGACGTAAGAATACCATACTACTTCCTTTTCTTTTTCAACCTCATTGGACTATCTTCTGACTACTCGAAAGCTTCTCCGGTGTCAGCTGGGCCTACTCAGGTCAGCCCGACAACATCGAGGTCATCAGCTCCTGGGAGTCCAAGCTGAAGCACAACTCCGACAAGGAGAAAGTGCCCTCTTCCATTCTTTTCCGAGGAAAACGCGGCAACTCTTCATGGGGATATGCCTTCCCCAAAGATACAAAGCAGGAGCCCTTGAAGTGGTTCAAGCTCCTACTTATCGATGAGCGTGACCTTCCCGAGAACGTCCGAGATTCTAGCCAGATTGCTACGGCTAGGAGACTGGCTAGGAGCGCGAACAAAGAGCCGGTCGAGATCATCAGCGGATATCTTCAGAACCTATGGAACCACGCCATTGAGCGTATTGTCAGCAAAGTTGGCGATGCGATGGTCAAGATGTGCCAGTTTCACATCGTCATCACTCTCCCGGCAATCTGGCCGGATTACGCCAAGGCCAGAATGCGTAGAGCTGCCGAAGAAGCTGGTTTGCTCGAGTCCCGTCCAGCTGGAAAGACGAGCTTGTCTTTCATCTCGGAGCCCGAAGCGGCAGCCCTGGCTACGATGAAGGACTTGTCGAAGATGCCGACCGCCGAGGTATGTGAGCCGTCATGACTTTGGGCGAAGAGACACTGACTAGTTACCTCCTAGGTTGGGGATCACATCGTTGTGTGTGATGCTGGTGGCGGCACCGTCGACCTCATCACCTACGAGATCCTGAGCTTGGATCCCTTCATCGTCCGAGAGGCTGTTCAGGGTGACGGCGACCTCTGTGGCGGCGTCTTCCTTGATGAGGCATTTGTCAACATGCTCAAGGAGAAGGTTACTCCTCAAGCTTGGAACAACATTCCTGAAGAGGAGGTTAGGAAGCTAGTGAATGACGAATGGGAGCATTGTATCAAATCTGGTTTCAAGAACCAGGACGACGACTGGCAGATCAATCTTCCTCCTGAATGTCGCGTACCTGGGTCTCAAAAGCGGGGAATGAAGCGCAAGCGCAACCTCATACTTGATCACGCGGACTTGCTCAAAGTCTTTGACCCTGTCGTCAACCAGACAATCTCACTGGTGGAGAAGCAGATCGAGGCTGTCATGACGAAGACGGAGTCGAAGCCCAAGGTAAGAGGCACTATCATTGATGAATAATGAACAACTGACATTGATTGTGAAAGCAAATCATTCTTGTAGGAGGGTTTGGTAGATGCCTGTATCTACGAAGCCGCCTTCAAGAAGAAGTTGGCAATAACATTGAGATTCTTCAGGGCGATGGAGCCAAGCCGTAAGTCTTCTTCTAGATTATTCCAAGTCGATGCTTACATGACACAGGTGGACTGCGATTTGTCGGGGTGCGACTATTCATGGACTGACGCGCCGCAACCTCGCTCCCGGTCTTGCAGTCGAGATCAAGTCCAGAGTCTCTCGCGTGAGCTACGGCACCTGTTGCACAATGGATTACGATCCCGACGAACATGATGAGAAAGACAAGTACTGGTGCGAAGATGAACTCTCATGGAAGGTTGATACCTGCATGGAGTGGTTTCTTGAGCGAGTATGTTGGGAAATACGGTCTTCTTCTGGAGGGTATTCAAAACTGACACTTATGCTAGGGAACTGATGTCTCTTCTGCGAATCCGGTTACCAAGTCTTACTATCGCCTTTGGGAGTCAGTTCCTAGTCAGGTCGACGGAACGATCTATTCCAGCGAGGCGTGGCCTCCTCCGGAGAGATTGGACCACCGCGTCAACGAGCTGTGCACCATTACTTGGAAGAAGAAGATCAACTTCGCGTCTCTTCCTCGCTTCACCAACCCCATGGGCAAAGTCTTCGCAAAGATCAACTACGACGTGGAGATGACCTGCTCCGGAAAGAGCGTGGACTTCACTGTCATTCATGATGGCAAGCAGGTGGCAGCTAAGAATGTCGAGGTGGTCTTCAAGTCGGACGACGACGAGTAACGGAATGGCTTACGGATTCTGGTGATTGAACCGTGGATACTGGCATCGTGAAGAGGCTTGTGGAGGGAGTGATTGGCTTCTACTGCATAGGGAGGAAGGGATGGCAGATGGCACGAAGGCTATCAGCCATCAGACCTGCTGGGAGAAGCCATGGTAGTTCCTAAAAGGGCATTAGAGAGGCAAAATTCATAATAGAACCTGATCTGCAACATAGATTTCACGGCACTGACCTACTTGACGACACGTTGTCTGTGGACTGGCTGCTGGTAAGCTCATCTCAGTCTCACCGAGTTGACAGGTTTCATTGCACCACGACATCGGGGCGTCCTGGAGGGGAGAAAGCGTGTACACTACGATGGTCAACATATCGAAAAGCTTGTATCTGATACGCCGGACCGTGCTCAGTATCTTCGAAACCCACAACTGTGGCGTTTACGACCTGCAACCCGTCAGCTTGGGCTCCCGGAAGCTTATCACTACCATCACCTGCTCGACCGGTCATTGTGTCACGTCAGCACAAAGCCGATCGGACAGCGGTACAAGGGCGGTTTCCCACATATTCGGGACGTTGAACAATCCTCATGCATGGCCCGTATGATGGGCTTTGTATGCATGCTTCGTCAATGCTAAAAGCTGGTGAAGTTGCGGTAAGCGCCGGCCGCGGTTCAAAGAGGCTGTTTAACGGGCCGACTATCCGCGCGCCTGTGTAACCTGAGATGTCTTCTCAGTGGCATTGACCGCAAGCTCAAAGGTGTCTATGGCAGAAGTCAAACGGGTTGTTTTCGCCTGGGCTGTCTTTGTTGCAGCCTGCGATTCAACGACAGCTCCAGAGTCTTGGCAATTAGCTGGTAAGCTCGCTTGCCCCAAAAGACAGCTTTGATATGCTGCAGCTGTATATAGAGCTTATATGCTGACTCGAAATTGAGATATACGACATGGGCGAGCCCATTGGTCCGGTTAGTTCGAGTACAGCTTATGGCTTGATGGCGCAAGAGCCTGAGATAACAGCTGCCCAAGGAGGAGCAAGTCGGGAGGGTCTTTGAGTGTTCGAAGATCCGGCGACGATGCATGTGACCATGATAATGTCTGCTCGGCGGCCATGCACTCGTACTCCTAAAGCAAGAAACCTCAACAGCAAGATAGCCAAGAGAGAAACTCGGCATCAGACCGGAGGGCAGCTGGAGAAGGGAGAACAGCCTGACTCCTCCTCCACCGAGGGCCCTCTCTCGGGAGACAACACCGGCGCAGAGCGAGGCAAAGATGCCGTCGTTATCGAGCCGTCCGTACCGTCACCGGAATCAACTAGTACCTCATCGTCTTCGCCATCCTCTCTTCAACCTTCCTCTTTACCCTAGACAACACCGTCGTCGCTGACGTGCAGCCTCAGATCGTGTTGCAATTCGACTCCATCAAGGATATTGCATGGCTTGCCGTCGCCTCCATCATGGTCGCGACGGCTGTCAACCTCTTTAACGGCCAGCTGTACTCGCATCTTAAGCCCAAGTGGCTTAACATCGCTAGTGTCGCTGTCTTCGAAGCGGGTAGTGCTCTCTGCGGTGCGGCGCCGAACATGAACAGCCTGATCGTCGGGCGAGCACTGAGCGGTCTGGGCAGTGTTGGTATGTACCTCGGGGTCATGGTCCTCATCGCAGCGACCACGACGATCCAGGAGCGGCCTGCGTATCTTGCTAGTATTGAGATTACTTGGGGGCTAGGAACTTTGCTTAGGCCTGTTGTAGGAGGTGCCTTTGCTGACTCAGATGCGACGTGGCGGTAAGTCATTTCAACCATGGTCGATAGCCTCCTCAGTGACTGACACTCCACAGCTGGGTCTTCTACATCAACCTTCCCATCGGCGGCCTTGCTGCGCCAGTGTATCTCTTCATGCTGCCATCCCCGGATCCTCAGCCCGGCGCGACCATCATGCAGCGACTCGCCGAGATCGACTGGATCGGTGCTCCGCTGATGCTCGGCGCCATTGTCTGCTTTACCATGGCACCCATGGGCATCTCATTCGGCGGCGTTTTGTATGAATGGAACTCAGGTTCCGAGATAGCGCTCTTCGTCGTCACAGGTGTCCTGTTCGTCGTGTTCGACATTCAGCAAGCATACTGCATCGGAACAACAAAGGAGCGCCTCATCTTCCCAGTCGAGTTCATCACCTCCCGCATGTACAACCGGACCATCATCCTCATGTTCTGCGTCACGGCCGCCGGAGGCTGCGCCGTCTTCGTGCCGGTGTACCTCGTTTCCATCTTCTTCCGATTCACGAGGGGTGACAGTGCTATTGACGCGGCTGTCCGCCTGCTGCCGTTCATCTTGGTCATGGTCACTGTGACCCTAACGCAGGCGGCATGCTGTCGCATCCGTCCGGAGAAGTTCGGGCTGCACATGCCGTGATTCACCGTCGGCGGCATCATCAGTGTCATTGCTTCCACCTTGATGCATGTCGTCAAAACTGACATCAGCACAGCCTGGGTCTGCGGGGCATCGGCCATGCTCGGGGCCGGCGTCGATACCTTCACGCAAGCGGGCTTCTCGATTGCCCAGGCCAGAGTGTCGGCTTCCAAGGCTGCTGTTGCGTCCTCTACGATTGCCTTGGCCCAGACCAGCGGTATCAATATCGCGTTGGCGGTCAGTAACGCTGTGTTTTTGAACAGAGCTGAGAAGCGGCTGACTGCGATTCTCCTGGACACTGTCACAGAGGGTCAGATCCAGGCTGCGATTGCTGGTGTTGGAATGGATTTTGTCACGACGCTGCCTCCGCGGATGCAGCAGGAGGTTCTCGAGGCTATCGTCGAGGCTCTGAATCTGCCTTATATCTTGGTCATCACTGCTGGAGCACTTGTCTTAGTCTGGAGTGTTCTGATGAAGAGGGAAAGGTTGTTCAAGACGGCTACTGTTAGGGTTTGAGAATCTTTGGCAGATGACGATGAAGAAAGAAGAGCAATGAATATATACGAAGACATTGAATCTTGGTGAAGAGGTCATAGATGAGGACACCATAATGTTAGGTTTGTCCGGGTGGGTATAGGGTCTGGATGAGATGAGCGCATATAAATGCCGAGTAACAGATATTGAATGCAAGGCCACCAGTTCTCTTCGTGCCCTCAGGAGCAACAGGCCGAGCCTCCAAAAGTCCCCATCTGAAAGGCGACTTGATATATCTGGTCATCAGCGACATCCGGTCGCTTGAGTGCCGTCGCTAGATTTTGTTCCGTGATGGTACATTCCCCCCGGCATCAAGCAGGTATTTTTCTTCGAATAATTCCTCAACGTAGAGACCAAGAGGCAAACGTCAATCGTCGCGCAGAAGAAGAGTAAGTTAATCCAGGAGGATGAGTACGCCCTAAAGTCTCATCCTGCGAAGCTCGATACGAGTCTCAGCACAAGGTCCCTCGACAGTGCTCAGGAATGAATGAGATGCACCTTATAAGTAAGGCAAGGGATGAGTGAAAGGGATGAGTGAGATGGAGAGTGAGATGGAGTGAGATGAAGAGTGAAGTGAGGTCGTCGCGGTGGAGCGTGCACCCACGGGGCCGTGCGGAGAAACGGGTCCCAGCGCGTCTTACCTAATGCGCTCGTGGACCCGTTATTTTAAAACAGAGCCACAGGGGGACTGCAGCTCCATGTTGCAGGACAGTTTCGCTCTAACCCGTTGCGGCCGGTCCATCCCTCGGTCGGAGGACGTCCAAAAGTTGACACCTCTTCGGAAACTCAACCACAGCTCTGAACCTCTCATCAAATCCCGGAGCTCCGTCGCGAACTCATCCAAATTCGCCATCTCCCCCTATTACCAACGACGACAACGACAACGAAGAAGAGACGCGCCGCCATCGATCTCGGCCCGCCAAACACAGCATGAGTTCATGAGAACAGGGTCCTATCGTGCCCTTGCTGCTGTCATTCGTCAGTCACAGCCCGCCATGGCCCTCCCTCTCGTGAGAGGCCATCCCGTCCGCGGACTCTGGATCGCGTTCCTCCATCTCCTTTTCGCGGCTTCGGTATGCGCCTACACACCGCTCTCGGCAGACGTGCTCAAGAACGTCACGGTATCCGAGGCCGACTTTGACATTCACAACGGCCCATTGCTGGCCCCCATTCTCATCCCCCGAGTGCCCGGCACGGACGGGCAGCTCAAAACTCAACAGCATTTCGTCGATTTCTTCACCAAGAACTTACCGAAATGGAATATCCAATGGCAAAACTCAACGGATAAGACACCCGCCACGGGAAATACCGATATCCCGTTTCAGAATCTCATCATCAGGCGCGAACCACCATGGACGAAGCCTGGCCAGGCCAACTATCTCACCCTAGTGGCGCATTACGACAGCAAGATCGAACCCAAGGGCTTTATCGGCGCGACGGATAGCGCTGCGCCGTGCGCTATGCTTCTGCACGTTGCGAGAGCACTGGACCCGATGATGACCCAGATGTACGATGAGATGGTTGCTCTCGGAGAGAACGGTGGCACAGTTCCCCAGGATATGGGTCTGCAGATCCTGCTTCTCGATGGAGAGGAAGCTTTCAAGTCCTGGACGGATACCGACTCACTATATGGTGCAAGGTCAGTTGAGGTATGACACAGCATCAGGTCTTATCGCACTAACATCATGCTGCAGGTCCCTGGCCCTCGAATGGGAGAACACATTCAACCCCGCCATGTCTCATTACAAGAACCCACTAGAGCAGATCAGCATGTTCGTCCTGCTTGACCTCCTCGGCTCAGCAGAGCCCAAGGTCCCTTCCTACTTTCAGTCAACCCACTGGGCCTACAAGGCCATGGCCGACATTGAGAAGCGCATGCGTGATCTCAACTTACTCGAGAGCAAGCCCAAGATGCCGTTCCTCTACGACATCAATAAGGTGAACCAGATGTTTGGGCGTAGCGGCATTGGTGACGACCACGTCCCCTTCATGATGAAGGGTGTTAACATCTTGCATATGATTCCCTCGCCTTTCCCCGACGTATGGCACACGACGCAGGATGATGGGGAGCACCTCGATATGCCGACGGTGAGGGACTGGACCAAGATTGTGACGGCGTTTACGATGGAGTGGCTTGATGCGATGGAAATAATGTCCGAAGAGGCTCAGAGGTAGCATACCTAGAATTACATCTTTGTTCGTGACCACCTCTGTTCATCGCTTGGTTTGGTGTAACCCGAAGCCAAAGGATCGAATCATCTTGCGGGTGGTGTTCCGACTTTTCGTTCTCACACAACGCCTTTGTTGCGAGTTCGGTATACCATTCAAACGCTTTACCTCATTGCGTTTCGTGGCGGTAAGCAGACGTTGATCAAAGAAATGAATGTAGCCTTGACCCTGTAGTATTCGGTAACCTTAAAAGCTGCCAAATCTACTGATGACTCTTTCCGCCCTGAGTCTGATTCAATTTGCGGTCAGGGACTCATCGCATAAGATGGCTATGAAAAATCCTGCTAACTGTAGATAACATCATAGTAGGAGACAGATACCACAGCTCTTCCTCATGTCATCGTAGTGTCCGCACCGGTATTCATCATCATCAAATCATTGTCAGAATATCACAGAGTAAGCGTAAATCTTTATCAAGAGGAATGGTGGGTATCGAATTCAAGTCCTAAAGCTTACAAGCAATAGAAATTGCGCGATTCACGAGACACACGATTTTCAAGAGTAGCCACCCGCACGCAAACATGACGCCTTCCCATAAGCTATGGCAATCTGTGACCGCAATGATTCCACACGATCGGATCATCAGGTTTTGTGACGACATGGACGATGACTTTCTATTCTTGATTGGCGAAGGCGACGAACACAAGTCTTACGCATATCACTCGGGGGATGCCGACTCCGATCCATGTTTCGAGATGTCTGACTTGGATGATGAAGGAGTGTCGGGCAATGCCAAACCGAAGTCCATGCCGGTCGCACTCGTCGTCTCTCGTGACAAATTATCGACAGACGACGGTGTCCGATTCGAGTGCAGCAACTTCCGTCCAATACAAGTCGTAGACGATGTGTGTGAAGAAACTCCTACGGCACGATTTCCACACCACTCTGTCGAGCCGATGATTGTTCTAATGTCAATTCTCCATAACAATGCCCAGAAATTCATCCCGAGTGCCTTATCTACCATGGAGCTATTCGACCTGCTGGTATGCGCCAACGAATGCAGACTGACGGATAAGGATCTCCTGCGCCTTTACGTAAATGAGCAGATGCCTGATGGGGAGAAGAGGAGAAATCCACCTTTGAAAGAACACATCGCCTGGATTGCTTCCATTTCTGGTGACGTTGCGGTAAAAGACGAGATGGTCACCGACCTGGGATACCGATGCTCTGTTGATAACGGAGATCCAAACGACGTCTTCCGCATTGGCGAGCAAAACGTCGAAGGGGGCCTAAAGATGAAGGAAAATCCCACGATCTTAGAATCACAGATTGTTGGTAAGTCTCACGGAATTGTGAACAGAGAGAGTTAAAGCACGATGGTCTAATAGAAACAGATGATGTAGCTGATACCCGCAAGCGGCTCTTGCAAGACCTCGTCGCACTGCTAAGAGATACTATGCGCTGCAATAAAGTTGAGGAACTTTGTGTAGCCAAGGACGTCACACGAGCGGTCCGCTTTCATTGCTCTGGCAAGATTCGGAGTTCTTTTATCGAAGCAAGCTCAAACCATCCTGTCATACAAGACGCTCTTCAAGAAGTTTCTTCCACTTATTCCGGCAGCGCTGAAGAGTTGCGGAGTTTACTATTACGTCTCAGCTGCGAAACCATTGACGGTCATAAAGCCTGCAATCCTCTGCCAAAGATGAGACACAAGTTGGAAGACAAAGCACGATGGCCTCCTCCACCAATGGCTATGGGCAGAAACTCTGAGGGCAATTAGCTCAATGCGTGGAGATCTCGGTAGATGGGTTTGGCAAGATGAAGATCACACACAGCCTGGAACAGACTGTTCGAGATGACAAATCGTTAATGAAGGGTTTCTGGAAATTCGAGGGACGGTTCTATGGGGCTTCATTAGTGTGTTGTAGAACCGTCAAATATAAGCTTGAAGTTACCCCTCTTCCGAACCGGCTTAGATTCGGTGGCGGCGCCAGCAATACACCAAATAGCTGTGGCGATCTAGAAGTGTAGTGCTAGCCTGTCACTGCATGATTCCCTCCGCCTTGCTAATCATATACTTCGTGTCCAAGATCAATGGTCTAGATGGTATCAGGTTGGTCGACACCTGTGACTTGGGCTTGTTTAGCAACCATCTTGCCTCTTACTGGATGTCGTACTATGTTGCAGGGCATGTCATATGACCAACTTGATCATCAGTGGTTATCATGGGAAACATTGGACTTAACGGCATTGAAAGATATGGGCTTTCAAATACGACTTCCAGTTCGCTATAGATAGTGTGAAACTTGTAAGATTCAGTGTCTCAATCCACCACTTCACTTAGATACGCGTTCTGAAGTTGAGCTTTGATTACCTCCCTATCTTCAGGTCTCTCATAAATATTGATCTCTCTGCAACAGTAACCCGGACTTCCATAGCGTGGAGACCTGTCGAGGACATTATATTCCGTGGTTTCAGTCCTCTGTATTGTTTCTCTTCCGGATGGCGGCCTTGGGAAGTCGTAATTGCAGGCCATCGGGCGAATGAAACGCGGACAGGTCATATTCTGTTCGTCTTTGTACACACTGTTCACCTTATTCCGTGATGTCATGTATTTGCCCCTTGGTTCTGCACTTCTAGGCGCCCAAGATTGAGAATCTATCTTTCGTGGTGCCTATCCCAGTCCTTGCCCTCACACAGCGCTTTTGTCGCTGAACAGTAGACCACAGGGATTTTCCACCCCCCTTGCCACAATCACACCACAAGAGGCAATCAGGCTATAAATTTCAAAGGAAACAAGACAGCCTTGGTTTCTTATGTTCAGCTAACCGCCTGAGGAGGCTATCAGGTGCGCAGGATACTAGACATGCTGTCTACATTTACTTTCGAAAATCACCTAAAAGCCAGCCTGGCTTCTGCTGCCGAGCCGGACAATACGACACAAGGTCTTCCTAAACGCATCATCAAACGCACGCTTGGATACACACAACACGACACGTCACACGTAACGCGTGAGTTCGCTTTTGAGATGAAGTTGGAGAATAGTCGGCATCGGTCCCAAAGCTTACGAATGAAAAGCAGCTTCACGTTTCCCATACTCTTCAAGAGCGTCCACGGGCGTCCCTACAGACATGGCGCCTACCTATGAGCTATGGCAGTCCGTCATCGCAAAGATAGCATCCGAAGAATGGATCGATATGCGTGGAAAGGAGCATGGAAATGACATGGACTCCCTTACCATTGGCGGCCAAAATGGCGGCCGAAAAATCACGGTCCTCGTGTCACCTGATCTAATTGAGAGCTCTTTCGAAGAGCTTCAGCTCCAAAATCGCAAACAGCTCGACAATAACTTGGCCAGGAGCCCTGTTGAGCCAATCCTGGTTCTCCTAGATATCATCCACGGCGGGCACATGTTCATTCCGGAAGAGAAATCCGAGGAGGAGCTCTTCGCCTCCAAGAGGGGTTCTGTTCAGGAGCTTGGCCAGCTGGTAGGTTGGGCTCAAAAGTACGAGCTCGAACATCTTCTGGTCCCGTACCTGAAAGAATGGATGCCCAATGAAGCCGAGATAGACGCCATTGACATAGATGTTGTAGTCATCGCTGCTAACCTCGCTTTTGGACTTGGGGACGGGGGTATGTACGACAAGTTGATCAACCGCCTGGGCTTTGAATGCAGCGTCAACAGGAATGGCGACATTTCATATCCAAACAGTATCAAGAAGACTAAATTTGCGAGAACTATGATGCCTTTCGGTATTGACGGGGAAGCCACAAAGTGTCCACCATTCCCAGGTAAGACTTGCGTCTTCTCATTGTCAGCAAGTCAACTACTCTTCATGATCTGACAGAAACAGACTACGCAAGTTTCATCCGTCGTAAGGTACTGACAGAAATGCTTAAAGAGCTGCAACGTATCATGCGTCTCTATATTGATGCTAGAGGCTGCATCAATAGGGAAATACCAGACGACAGTGAAGATGCGGAGGCTTGTACGTCCAGTATAATCACGTACATGTCTAAAGCACACAAAATTAAGATCGTTAAAACCCTCGGTATTTTTGACGGCGAGGGATTCTTTCGTGTCGTCAAATTACACGAAGAAATAATTGGCAGATTCTATTCTGGGAGTATCAAGGATTTACGGGAGAGAATGTTAGATATGAGTTGCCCAGGCAGCCATAAATCTTGCGATCCATTTGTGGAGATGAGAGATAACTTGAGGAAGGAATCCAGCATGCCTCACGAGCCAGCTGCTTCGTACCACGCGGAACGTCTTAAGGAACGGGCTGAGAAGTTCAAATGGAATCCGCAGTAGCAGATTCTTCCTCGACTTCATATATTGGTTAGTCTTTGACACTTTACAGTCCTGAAATATTTTATCAAGGGTTGTGATGGGAGTTTCCAACATCTATTACCGAAGCATCAAGTACAAGATATGGAGTATACAGACGAAGTATGTAGCGGGAACCAACCAGAAGACCAAGACCAAAAGTGCTAGGGTTTAACCAATCGATTTCTTTTAGCTACCTCCTTACATCTTGAAATGTTTCTATCATGGTATTGACGCCTAAATGGTGACATGGAACTAGCCATGGCGAGGTGAACTACAATGGTTCAGAAGTGTGATAATTGTACAGAAGTGACTGAAGATATCATTGTAATTCTTCGAGGAAGGCTTACCAAGCCCCCCTAACAACCTAGAACTTGAAGCTCTGAGTAATCCCCCCCCCCCAGCGGTGATCTCAAGCTTTTCAGAAAAAGCAAAAGGCTGTGCTGATGCCAATAAACGGGCAGTAAGTTCACATGGTGATTCGCTCTCTTTCGCAAATGATATTGAAATTATGCCAGCACCGATCATTAGGTCCAATGGCGAATAAGTACTCAAGCAATCTTTGCCTACTGTATGTAAGATAAGGTACGATATAGGTATTATCGCAAATTAGTATGGAGCTACAAGGGAGCTTCAGGGGACAGTTCCGTAGCGCAAGCAAATTAAGAAGAACCTAAGGATTGAGTCTTTTCAAAGTTGAAAAGAACGGAACAAACATGGGACTGGGCTTGAACGTCAGGATGCATGAATTCAGGCGCTGTACTGCACACCTGGTCAAGGCCGACCAAGTCCAGCCATACGTGCTGGACATGCACCGCCTAACAAAAACGTCTACCAGACTTTTCATCCTAGCCCCTGACTATCTGACAGTGTACTACCATCTTGGGCTGACCTCAGTGGTTTACGTTCAAGAAATTGGAGGAGAAGAGTTCGCGCAGTGAGCTAAGGTCTCGGAAATACGAGCTACAAACTAAACGCCAGGCTAAGTCGATGTATCAAGCACGAGGAACCAGTGATTCCTCTAGACTCGAGAGGTACTTCTCTGGACATCATATCATTTGATCCATTTATACGGGCATGACGTCTGGGGTAATACTAAGAACGAACGTTCGAGAAGACCACCAGATCATTATCTCTGCAACCTTTTCTCTAGTTCTTACCGATTTTTCAGGGGGCTTGGCTGCATAGAAATGTGGTTCTGTTGCCCCATGGTGTAGGTGGTCATGTTTAGTGCGGAAAAATCCAGATACTATCGTTCCTACATAAAGTATGGTTGGGAAAGTCTCATTCAAACGGAAAGCAAACATACTAACTACTCGAATTTCCCCTGCCACGATAGTATTGTTGGACGCTCCTTGAAACCTTAGATGATAAATCAGTGCCAATCGTCAGTTTCTTACACCTCAACTTCAACTAAGGCCAAGGAATCCCTCTCACTTATTGGTTAGGAACTCGACTGTCTAACCACCCAATCATAGGGATCATCGTAAATCTTAGGAAAGAACGCAAATACAATATGAATATAAAACCAGGTTGGTCTTGATAAGTCATATACAGAAATAGGCGGCGGACTTAGCTCCCTGTCAATTAACCCAAAACATCAGCCATGTCTAGCACCACACGTGCGCATGTGAGGCGTGCTTAGCCGCGCCGTCGTCGTCATCCTCATGAACTCACCCGTCGCCTCTGTATTATGGGAAGCCAAAGAGTTGAATTACTTCCTTTGTGGTGGAGTTGAAAGTGGTGTTCTTACACAGTGTCTTTGTTTCAAGTACGGTGAAACGGACGACGATTCACCCTTGTTACCTCCACGAGCGACGTGGAGCCAAGTGTCAAAGGAATGAACATCTTCTTGGTCCTTTGCCATATCCGCAACCAAATAAAAGTCTTTCAAGTGCGCGTATGTTCTCGGCAATGACGATGGACTCGATCCAAGTCGCGTTACGGATCTTTTTGCACAGGAGTATGATACAAGCCCGTCCGTTTCCTCTAGATCAAACAGGGCAAACGACACGGGCTCTTTCTCAATACCTTACACCACCGCCAGCTCTACGACACGTAAAACATCATTTTGCAGAGAGCGCGAGAGTTCCAAGTCAGAGCGACGGAGAGAAGATTAAGGAATCCTCGACGCTATTCCGAAAGCTTACAAGCTATAAGAAGCTTCACATTACACGGTTTTTAAGAGCGACCACTGGCCCAACATGACGCCTATCGAGACTGATGTGAGGCCTGCCGACACCAATTTCACGTCTACTGCCGACCAGAGGGAGCGGGAATCAGCCAGAGCAAAGATGCAACCGGATTATTTTTCTTTTTTCACACTAAGCCCAAGGACGGTCAAGGCTTCCACAGGTTAATTGGCTCTGGCTCTGAAAGAGTCGTCGATGTCTACATCTCCAGGAAGGTGATGAAGAAAGTTTCACCATTTATGTTGGAGAAAATGAAAAATGAGAAGGAATTGATGGAAGATGACGTGATTGAGTCGATGCTGATTCTCTTCGACATCGCCCACGGGGGCGAGAACCATTTCGTTCCGGAGAAGACCTTGCCTCTGCAGCTTCAAAATCTAGTCATACATGCTAAAAGGTACGATCTCATAGATATTTTGTATCCGCATTTCGAGAGATGGGTGCCCAAAGATGAGGATAGATGGAATATTCCGAAAGCAGAACTCGTAGAAATGTTTGCCTGGGCTGCTTGGGAAATCAAAGAGTGGGAGATCACAGAGTGGGAGATCAAAAAGTGGGATATGGAACAGGCGGAGATCGAATATCGGGAGATCAAACAGGCGAAGGTCAAAGCGAGGAAGATCAAAGCGCGAGGTATCTACCACGAAATGGTCAACCACTTAGGCTTCATATGCAAGGTCGATGGTGAGGGCAACATCCTTAGAGCAGAAAGGAAAGAGCCGATGAAGGTTAGTTATCTTAACCACACAGAAGTTCCTGGTGAGTATTGGGCATCTCCGCCACCGATAGCCAAAGTACAGATATGGTCTAACAATAATAGAGCATACAGCTGAAGTCCGCAGACAAGGACTGAAATTTGCATTCGAAGCGCTCAGAAATGTCCTCAAGCCCGACCTGCCCGGTCGGAAAGGCTGCCTCGCTATCGACAAAGGCCGCAAAGGCGGCCCGTTATGCCCTAGAGTTGCTACCAGCATTATGGATGATGCTTCAAAGGAAGGATTCAACCACGCAATCGGTATTCCCGGTTTCGATGTGAATACCTTCATTGCTGGAGAAGATCCATTTTGTTTACTTAGTGTCAATGAACTACGGGATGACTTCTTGACTGACCTGAAGGTTGGTGTCATTACAGGTCATGACTTTTGTGATCCTTTTCAAGAGATGAGAGCCGTGTTGGAAGACCATTCCAATTGGCCAATTTTGCCGCTTCATATCTTGGAAGGAGAGGCACATCTCACACACCGGGGTCAGAACTCTGGATGAACGCCCGAGTAGTGACACCGGCCTCGAAACGGTCAGGGAATAGAAACCTGAGATTCCATTGCTTGTTTGAGACCAAACGCATTTTCGGTAAAGGTTTCCCGTTAGTACGTTCAATCCATGAAGTTTTCAGTAATTCTCATAGCGCGCGAAATCTACAAGCAGAGCACGCGGGATACATGAGGGCCCGCCACCCGAGAACTGACGCTGAAGATAGGATACAAAAAGATTAACCATCATTCAACAAATTCTCTACTTTCATTTACCTCAATTGCATGTGGTTGGAAAAGGGAGCTGGTCCATAGGTACAGAACGGATCTTGATGATATGGTCTACAGAGTGTGAGTCACACTAGCATAGAAATGGATGTCAATTATTGTAGTGATTCATGTCAAAGATTGTTCAACAAGCTTATGAACTAAGGAGTCTTAAGTCTTGGTGTCAGGAATGGTCTAGAATTTGATTTCGGCAGAGCCTGTCTTTGATGGGGATCTGAGTTTGAGAACAGGAAGGTCGAAACGAAGTTGAAAGGTCAATTCAAGAACTCGTCACTACGACCTCACACATTACTTGAACCCCAAAAGAATTTGTCAAAGAGAGAAGAGCTCGGCCATTAGAGCAAGATTTTCTAGTTGAGGAAGTACGTATAACTAGCTTCTTCCCTCCGTATCTAGGTCTATATCATCAGCGCTATAGTATCAATTGGAGTTGGCTCAATCGGTTTCGGCTAGCTGCCTACCTAGGTCCTCCTGCACAGAGCGCATTCCCCACATCCGCATATCTACTACCTATTGCATATATTACATATTCACAAGAAAGCTGTTTAGTCGCATGAGCAAGACAGGGAGATTTGCATCTTAACCAACTCAAAATAATCAAACTCAGGCACTTACTCACCATGGCGTCGGCCGCGGACGACTCAATTAATGTCCCCGAGGGAGTGGAACCTCCCACCGCGAAAGAAAAGGTCTTCTTCGACGATCGAGGCGACCTCACTCTTAGAGTCGGCAATTTGGGGGATGGCGGCGCCGACGTGTTCGAATTCGTCGTCTGCTCTAGAGCACTCGCGCGAGCGTCTCCAGTGTTTCGAGCAATGCTCTTTGGTGGATTTTCGGAGTCGAAGCCCGAGGGCGACACCTGGATCGTGAAGCTTCCCGAAGACCGCCCTGCGCCCTTCTTCATTCTCCTCAACATTATCCATGGTTGCTTCAGCGCGGTCTCGCAGAAGCTGGAGCTGGATGAGCTCTACCAGCTGCTTGTTGTCACGAACAAGTATGACATGTTGTCGGTCATATTCCAGTGGGCGCCAATCTGGTTCGAACCTCACAGGTACCTCGATGAGATCTCGGAAGGGAACGAAAGATTATTGTGGATTGCCTGGGAGCTCGGAGAGGAAGGGACCTTTATATTGAAATGTCGAGACTTCGTCCTTAGGTCCAAAGTCAACACCGAAGGGCAGATCGTTGACAAGACAGGGGTCCCTCTCAACACTTACGATTGTTATGAAGCCAATGGCATAATAGGTGGGTTCCTAAACATAAAGTTGTTGAATGAGTTTGCTTAACAAGCTGCAATTAGATGACATCACAAAGGCTCGACAGGATATTCTGGATGAATTGGTTTCAGACTTTCACGCCGCCATTCGGGATGGATTAGAAGGCCGAGGATGCAAAAAAGAACGGCCCAAAGAGCAGCCTGAATCGCACTATGCTGGCTATCATGGATATGGCAATCCTCCTCCCAAGACTCATGCCCTGTCTGCGACCGATTGGAAAGCAATTAAGGACCGGTGCAACGACACTGCCCTGGTTGAAGTAATGAAAGCTGTCGAACATCTTCGTCTAGGGAAATTTGGGGTCCCGCAGGAAACTAGAACACGCTTTCTCGGATACGTCAACGACCTTTGGTATTTGGCTTCCGGCCTCCGATCTAAAAGTCAAGCAGTCCACAAGCATTGCTCTCCTTTAAATCAAATCTTGGACCGATTCGAAAATTCGAGGAGGGGCTTTAAGTCACCAATCTCGGACAACAATCTCGACTACATGAGGAACCAGGCCAAGAAGACTGCCATTGGCAGGGATATATCAGCAGAGACGGGGGAGCCGCAAAAGAAGAGACCCAGATTCTGAAGCACGTAAAGGGAACAAGGACTAAGCACCCTGACGCGGGGACAAAGGTCGCACGCATACCGTGGCTTTCACTGAGAATCAGACTGGATGATGGCTGAGCAGTGACTGCTGCTGCTGCTTCATCAAAGTATGGCTGTGTGTTATCAATTCTGTAATACGTTGCCCCCAAACCGTGGCCAACCAATTCTCCTTCCATCTGATAAAACAGAGAACACTACCCAGAAGCACACAGTCGGCCGTACTTCATCGGCGCAACTTCAGATACGAGCTGTTTGTCTGAGCCCTCTTCTCACGCAAGATCTTCCTCTCCTCCGCCGAGTACAGCCCATCTCCCGTCTTCTCCCCCAGTCTCCCTCGAGAAACGTAATTCTCCTCCAGCCAGTCCGTGTACCCAGCCTTCTTCGCATCCACCACCCCCATGTTCACCCTGTTCCTTTCAACCTGCCAGACAGTGTCCAGCCCAACCTCGTCCATCTTCTCACAGGGCCCTTTCTCAGCGTGGAAGAAGTCTCTGAAGAGGGCGTCAATATCCCGTGGCGAAGCGAGTTCCGCCTGTAGGATGCGTAGCGTGTCTGACTTAACGGCGGACCATATCCGGTTGAAGACGAAGCCGACTGATTCATGTGGGAGGGCCAGGGGGTTGAACCCCACACTCTTCATTTGCTTCTTCAGGAAGGGCATGAGATCTTGGTCTGTAACGCCGCAAGTCATAAGCTCGACGTATGTGTTCCTCGGTGGAAGGTGATAATGCGTGTTTAACAGGCGTTCCGGCCGGGTAATCAGATGCCTCAGAGCTGACGTTGGCCACGTTGAGCTGTTGGAAGCCAGGATGCAGTCCTCAGGAACGAGCGCGTCGACTTTGCCCAGCATCTCGCGCTTGATCTCTGGATCCTCGGGCAGAGCTTCGATCACCATCCAGGGATTGCCACTGCACGATTCCTCCAAAACAGTGCTGGTCGTAACTCGCCCCGGATGCGTCTCACGGACAGCACAAACTGTGGTGAGCGCATCGCCGACATAGGGCATCGCAGAGGAAAGCACGCTAGAGTCAACGTCGTGGAGAATGACAGGCCGGCCCGTAGAGGCCCACATGACGGCTAATCGCCGGCCGAGGACTCCTGCGCCGAGGATGACGACGGGCCGGGAAGTGGGGTCGCTAGGCGGCGTCCATTTCGGGGTGACGGGCGCCGCTGCTGCTGCTTCCGTCTTAGGAGAACGGCTTGAGAATGGGCGAGTTTGATGTTGAGATGAGAAGAAATTTGATTGCCGGCATTGAGTTGTAAGTCGGGCTTTGGGGAGGAGTATTTGTGTCGTCGTTGTTGGCAGGGTTCTGGCGATTGTTGCTGGTTTTGTGATGCTTCGGACTATGATGCCGTTTGTAATGGTGGGTTGAGTGCGGCATAGTTGTTGACAGGTTCTTCTTGATGCCATTGTGATGCTTAGCTTTTCTAGCGTTCCTGATAGAGACGAAAGAAACGTGGCTCATCTTATACTGTTGTTCTGTCACTTCTCGCTGAGCCGATGATGATGGCACAGTCGCATGATGAAGACAGCCGAGAGAGTGGCGTGATGTTGTCGACTAACACTGGGCTGACCTCAAGTGCCAAGTTCGGGTCTTCGCGGCTGGGGTTCCAATTGCATCACGCAACTGGGGAATCTCCCCAGATCTCCCCGGAAAAGCAAGGTCACTTGCTCGGGTAGTCTATGCCGCCCTACTACTAGCTTCCGCTCATTCCTCGTCTGCTTTGGGGAGGGGAAGCCCATGATCCATCTCGGGAGTTTTCGATGGCGATACGCCGTGGCGTCATATGAGTGAGGTCTGCTCAAGGCATACCGGAGGTGGCTCTTTTCGGGGTAAAATGTGACTAAATGACATCCTTGCCATTATTCAAGTCAACAAGGGACTAATAAGAAGAAATTGTAGGTTCTTTCACCTCAATGATGATGTTCTTTGGAGGAAGCTAATCTGACCATCACAAGAGCCCTGGGAGGTAAGGTACGTACCTAAAATGATGGTGGGGTTGGTGGTGCCCCATTGGTTCACAGTACCGGGTACCCAATCTTTGTTCCCGAACAAATTCCGTTGGCCGATTCTTGCATGAACAGCAACTTCATGACCAACATCCAACACCGTCGCAAGCCCCCTTCCCGTGCATCGCGAATCGCAGCAGCCCGGTTACAGACGTTGCCATCTCAGACTTATCATCTGTAGCCAGTGGCGAACTGCGTTCGGTGCCGCGTAGGCTATAATGTGCGGGATCCACGCGGTCGTTTCTCGCGATGGCTTCCAGTCGCTGCCCCAAGACGTCAAGACATGCCTCTGCAACCGCGGTCCGGATCATCTAGGCGAAGTTCGCTTTCAAACCCCAGGAGATAGCTCTGTCTTTCTGACTCTCACCTCGACGGTTCTGGCTCTGCGCGGTGACCACGTCACCCAGCAGCCCTTTCGCGACGCGTCTTCTGGGTCTGTCCTATGCTGGAACGGCGAAGCCTGGAAGATTGCAGGGGAACGCGTCCAAGGGAACGATGGAGAAGCGATCTTTGCTTTGCTCACAGCGGCCAGTAGCCGCAGCGCTGAAGAAGATGCGGTCTTGGATGTACTGCGCAGCATTGAGGGCCCATTCGCGTTTGTCTACTTCGACGCGACTTCGTCCCGTCTGTTCTATGGTCGTGATCGGCTTGGTCGACGCTCGTTGCTACTCAATGGGGAAGGAGATATCAGGCTATCCAGCATTGCTGAGAGCACTTCGTCAGCATGGTCAGAGGTGGAAGCAGATGGTATCTACGTCGTAGACTTGGCGGCCTGGGACAGTGACTCCCTGAAGTCAAGCGCACCTCGCTCTTGGACGCCAGGCCAGACGGAGACGGTAAGCTAGATGTCTCGCACGGTATGCATTACGTTTTTGCTACTTACGATATCAGGTCCTCAACATCGGAGTCTTCAACATGGCACTCCCGCCATTGGATGTTCAACCACTGTCAGCCGTGTCACCGTCAGTGCAGGCAGTCAAACAGCAGATGACCGAGTCGCTCAAGTTACGCGTCTTAAACGTTCCTGAACCCCCAGCCCATGATGCTGGCAAGGACACGCGTGTAGCTGTCTTGTTCTCCGGTGGGCTGGACTGTACAATCCTCGCGCGGATGGCTAGCGACTTGGTTCCATCTGATCAAGGCATCGATCTGATTAATGTGGCTTTCGAGAACCCTCGCCTAGCAGCGAAGGCTGACAGTTCTCCCGGTGCGTCGAGTCTCTATGAGGCTTGTCCAGACAGAATCACGGGAAGGAAGTCCTTTGCCGAGCTGACTGCTGTCTGCCCAGCTCGCAATTGGAGATTCATTGCCGTGAGTTCTCTCAACCTAGCGCAGCCATCCTTCATACTGATCTATGACAGGTGGACGTTCCGTATCAAGAAGTACTTGAGCATCGGAGCCAAGTGATTTCTTTGATGTATCCCCATAACACCGAGATGGATCTCTCCATCGCCTACGCCCTCTACTTTGCCGCCCGCGGTATCGGCATGTCACAAAGTAGCCCGTCAGACCCCGCTGTCAAATATGCCACGCCAGCGCGAGTGCTTCTGTCCGGTCTTGGGGCCGACGAACTCTTTGGCGGCTATGTACGGCATACCACTGCATTTTCACGGAGGGGCTACCCGGGCCTTCTCGAAGAACTCAAGCTCGATGTTAGCCGGCTGGGCAAGCGCAACTTGGGACGCGACGATAGAGCCATGTCTCACTGGATTCGGGAAGTACGATTCCCGTTCCTCGATGAACAGTTTGTCAAGTGGGCCATCGAACGCCCGGTCTGGGAGAAGTGCGACTTTGCGTATCCCGAAGGAGATTCGGGGGTCGATCCCGAGAAGCGGGTGCTGAGGCTTCTTGCAAAAGACCTTGGCATGGGCGCAGTCGCCCAGGAGAAGAAGAGAGCGGTAGGTCACACTTTCCGAGGCTGTTTCCGATTCTCCGTACTGATCATGCGACCAGATTCAATTCGGCTCCAGGACGGCAAAGATGGAGAGTGGAAAGACAAAGGGAACAACACTTATTGCTCCATGAATATAACTTGGAAGGCAAGTGCTTCCCAAGGCTGGCGATGATGACGTACAGATACTTCCGAGCTGGCGGTCCCTTGAACGATGTTGCCAGCGACTGCGCGTTTCTGCTCTGCAGTAACCCTTTGCTTGCAGCATACGTTCAAGTATATAATTCAAGACCGCCGGCAATGATGTCGTAAAGGCAAGTCTGAGCCAGATGATAGATGAGCTAAATATACGTTATATGACTAGACAAGAATTACCGGATAGTTTCGACGCTCTTCGCAATCATGGTTCCATTTCCTGAAGCTCAATTCGGCCACGTTGTTGGCCATCTCAACCAGCTTGTGTAACCAAATCCTCATTCACCACGACTGAAACTCGAGTGGCCAGAAAGTCTCACAGATCGAATGCCGACGGCAATCCTGTGAGACAGCGACACAGGGTAAATGATCCTACTGCTACCCGGCAGTGCCCCATGCAAGCCGACATCACGCACATGTCCCAGCCGCCCCTTGCCTGAGCCTCGAGGTTTCCTGCATGGGGTGCCACCAACAGCGTCCCCATCCCGGCTTGGCAGCAGTCGCTTAGCTATTCTCAGGCCCTAGCAGACACAAACGGCCCTGTCACAGCCTTTCTAGTGGGGAAGCCACGGGCTGTGCTGTCTCTGTGTGATCCTGCTGCCTTGACGATCAACCCACAAACAACCCCCGGTGGCAGATGATGTGCTGCATGTTTCTCAGCCGGCATTCTTACTTTAAAGCTAGCTGACCTTTCCCTTTAAGGTTGTCGAAGTCTTGACCACAATGCTAGACTGCGAGTGTTGTCTGTTTGTAATTTGAAGGCTCATTCCTGGTCACTAAATGAGCAACCATGCACCATCTTGAAGGTCCCTGGGCGGCGGCAAATAGCACCAGGCGTCCGCCATACAATCCAGAGGCATCGGACCTCTCGAGAGATGATCGGCGACCGCTCATCCATGTGCAGTCCACCGACTCAGCGGAGACCCGCACCGAGTCTTTAGAGTCCGCGCAAACCCCACGATCGAAGAGCTCCGTGACCGCCAAGTCGGGCGCCACCCATGTCGCCGGCGTTCCGCACGTAGCTTACAACAAGCTGTCCAACACAGAACGGGACTCGGCCGAGTCACCCCGTCACGGCGGGTGGGACTACACGCCAGGGAGAACAGACACAAAGTCCCATCTATCCCACAAAGAATCTGGTCTCACTCCTTCTGCACCGAAGCAGCCATGGAGCACATCCCTCAAGGGCTGGCTACCAGAGCTCATATGGTCAATCATTAGCATCGCCTCTGTCGCTGCTCTCGCCGGAGTGCTGTCCCGCTTCGATGGCCAACGACTGCCCGAGTGGCCGCTAGGCTTGACGCTCAACACGCTCATCGCCTTTCTCGCGACGCTGGCGAGAGCTGCGTTTGTGATACCGGTATCTGAGAGCTTGTCGCAGTTGAAATGGCTTTGGTATCGCAAGGAGAGGCCGTTGAAGGATTTTCAGGATTTCGACTCGGCTAGTAGAGGGCCTTGGGGGAGTATTCAGCTGTTGAAGACGACGAAGGGTTGGTAAGTTTGTGTTCTGGTTAGGGAGACAAAGGTTTAGTGATTGCTGACGTAGTATAGGTCTCCGAGTCTCATCGCGACGATCGTCATGATCACGGCAATTTTCACATCGACGTTGACGCAATCCGCCGTCACATACCCCGTCCGTCTCGCGCGCGTAGACGGCGATGCGACAGTACCTAGATCAACTTCGTACTTCTTCAGTACATCCAATACCTTCTCAAGTTGTACGTAATACCCTTCAATCCTCTACCATATCTCAAACCCACTAAAACGCATGTGTGCAGTACAACAGGAAAACTACGTCCAACAATCCATCTTCGAGGGCCTAAGCTACGACCATACCCAAGAATTCCCCCTCAGCCCAGCCCGCTGTCCCACAAGCGAGTGCCAGTGGGAGACCTACAGCTCGCTGAGCATCTGCGCCAAATTCTGGAACGTAACAGAATCGCTTAACGTCACGACTAGAGATACGCCTACTGGGTCACCGCGGGTGAAAGCTTCGCTTCCCAACGGGATATCTACGGACTTGAGCGGTAACTACTTCGGTCTCATCAATCTGCGAGGTACTCGAAAGCCAATTGCGTCGGATGTGAACCCTGAGGCGGCGCTCTTCAACTTTACCGTCATCTATTCCTTGAGAGAAGGGAACGACGCCGCAGTCGGAGCTACGGAAGCTGTGCTATACCTCTGCGCAAAGACATACAGCCTCTCCTTCACAGGCAACATTGAATCGCGCAGAGTCATCGAGATCACCTCAGACGTCGAACAGGGCTCTATAACATTCCCCTCCGGCCAAGTCCGAGACGACCTACCCGCGATACGCGATCCCCTCGACCCCAATGGGAAGAACTTCCCCTACGGCGGTACTGGGTTCGGGGCGATGCGGGACAGTCTCATAAATGCGCTTAACGGGTCGTATTCGGATCTCAGTAACGTGCCGAGTGCCCTCGGTCTTGCGCCGGCTCGGTACCTAGCCGCGATGCAGTACGGCGCCAAGACATTGGAGGCGCAGGGGCGGGCGAATGTGTCGCAGGAGGTTGTGATCAATGAAGCTGTTGCGAATATTACGAATAATGTTGCGAGGAGCTTGTCAAATCGGTATGTCTTCTGTCGATTCCCCTTATGTTGAATAGGTAGATAGGTTACTAACGCAAGAACAGCATCACGAATGATACCACAATAGCAAGGGGACAAGCACTCGCATCGGAGACGTTCGTACAAGTTCGCTGGCCTTGGCTTGCGTTTATATCCTGTCAGGCCGTGCTCTCCATCATGCTCCTGGCTCTCGCCATCGTTCAGACGAAGGCGGCGGGAATTGGGGTGGTGAAGAGCTCTACGCTGCAAGCTATGGTCGCCATCAACTCCAAGGATAAACAGGCTCTTGAGATTGGGCTCGCGCAGGGGCATCATCAGGAAGAGGTGGATGATGTCGTTAAGAGAGGGCCGGGAATAGCTTGGAGCTTGGGTATGAGTGATCGGGGATGGACTCTTCGCATATAGTTGTGTTATCATAAGAGTGGTAGTCCCCACTACCTGTGGCAAGCCCGCTTTGCCAATGCTAAGGCATTTCCATCTAATCACCATGCTCACAAGTTCTGTTCGCGCGACTTGATAGACTGACTACCTTAAAGCAAGAGGAATAAACATCTAAGAATCGCAGCAACTAGATTGACCAGGGGCCTTGCGCATCCTAATCGCGTCGCTGCAAGTGATAATCAGTCTCCACTTCCCGACAACCATCAATTACTTTAAAATTCGGTCCGCGGAGATGATTCATCCGCACCCACGATGACTCTTCTATCCCCTTTATTCCCGTCTTGACCTCCTCCATGTAGGCAGGCACAAAAGAGACAACATCTACAATGTCTCGACAGCTTCTGCACCGCGGACTCGCCGAAACAGGCCTCCTGGCCCTCGGCAGATCCCACCCCGACATCAAATTACTATGCCTCCAGCGCTTCGTGCGCATGTTCGCCTATGGCGCGACGACCTTACAGCTCGTAGCTTACTTTGAACTCCTCGGCTTCTCGGCGACGCGAATTGGTCTTTTCATGGCGTTTACGCTCGTCGGAGACGTCTGCATCAGTTTAGTTCTCACTTCCATCGCCGATGGCGTCGGGCGGAAGGCGGTGCTGGCTGCCGGCGCAGCTTTGATGGCTGTCAGCGGTGTTGTTTTTGCGACGTGTAGTTCGTTTTGGGTGTTGTTGGCTGCTGCTGTGGTGGGAGTTATTAGTCCAAGGTACGAATCCACGTATGCTCTCTCCAGAATGAAGAAGGTGTCAGGCTGATTGTGAGCAGTGGCGCTGAGATTGGGCCTTTCCGGGCTGTGGAAGAGAGTATCGTCGCGCATCTCACTACTACGGAGGATAGAAGCGACGTCTATGCCTGGTACAGCCTCATGGGCGCGGCTGGGACTGCGTTTGGGGCGATGACGAGCGGTTGGACGGCGCATTACTTGACGACAAGTGCCGGCTGGGGCCTTGAGCATGCCTACCGCGTAGTCTTTTACGGGTATGCGGCGCTTGGCGTGTTCAAGTTCTTCCTCGCGTTGCTCCTGAGCGGTGATATTGAGGCAGACCGAGAAGAGGCCGGGGTGTCTGCGGAAGAGACTGCTCCGATCCTAGGCGAACGGTCGGTTGAGAGGGAGGTTGAGGGCAAGACTTGGCGGTCGAAGATTGTTCCGAGGATTGAGAGGGAGAGTATGCCTGTTGTCGCTACTCTGTGTTTCTTCTTTGCGCTTGATTCCTTTGCTTCTAGCTTGACTACCCAGTATGTCCACCGTGACTATTTTTGTGACTATTAATGCTGACTTGTTCCAGGTCCTGGATCGCCTTCTTCTTCCGGTGGAAATTCAACGTGGACGATGGAACTTTGGGCTCTTTATTCTTCACCACGAGCCTGCTGGCAGCGGCCACAACTCTAGTTGCGTCCTCGATAGCCAAGCGGATCGGCAACCTAAACGTACGTAAACTCCATCAGCCCTCAGATGGATCCCTATACACTCGTTGGACGGATCTCCTAACATCTGTGACACAGGCCATGGTGTTCACCCACCTCCCGTCAACGATCTTCACAGCACTCATCCCCCTCCCGCGAGACGCCACCACGGCCATCGTCTTTCTGATCTTCCGCGCCCTGACGCATTCCATGGACGTCGCGCCGAGGGCCGCTTTTCTCGCGGGTGTGATCTTGCCCAAGGAGCGGACTACTGTGCTAGGCTTGATCAACGTTTTGAAAACGTGCACGTCGAGTGTTGGTCCTGTGGGAGTGGGAATCTTGGTAGATAAGAATCTCTTCTGGGTTGCTTTTGTGGGTGCTGGATGCCTCAAGGTTGTGTACGATCTTGGGATGTTGGTTTCCTTCCGCAAGCATGAGCGGGAGCTACGGGATGGAGAAGCTCAGAATGCTTAGAAGCATGGTATAGTCACTCCATGTGCAAGGCACGTACAACCCTTCCGCTGCGTAGAGGATGAGATCGTTTCCCCACGGAAAAACACTTGGTATAAGGACTGAGCAAAGCGAAGATCATTAGAACTAGTCATATGCATTCAGGCTATCAGCAAATGCCTCCATCTTTATCCATGTCTCTGTCAATTGCTGCAGAATCTTTAAGTCCACGGACTACACATCCTAGTCAAGATCCTACTGGACAGCTTAAGAGTCGCAAGATCCGAAAGAGCTGGCGATCCAGTTCTTGCAGCAAGCATCGAACTGGGCAGCAGTCTCCTTCCTGTTGGGGCAGTAGAAGGCAGCGTTGTGGAAAGGTCCAGTGACAACGTCGTCTAGAGTCACGCGTTAGTATACGGCATAAGACGTAGAAGGGTGGCGAGGGAGTAAGAGAGGAGGCACTTACTACCGCAGCAGTGGGCGGTAGATCCCTGGGAGCCCTGGTCCTGGTTGTTCTGGTTCTTGAACTATAGTCCCGATAGTCAGCTCTGCAACTTTGTCAACGCAACGGGCTTGAAAGCTCAAAGTTGCGAGAGTGGGTGATACGTACGAGACACACGCAGGTGCGAGCATCGACCAAGCTGCTGGAGATGAGCAGCATGGCAATGGTAGAGATGATGGAGGTCTTCATTTTGAGTTTTGGTAGGGGGGTTGGAATGGTAACTTGGTGTTGTAATGAGTTGATGAGATTGCGTTTGTCTACTAGTCACATTTTCTGTTCACTCATCCGCGAAGAATACCAAGCTCTATATAGGATTCGTCAACTCGCAAAACTTCTAAAGTTCTCAGATCGTGGGAATCCTTCTCGAAGCCAACCGTCGAACCTACGATACGAGAGTCCTGCAAAAGTTAATTAGATGTCAATATATTACCCCGGAGTCAGCGGAAGACAACAATCATCACTAACAAAGCTTATGCTTGGACTTTTTGCAGTTGACGATGGGTGTTTTCCATGCCCCGTGTATCCACATAGTCTGGCCCCCGAGTCATACAGGTTTCCCTACAGAGCCACTATGTCGTTGACAACTCACTCAGGGGATTAGGCGGTGTCGTGAAATCTGCCCTTCGAAACAGCACTCAACCCAGAGAAAAAAGCTAGTTTAGATTATCTCTGAAAGCTTGGCCGGCCCGAGAAACAGCGCGCATCACGCAGCGAATACGTCGGTTTCGCTCTCTAAGAGTTTCCGTTCAAGGTCCGGCTATCACTTTTTTAAGTCGGCCCAGTTCGGACCTTTCACGTCATTACCGCGCCGAGTTCCTCCCGAGTCGCCAAAAATTGCTCATGTTCCCCGGGGTCAGGATAGCTTGGCCCTAGGGGCCTATATTACCCCTTCAACGACAAGCCCTCATACTTTCAGTACCAGTGGTACATAGTTACGGCCTGCGGTAGCACCGCAACTTAGTTCCTGTAAGTCAATGACGCCCTGGAGCCTATACAAAGTCCGGAGAACGGTTTCCGGCAGTGCATATCCGTGGTATCTGTGGGGGAGGGGAAAAGGTCTATCCGTATCCATTTTCGCCGTGGAAGCCGAAGCCATGAACCCTGAAAGTCCAAGCGATGTGAGGTGATTCGCTATCTAGTATCCAAGAGCACTCAGAACAGAATAAGCAAGTCTCAGACGACTAGCAAGACTCGTACACACTTGTGCCCCAGACTACGGAATCCGGATAAAGCGCCGAGCGCCGGTGTTGAAGCCGGTCACTTGCGGGCCGTTTCTTGGCGCACCGAGTACCGGTCAAGAGCTCGATGCAGAATGCCGAAACCGTTTCATATTCTAGGATCAGTGATTGATCACTCGCCAAGCTTTTGGAAGGGAGAAAGTAACCCCAAGTTCATCTTTCCGTCAGAAGATGCACCGCCTTCTCGGCCTTCGGATCGGCCCCACATGGCCGGCAGCGCCGATATGACCAGTCGCACCTTCTCAAATCTCGCTCCGGAAGTTGCGATACCCCGATCAGCTCTTTCTCTCTTCTGAGTTGTCCATTTGATCTCGGTTTCTCAATCTTCCGGCTAAAGGCAACTCTGCGCCGTCAACTTCTCCCTCCCTCTCCACCACTCCCAAACTCAAAATCATCACCCACTTTCGTACTTCTTGTTGATCCATTGGCCCTGTTGGCCGCGATTTAAAGTTCCAACCCTCACCTGAAAGCCATGCGCCGAAGAATTGATAGACCGGAATCTTTTTAGCAAACTTACAGCTGATTATAATTTTGTCGTCCAGGCCGCATTACGTACATTCCTTGAGCCATGAATTAGCGACGAGGACGACTCCGATGACGATACCGGCCCATGCGACAACAGATAGCAGCCGTCAAAGGACAAAGGCACCCCAATATCCTCCAGGGTATGCTGACTCTAAATGCGTCAACCGCGAAACGATCTGCAATCGTGGTAAGCTCTCAGCATCCCTTGCGAATCCAGTATAGACATCACCACGATGGTGGCAGTTCTTCCCAATATGCTCCAGGTCATCATCACAACGCCCAGCCTACTAACACGGTCAGCAGTTTCGTGTTACGCCTTGCCTGCCAATATAGGGCCTGAATGCATGCATTCGACCGTCGAAAGGCACTGCCGGCCGGAGATGGCTTGCAGCGCATAATTCCAAGAACGGTCATCGATGGCATTATCAGGAATTTCTAGCAATGTCTGCTCTTGACTTTAGGATGTTCGAGCCAACAGGGTCGCTTGCCGAGGACACGAAGCATCTGGCAGGTGCCAAAACCGCGAAGCATCATGCCAAAGCTTTGGACGAAAAGATTGCGCGACTCGATCTCGCACTGCAATGCCAAGTATTGGAGGACCTGCCTCAGCAGTCCCTACGGACAATGCAGCTGCGATGGCTTGAGAGCGATAGCATACACGCTATGGATTTCAGAAATGGACTGGATCCAGAATTGCCTTTCACGGAAAGCAGAGCGACGTTTCGTTTCCAGGTTCCATGCTGTTTAGAGATGGGATGGAGAAGGCCTCGAGGGGAGAGAGGCTGTGCTTCGTTGGCAAGGATTACCCGCCATGCCTGACTCCTCAGATCTATGGACAGACAACTCAAATGATTCTTGACCGAGAGTGGACGAGTAGGGTTTGTTGAAAACACGAATTGGCATTGCGCAGCATTTCGCTGACCAAGACACGCAAGAAAATCATCATCGACATGTCTTCCTTTTGTCGGCCCGAGGCTGCGAGGAATCCGGATGGGTTCAGGTCCCGGGATACGATGAAGACAATCAAGGCGACGGTCCGGATACCTGTGTCTGAGCTTCAGAGAAGATGCCACCGATGGGGGCGTGGACTTTGATCGAGGTTCATCTGGTCTGAGACTCGTCCGAGCCAGAAAACAACCACCGGACAATGGACACTGGCGGTTGGAACTTGGGTTGCTGGCCCCTGGGAAGGACGGCAAGAGTCAGGGCCTCCTTGTAACGAACCCCACGGAAGCGAAGAAGAGTGTTGCGCTTGGCAAAACTTCAGACCGAGCCTCACCAGGGCATCAGGGGCCACCATCGACTGGACAGCGCCGCAGCGGGCTATTTCTGAAGATGGTGGAAGCTAAGAACAGTCCGGTGAGCGGCCCCGCACGAAGCGGTCCATGTTCAAGTGTTGTGGCACTTCGCGATGCCCCTGGAAACCAGACTACTGCACGGGACGGCGTCGAGTACCGGTGCAAGGGGGGGCGCACGCATAGGGTTGGGGAGCTGTATGATCTGCGCAGGGCCCATTGGCTTTGAGTGGCTGTTACCAAGGACCAAAAGATGCATGCTGCATTCGGGGACGCGGTGCTGTTGCAGCTCGCAGCTCCGTTGCACCAACAACACGGTCACACGGGTTCGGTTTGGACTTTGAAGAGACCGGCGCCCCTCCAGAAGAAGCCAAGAGATATCTGCATCGGACAGACGCCTGGATCAAAACTACGGCCCTCTCCCGTAGACGCTCTCCCGGCCAGAGTCTGAGAGTCTTTTCACTCGTTTTTCTTCTTTCCTACATCTCCAACGCCAGACATACATCGAAAGGCCTCGATCGATCCATTACCGCCTCGCTGGCCGTTGTCTCTGTTTCCTCGCCGAAGGGGTTTCTGCCCTTTTTGTCGTTTTCGTGTTTCTCAAACCTTGTCCGGACTCGCCCTGGCCCGGTACCCATCACCACCATCATCATCTCGTCCCAACCCGTGCGTGGTTGATCGCCGATTTGGCTGAAAACGGTCGTCCAATCGTCCACCTCTCCAATATTGGCTTCAGCCCAGGTTTAAGAAAAGATCAAAGTACAAACTCAACAACACACCGTCCCGTCTGCGACGTGAACCTTTTACGAATCCGCGTCTACTTCTTGCCTTCGGACCTGTCACGACTCTTGCTCGCCCACCTTCGCTCCCTCCCGCCCTAACACGTAGAGTAACACTCATCCCACCCGGCGTCATCTCATGCCACGTTCCAGAATCCCGAGGTTTATCTTATTTTGATAATCGCTCTGCACTGCGACTCTTATTACTACCCGAACTTGTCTTATCGCTTCTTTACTTCCCGTCTGAGACATCCGCCGCGTCGGTCACTAGTACCTATTCTCTATTCTTCGTTCCTCACTTTTTGCGCCTTTACCCTTTTGACATCTTTTCCCCATCGAATCTCATTTGGTGTCCCCATCTTCTCATAACAGAAAACGTCACTGGCATGCTGGGCAATCTCCAAACGGAAAACTAGTCGAAACAGAGGAAGGAAGGAAAGAAACGAAAAAAAGAAGGGGAAAAAATACAACGGGACTCGTCACCGCCGAGAAAGGATCATGCTGAAGGCTGTCCGCGCAAACTCTCAATCCTCTTCACCTCTTTTCGCCCGCCTTTGATCTCTCGGACCATCGTGTTGTTGTTCAACCAACTCGAGATCTCTGGTGGTGCAGCGGGCAAAAACACACCCATAATAGCCACCACCACCACCACCACAACACAATGGAGCGCCCCCACCGTCCTCCGCCGCTCACGATACCCCCTCCGCCCCGAAGCCGGACCCGAGTCCGGAGACCTCGCCGTCCCAACGCACAACAGGCGCGACAGTTCAAGCGATGGCTCCTCCGCGCCCAAATCGCCAATGACGTAGCGCACGTCGCCGCCGCATCAATACTCTTATGGATCATGTCGTGGTTCCTCTACAACGTCCCGTTTCCTCTGACATATCCCGCAGGGTTCGCCAAATTCCCACCTACTCAATATTCAATCCAGACTGACCGTGATCAATAGTCCCGCCGCCGTAGCCCTGATCGCAATCCTCTCCACAGACATCCTCCTCGACGCCCGCTCAATAGTCCACGCCCACGACCCCTGGCCAGGCTGGACGCTCCTCATCCGCCTCGTTCTAGGCGCCTCCCTCATCGCAATTTTCTGGGTCTACATCTCTCTCGGCGACGTCTTTGCGCGCGGGTTCACGTACTGGGGTATGTCCGACGCCTACGGCCGCGTGATGGCGTACATGTTCCTCTGGGGCATCGGGCTCTGGGATTTGCTCTTTGTGTTGCTGTGTCGGCATTGGCTGGGCAAGGAGGTCAAGAGGTACGGGGAGAAGGCGAGACAGGTGTTTGGGAACGAGAATGGGAGAAGGAGGGGGATTAGAGGGAGGATGTCGCCTGGTGGGAGCGCGATGAGGCTTGGGAGTGCGGGTGGAGAGCGCCCTGATCGGATTGGTGTTGTCGATCTCGAGGCTGCGAGGCCTGTTGAGGAGGGCGGCGGCGGTGATGTCGGTGGGGAGAGGGTTGGGTTACCTGCCCGGATGGGTGTGAGGAGAGTCAAGAACAGCGTGAGTGCCAGCGTCAACTCCGTCGCGAGCGGGACGGGGCCGGGGAATGGGATAGGAAACGAGGATTCATCGCCTCCTCCGCCTGCATTTATGAGGCCTGCATGACGATCGTCTGGAGTACGAAGCTGGAAAACAAGATACCTGGCATAGCATAGTTACTGCCACGAAAAGAAGTCTACATTAGTTAATGATAATCAATATCAAATGCCAACTATCACTTTTCGTTTGCATCTAAAATGTGACGTGGCATATGGGACGACGCGTCCGTCTGATGGCGACTTCGGTTCGTCTTGCCGAGTACCTGCCTCAATTCGTCTGATTTCTTGTCGGGGAGCATTAATGATAGACGGGCGCATGTCAGACGTCGTCTGTTGCAGCACGTCATTCCATTTTTATGCACTGGTGATAACAGGTGTTATGTGAACTGAGTCGTGAGGGTATATCAGTCTGCAGTGAATCTTAGTACGTCAAATTCAATGCTTAAGGGTAGCTACATCAGATACTTTCAAGTTTCAACTCCAACATAACAAAGACAGCTACATCACATGCTTTCAAATTGCCTCTCTAAGAAGCACTGAGAAGCACCATGGGAGTGAGACGATGATGCTGATGTAATGCAGTCAGGCTGCGGGTATCAATTCTACAAAGACTTCCTTCTATCTCGACATTTGTAACAATCCTACACTTCGCGACTGTTCCCTGCCTAGACTTCTGCGATCATTTCGGGTACTTTTACAGGTGCCATGGCTTCATGTGAGCCATCTCTTTGGATGTAGAGTACGCCTCTTCAGCGACGACTGTGCCGGCCCGTTTGCTTCGCTTCGTCTGCCGTCCCTTTGTCGAGGTCTCGATGGTATCAGCCTTGGGCGTGGTAGACGCAGGTGGCTAGCCTGCTTCCGTATCGGACTTGCCTGTCAAGTCCACCATCTGCGCATCACCATCCCCGGGAGTCGCTGCCGCACGAGCAGCACTGTAGGGTACACCCGCCAACTTCTTGTGCAGAAATCCCAAAGCCTTATCCCGCTGATCTTTGTCGAAGCTCTCATATTGAGGGTTGCCGGGCTCCTAACCCGCAAGGGGCTCCATAATCTGCTTCCCGTACTTGTCGACCATGAAGTGGCTAAACGCCTCCTCGTCGTTGTCGTCGTACAACATCGGGTCATCCTTCTCGGACTTCAGGCGCTGATAGAGACCATGTCCGGCTTTGGGCCAGGATTCGGGGAGTGCATCCTCCGAGTCTTCGGCGTCTGCTTCTGCTTGGTCGGCTGCGCCGGTGGGTGCAGTCTTGAGGATCTTGCGGACGCCGCCTGTTTTGGACCGCTGCTTTGAGGGCTTGGAAGCTGGGCGGTGGTCCTGCTGGCGGCGGGGCTGTGATTCTCGGTGTTGCTGTATTTTGTTAGTCCTTATGCTTTAGGTTGGGGCAGGTAAGGGCAGAAGACGTACAACTTTTGGTTCGGCCCAATCTGGCGAGCCGAAGAGAGGCAGGTCGGGGTGCTTCTTAGAGACAGAGGCGAGGACGTCTACGAGAAGGCCGGAGTGGATTTGTTCGCTGAATAAGAGGAGGTTGATGAGATCGCTCCTCTTGAGATCTGAAAAGTACTCTCGTCTCTGTAAGCGCGTCAGCATGGGTCCAGATCTTGCTTGTCTCTATGTCACTCACCTCACTGCCACTAGCACTGCCTCCTTCAAAGCCAATGAGGCTCGGCTTGGGAAACTCTGGCAGCGTAGCAAGCTTCTTCTCGCGCTTCCTCTCTACATCGTTGTGGTGCTTCTTCCACTCCGACTGCTCCTGCTTCGCCTCGCGGTACTTTGCAAGCTCTCGCTGATACTTGGCCTGCTGCTTGTCCTCCTCCTTGCAGGTGACGCACTTGAACTTGGAGGAACCGCCGCCCAGGGCGTCTGCTGAGATCTCTGGGTCATGGCAAAGCTGGTGCCAGGCCTCGCCGCAGCCGCAGGGGACAATGACGTTGCCGTCGGTGGCGGAGATGCGGTTGCACTTGACGCACATTGGGTTTCCGCTGCCGTCATCCTTGGTGCGCTTCCTCTTCACCGGCGGTCTGGGTACGGGACGCTTGAGGATGGCGGGTTCCTGGTAGGCGGGGATATTTGCGGATTTCCGGGAAGCCTCATCTTCCGCTACCGCGCGCTTCCGCTTTGCCCCAGAAGATGGTACTAGGTTGGGCGGGATTGATTGAGGTTCTGCGTACGGGAGATAAACAGTCATAGGCAGGTGCGAGTAGTCCACAGGTATCTCTTCGACTTCCTCTGGGGCGACCTCAGGAGTTGGAGGAGGAGGAGGAGGAGTTGCGACGAGATGGGGCGGTGGTGATGCTGGGGTAGCGCCTCTGTGACGACTCATGATGAATCGTGAAGTTGCAAGAGAGAACTGTGGCTGGTACGATTCTTGTTCAACAGCTGACGCTGGAGTTGACACACGAGCCGGTGTCTGTACATCGTGGTGATGCTCAATTGGCGCAGGCTCAATTTCTATTTGCGCGATTGGCGCAGGTAGTTGCTGGTGAGCTTCGACTTCGACGGGAGCTGTTTGCGCATCATCTGGCTGTGTTTCAACGGCCGTCGTGGGCAGGACTTCCATATCGACTGTGGTATCGATTTCGCCGAATTGAAACTCGTTTGTAGTTTCAGTATCGATTGTCATAAGGTCTAAAGCCGATGGGTCAGACATGTTGAGATTGAGAGATGTTGCTTGTGCCGCAGTACAGGCGTGTAAGGTGTGGATGGCTTGTGAGAGCTATCGAATGCTGATGAAGAAGCTAGCAGACCAAGAAAGTGGCCCAAGGGACGAGATGTTCCAGCTTCTGGATGCAGAAGCTCGAATTAAAGAGACTGGCCCATCAATTGATAAGAACAAACTTTTGACGTAATGGGTATCTGTTTCGAAGGAAGAAGGAAATAACGACGGCTTGCTGTGTACGCAGGAAGTCAATCGCAGAAATGCCTTCAAACACGCGACCACTGAGAGTCGAGAGTGTCACGTGCGCGATTGACCGAGCTCACCGAGAAGGCCCGCACCCTACGTGCCTTCCCACCTTGGAGTCCCTCGGTCAGCCAGGTCAACCAAGGTGAGGCAGGAAAGACGGAGGCCAGAAGCGCAACATGCACAATACATGGCGGCACTCTCGACTCCCGTTTCAATTTATTTCCTTCTTGCTTTTATTTTGATTTATCTTAGGCATCGTGCGCAAGAGACCATGGGACTGGTTCAAGTTTACATCGTAGTGCAGTGAGCAGACAGGCTTAGGCGATCGAATACGCCCATAGCATCCCACCTTCCGAGGATTAAGATTGCAGTGAAATGTTGTGCGTGTCATTGCAGCTTCTCAGGTGCTAGGAGGAGGCACGCATCTTTATCGGATTAGCCAATTACAACAACATGCATCAACGATCAAATCCGCTTCTTTGGTCATGTAGATGGCCTTTGGAGTGGTTAAAATTGCAGTGCTTGCTAGTGGGATTGTGTCTCAGGTGCCATCCACGCCGGGGTTCATAACCTTCCACGTGCCCTATCATCCTGCAAATGAACCAATTGAATGGCTCCTCTTCGAGATTCACAACACCTTTGTAGGAGTTAAAGTTGCAGTGAACAGAACACACCGAGCACTCCATGATGTGTTCTGGATGGTCCCTCTGCGAGATCACAACACCTTTGGGGGGGTAAAAATTGCAGTGAAGTCCTGAACAATGTACGGGACAACATGTCAGCCTACCACACCCTCCCCCTTCAAAGCCCGAATCCTCTCCTCCGAAAACCCAAGATGCCCCCCCAAAACCTCATCAGTATGCTGCCCCAACGTCGGCGGCACACTCCTCACACTCGGCTCGCTCTCGGAATACTTGACCGGCGTATTCACCATCCGAATCGGCCCGCACTCCTCATGCTCCATCTCGACAACCATGTTCCGCGCCTTCGTATGCTCGTGCTCCAGCGTGCCCTGCACATCATTCACAGCCGCGTACGGCATCCCTTTACCCTCGAACACGCGTAACCACTCCGCCGTCGTCTTGGTGACGGTGACTTGCTCGATGAGCGCCTCGAGCTCGACGCGGTTGGCGACGCGCTGGGCGTTTGTCGCGTATTTTGCGTCGTGCTGCCATTCTGGTTTGTTTAGGCCCTGGCAGAGGATGCCGTAGAGGCGGTCGTTGCCGCCGCCGAAGAGGATGTCGCCGTCTTTTGTCTTGAAGGATTTATACGGCACGATGGAGGCTGGCGAAAGTGTCAGGATCATATGATTGTGAACAATACGCCAAGAGTGAAACTTACGATGCGCGGTCCCCCACCGTCCAGAGTCCTTCTTCCCGCTAATCAGACAACTACTCGCGATATTCGCCAACGTCGCCGTCTGGCAATCACTCAGCGCCACATCAATATGCTGGCCCCTCCCCGTCCGCCCCCTCGCAAGCAACGCCGCCATGATGCTGTTACTCGTGTACAACCCCGTCGTGAGGTCCGTAACAGCGACGCCTACCTTGACGGGTTCCCCGTCGCGGCTGCCGGTAATGTGCATCAGCCCGAACTCGGCCTCGACCATGACGTCGTAGCCCGCGCGGTCCGAGTACGGACCAGTCTGGCCGTAGCCCGTGATGGAGGCGTAGATGAGGCCCGGGTTGATGGCGCGGAGGGTGTCGTAGTCCATTTTGTACTTTTTAAGAGTGCCGGGGAGGTAGTTCTCTACGAGGATGTCGCATTGCGAGACGAGCTTGTGGAGGATTTCTGTGCCTGATGGGTGTTGGAAGTTGAGGCCTAGTGATTTCTTGTTGCGGTTTACCTTGTGTGGATGAGTTAGCTCGGTTCATATATGTGGCTGGAGATTACTCACTGCGAGGAAGTAGGCTGATTCACCGGGTCCTTCTTTAGAGGAGCCGGCTTTGTAGGTTGCGTAGGGAGGACCCCATGCTCGAGTGTCGTCGCCACGGACGGGATGTTCGACTTTGATCACCTCGGCGCTTCAATGGCGTCAGTACGAGTTGCATAACATGAGAAGATGAGTGAGCTCAACTGACCCCAAGTCTCCCAGAATTTGTGTACAGTATGGCTACATCAGTCAATGTCAGCATCCAATCTCTCAAGTGCGGGAGAATTAATGCTTACTCCAGCCAAAACTCTCGTCATGTCCAGCACACGATACCCCTCAAGCGGCAGCTTATTGCTCGGTACCGATGAGTACTGACGCCACGCTCTCGGAAGGCGTGAGGACTGCAGACATGACCGCGCAGCCCTGGGGACCATCCGGGACGAAATTCTAAGTGATGAGGAAGCCATTGTCTAGGTCTTTAGACAAAATCATAAAAGAAACGAGGACAAGCTTTCGCGGGGAAGTTGTGGAACAAGTTCGATACCGGCATCATCGACGTTGATGACTTGGTTCCCCAGCTCCGACCCCGGTCTAGCTCCGGTCCGTTGGCGGGGATGCCGTTGGGTAGGCCTCGGCATTATCCTGGTCGCCATTTATGTGGCTTAGGTAATTTAGCACAGACCATCACAGACTGCCTTCATCGCCTCTGAAACTCGGCCTCAAATGTCCCGTCTTTGAGGGCACAACAGACATAGTATCGAGCCAAAGCGAGCAGCTCATTCATACAAAGCTTCTATCCTGCTATTTCTATTCTTACAAGTGACATTTCTGTATTTGTGGTCGGATATCGAGCAGCACTGACACCGAACGCCTCTAAAGATGCGGTCCAAGGAAAACAAGAAGTCCCAAGACGGATATGGCCAAACATTTTCAAACTCAAATTCACCATCCCAGTAGTTCTCCGTTCGGAAGTCAAACGGTACCCAGCTGCCATTTCAGTCGCCTCAAATGGTCTTGGAGATTCACAAACGACGTTGACCGGGGACCTCGAGAGTCTGCCGGCGTCGAGTTCGCGGACCTTCGGGCGATCCAGCCGGAGAAGAAGGCGAGCCTGGTCGCCGCCGCGACGGCGATCGTGAATAAACAGGCTCCGAATTATTCCTTGGCCTAGCTCTGGTCGGAGGCGGCGGGGACAATGGCGATTCCTGTGATATGGGTGATACTGGCCGTGGCGTCGCGGGCCCACCTTCGCTTCCTGAGTGGTGTCCCGGGGATACTGGCTCCTGCGGTTCATGTTCTCGGTATGTGCTGTACTGTTCAGCCGTGTCTTTCAAGGCGGAACTTCTGAATCGCTCTCCGGGAACTTCTGGCCACTGCCTTTCCCTGTAGTCGGGAGCCCCAAACGGATCTTCGGTGGTGCTGCCGAACCATTTGCCAACTTTGACCAGGCCGGCAGAGACCTTTCGTCTATGTCCCGGACCTTGCTTGGTTGCCTGAGTTCCGCGCGTAGATGTGCTCGTGAGTGGCGGCAAGCCATGCTCAATGTGGTCTGCATGCCCATCTTCACTTTCTCGGAAAGACTCCGAGTCTACCTCTCGAGCCCGATCATAGATCAATCGACAGTGCTCGCAACCACAGATGCTAAGCGGGTCTTTCGGGGCCTCATTTATACCGTCTAGTAGGTAAATGAGGAATGATCCTACGATTGCTAGCCCTGTTGCAACAATAGTGCCCCACTGGCCTAAAGAGAAATGGTCAGCAATGGAGACATCCCGTAGACGCGTAAGACTCACCAACGCTTCCAAATGGCTCAGTATGATAGTCCATCTGGGGACTCCAGAGATTGATCTCTCCGAGGATGAGGATGGCCAACGCAGCGCCGCCGAAAACAAAGATCTCGATCAGATTCAGGAACCCGCTAAAGGTTCTGTGTAGATCCTTAGAATCCTCGGAATCGTTTCCCTTCTCCTTCTGCGGCCCGTTCTGCTTCTTGATCCAATCGGTGATGACGATCTTGTTTCTCATAGAGATGAGCGAGATGATGGCCGGAACGCAGCATGCCACCGCGAGAAACATGGCATTTCCAAAGCGAAGCTCGTTCGGCCTCGGCACCACGAATATCTCACTTGCAGCCTTTTGCCTCAGGCGTGAGAAAGGACCGTCCGTCTGGGAACAAGTGATGCCGCATAATGGACTGTCTCCGTACGGGAATTTTCTCGGGTCCGACGATATCGGGTTGCCGTTGTTGTCTTGGTAACAGGGGATAGAATTGGATCGGTAGAACTCGACAGCCAAGCTCACAAGACCTATAAATGTTGGTCAACCTTTGAGCAGATACGTCTTCTAGATGTTTAGCTTCCTACCTGCGAGTAATAGACTCGTCCACACAAAGACGGTATTGCGTCCCTTCTCGTGGAAGTACGTCTCGGACTTCTTGACCGTCAACGGAACTGCAAGAATGCCAATGGAACAGAATTGAAGCGCCCCGTAGATATCCATATCGGCAGCGTCTAGGTAGTAAAGGTCAGTTAGAAATCAGAGACAATTTCGCTCCAAACTAACCATTCACGTGGAGTGAAGCGAGGACGATTCCATGCACCGCAGCCACAGCCGGTAAGATCAATGCCGCTGCTATGCAGACATCTCTGATCCATTTCTCTCCACGAGCTAGCACACATACTGCCAAAAGAATGTAATATCTAGATCACCTTATATTAGCTACGGCCCGCTTATCGTGGAACATCGTCTTTCGGAAGAGAATCAAAAACAGGAGACGGTCAACGCCTTCGCCCTTTAGCTGCGTCCGCACAATTAACCTACCGCTCTCCTCATCCTGTCTCCAATCTCGAACCAGCGCAGAGTTGGATGGCTACAGAAAGCGAGGTAAAGGGCCGATACACAGCATGACGGGGATGAGGTCTTGGGCGATTGCCCCGGACTCGTCCCCGGTTTTGTCCACCGCTTGGTAGGTTATATGTAATTCGGTTCCATTGCATTAGAAAGTGGAGAAAGAGAAGCATCGCTCACAGGATTCGCTGGCCAAATCCATATTGCCCTGATACTGGCCATCCGCAGAAAACCTCTATGCAATTCGCAGTCGATCCGCAAGACGCGGTGAGCTGATCTGTGGCCCGCTGGCTGATGATGGCTCGCAATAGAGGGGCAGGTGAAAGCGGTGGCATCGCGCGTGTCCCATCAATCTTCCCGAAAGGTTGATACAGCGTGGTCCGACCATCTAATGTGGGAACGCTCGGTAAAATAAGCTTTCGTTTGTTTCCTCCTCGGTAGCAACGGTGGAAGTTGTATATAGTCAATCGACGAAAACGGCTTTCGGCTGCCTCTCTAATCGGTAGTTAGACAAGACATGGAGGTCGTCTCCCGCCCCTCCATCCAAAGAAGTTCACCTTTTCTTCCGATTGCCCGAGTATCCGTCCAATGCTGGCATTGATTACCTCACTTCGCGGTAAGGCTGGGAGTGGAAGGTGCTCGTGTGCTCGCTTGCTCTTCCGGTGCGGCTCAGCGAGTAGAGCAGAGCAACGGCGCAAGGGGCAAAAGCTTGGGTTCAGATGGCAAGCATTCCAGAAACCCCGCGGTGGTGGCGCAGCCAAAGGATTCGGGTGCCCATCTTACCGTCTTCATCATGTTGTCGAGTCGTACGTTACAGAATGGCAGGTGCTTTAGGTGAACATCGCTGAGAATCTGACGCTGCAAAATTCCGACCAGCGAATCGACAATGCCAAGCACCATAATGATGGGAACACAGCAGATGTGAGAGCTTCTAGGGACGCATTGTCAACTGTTTCTGGCCAGTAGAGGTTGCAGTGCCCTGTCGGCTCTGACATTGACGAGAGACAAATGTTCAATCAGAGGCAATCTGACTTGCTGATGCTTGCTGATGGCATTGGAACCGTGCAGGATACTATGCCGGTTGAGGCACTAGGGCCAAGTTCAACTCGCCAGTCGGGCGTTGATGTCACCCCGCCAGCTCGCCCCGTCTCAGGTCTTAGTGCCTTTTCCTTCTCGAGTCTCCTCGTTCCCCGGACCTCACATGGCCGGGCGATCTCGCTGACGTGGGTGGTTGATGCTAGCTCGGGCAGCCTAGTTGTTGGTTCTGGGTCTCCGTAGTCGACTCCGTTCCAGCATAAATTTGCGCTGGACGTTCTCCTCTATAGTGCAAATCAGTCAGTCTCGCCCGGGATATCATTGACATGATGAAAGATACAGAAGAAGCAAAGTTTACAGAAGCGAAGATAGAAGTGCAGGGAGGTTATAGATGCGTACCGACGCACCGCATCTTTTGATCATCAGGCTTCCAGTATTCTTCCTTGCAATATTAGCTCAGGCGCGAGGTGGCAGTGTTAGGTTGGCTCCAAACTGGAACTTGGAAGATTTGAAGGAACGTCAATCACCCGGACCGATCGTCCCCGCGAATGAAGCGGCGCCGTCAAATGGAGAAGGAGATGACCCGACGTGAATCACCCGCGCCTTCTTCGTTGGCAAGGCGGGTAATATAGGTAGAGTACGTACATGGGCTCCACTTAATCGCACATTCCCCCGTCATCTCAATTCGGTGGTTCTTGCCTCCTTCACCGCGTTCAGAGACTTCGTGAGAAGTACTCCGTACATGGATCTTGCGAATTTTCTAAACCTTTCTCTCGTCAACGCTTGATTTCTGGGCCCCATGAGGGCTCGAAGTCTCTACACGCACTCTGATTGATTACGATGGCCATCGATACACGGACGGATCAGATCAGAGAATGGAGGTCAATTGTAACGTTGATAGCCTTCTTCCTTGCGAGTAAGTCGTGGTACCTTCGTTGAAAAGCCTTTATGTGCATCGCACATGTGTCGCAAATGGATAATTCATTGATTCAATGGGCGCACAGACATCGTCGTACTGTTTCCTTTTCACATCCCAATCTACGTTCCTGCGCGACTGTGGGATGCGGTGTTGAAGGTGCTTCGCAAGCTGCGGGTTATACCGCGCGAGGAAGACACCCACGATGACTTCAAGGAAGGTCGCTTTGAGGGAATATCCCCTCGACGCAAGCGTTTCAAGCGCTTCGACTTTCCGATGAACTCAATTACTGCGCCATTGATTGCCGACCTATTTCTGTTGGCCATCTTGGCAATTGGCAGAGAGGAAGTGTACGACGGGACCATTGGCCAAAACGGCATTCATCCTCTGGATATCATGGTCTTCTTTCTGACGCTGGCGTACATTGCTATTTCAATCGACGCCTCGGGACTTATTCGTTATTTAGCACTTAAGGTGCTTCAATGGGGAGGCAAGGTCGGCTACCGGTTGTTCTTCTACCTCTACGCCTTTTTCTTCTGCCTGGGCACTTTCATCGGCAACGATCCCATTATCCTATCCGGCACCGCCTTCCTCGCCTACATGACGCGAATCTCGAACAACATCAAGTACCCGAGAGCGTGGATCTTCACCCAATTCTCAATAGCCAACATCGCCTCAGCCATTCTCGTCTCGTCTAACCCGACCAACCTCGTGCTTGCAGGTGCCTTCGACATCAAGTTCGTTGAGTACACGGCCAACATGGTTGTGCCAGTCGTCGTCACGGCCATCGTCTTGTTCCCGTTCCTCCTCTACATTATCTTTGCCGACAAGAAGCTCATCCCCGAGTCCATTGAGATGTTCCAACCGCCAGAGGAGGCCATGCAATCGAAGCCCGTCAACCCCAACATCCCGAACCCCAGAGGAGCCGCAAGCAATGCCGATCAAGCGCCCGAGAGCAGTCCGCAAGCCCAGTTGCTCTCAGCCATTGAGATTTTGAACCCCTGGCTGGACAAGGGAGGAGCTGCCTTTGGCGCTGTTGTCATGTCGGTGACCCTAATTACGGTTCTGGCTCTCAATGCCGCAAACGTGAAACCGAAGGATGACCAGCACCTGCAAGTCTTTTGGGTTACCTTACCGGCCGCTTTTATCATGCTGTGCTGGGACCTGGCGTTCGGCTGGTCCCACAGGGAGGAGACTCGCAGGATAGCGCAACAGGGGCGAGAGGGACAGGATGAGGAGCTTGTCGGACCAGAGGTAGGTGTTATAGAGAAGGGCAATGCGGGCATATTGGGCCAAGAAGAAACAAGCTTAGCCCAAGAGACGACAGAGATGTCGTCAATGTCACATGCAACCAGACCAGAGATCCATATCCAAGATACCGACCTTCTGGAAGATAAGGAACGCCTCGGAGTTGCAAATGAGGAGGTTTCGCCAGTCAGCAACGATTCGAGCACGAATGCGTCGGAGCGGAACGCTACCGATGCCGAGTTCATGATTACTCCAGCCATCCCAGCACCAGGGAATAGCGACAGTGTGACCGGCAATGCAGGCCCGCAGCTCATATCTTCACAGTCTACAGCTGTGGAAAGAACGGAGAAGGTCGATATCAGCAAAACACCGAGCGAGGGTTCTACGGAAAGTAGGAGACGAGCTGTGCCAGCTGCGGCTAGTGGGCCTGGCGAAGCACAAACGCTGCCAGATGGGGTTACGGATATTGAGAAGGGGGTTGCTGGAAGACAATCCCGCCGAAGCTCGAGTTTCCGCTCCAAGAAGCAACCGGCGACGCTGGTATCGCGCTTCAAAGACGGGTATCGTTGGTCACAAGAGACATTCCCCACGGTGATGGCGGTGCTATCTCATCTACCCTTCGCCCTCGTCCCTTTTGCCTTTGCCATGTTCGTCCTTGTGCAAGCTCTCGTTACCAAGGGCTGGGTGCCGGTGTTTGCGTACGGATGGGATCACTGGGTTGAAAAGACGGGAACGATTGGTGCCATTGGTGGCATGGGGTTCCTCTCGGTCATTCTCTGCAACGTGAGTATTTGCCCGTCCAGATCTGGTTTGACCATGACGTTATACCACATAAAGGCTGACTTTTGCGATCCTTCTCTAGTTCGCGGGTACAAACATTGGGACCACAATCCTACTCTCCCGCGTGATACAGGCATGGCAGCAGATCCATCGAGAAAACGGTGTACCCATCAGCGAGCGCACTTTCTGGGCGACGGTCTACAGCATGGCTCTTGGCGTCAACTATGGAGCCTTCAGCACTGCCTTCAGCGCATCGTTGGCTGGCCTGCTGTGGAGGGACATTCTGGAGAGAAAGCACATCTTTGTCAGCAGGAGGGACTTTGCGAGGGAGAATATACCCATCATCGCCATTGCCATGACGGTCGGCTGCACAGTTCTGGTAGGGGAGATTTACATCACGCGATCGGACAAGGCGTATCCGCTGTGAGCATGAGATCAATCAAGCGGATGCCTGGGCGAGGTTCATGAGTTGACGGCCGTCATATAGAAGACTGGGGACGTTTTAGAGATCCAAAAGATACCCCCATTTGAATGGAAATGACCGTCGGTAAATGACATTCGTCTGGATGAGGCTAAGAAGACGGGTATTCGTTAACGTCATCTAAAGCTGAGTGATGCTTAATGTGAGAGAGAATGAGAGCACGCCAGACTACAGAATGACCCCAGGCTGGACGGCATCACACTCCGCCACAAGCACGATATCACCAACGGATCAATTGACTTATGACCAAAGAACAAGTCATTCGCCACACTCGAAGCGGGCATCGTGCAGCCGTCCCGTCTCGACTGCGGCATGAAGAGCGGGAGGGCTGTGTAGGAGGGGGGTATGCAGACTGTCACTGGATGCATTTCCGCGGGCAGGCGAGTACTGTACTGAACATTGGATTATTGCGGATGGCGTGCAGCAGGGCTGTGGCTGTGTTGGTGAACATCAACCTCGGGGGGGCTCTGCTGCGTGATGCAACGCTGGCTTCGTCTCTTGTTTTTGCCATGCGGTCTGCATTCTGCATTCTGCGCATACCTTATTGTATGAGGGGTTACTGAAGAAATCGAGTATCGCTTCTGTTGGCAGGGCCCTGAAAGATTTATCGGTATGCCTTGACGCGGCGCCTAGGGGTTCACCTGTTGGGCCCGGTAAAGTTGAGGGCCTTTGGCAGGCATCTTCAACTATGGTCTCATTCACCAAGACCAACTTACTTTTGTCGGATTCGGTCACTAGCGGGAGTGCAGCAAGAGTTATGGTCAGTAACCGCAAATCGCGGTTCAGCGCTTATCGCTCACTCGGGTCCTTGGTAAGGTAACATTGAGCAGAGTCGCGAAAATAGCACAGCCGCGCTGCTGTGCCGTCACCAGGTGCTCACTCACCGGCGATCCACAGTGTCGTAGTGTAGACTCGCGACAATGGGGTTTACCGTTCTACCGCGATCATGATCCATTTCCGGACGTCAGCGGAGGGTTGTGTGCATGTGTCTCAGTCATGATCTTCCAGTTCAGCCGGGCCCCAATTCACCAATGAGATTGTCCCGCTGCCGAAGGTCGGAAGCGTGGAAGCTGTAGGTAAGCTGAGGCAGCAGGATACAGCAGCTACATCCCTACTAACTACAACGGCTGCGGGGTTTCCCAGGTTGTGAACTTGTGATTGATGGAGCATGGGTGAGGGGACGGCACGGGAGGAATGGGAGGATGCCTGGGGAGGGGCAGAGGGGTTCGTCGGTTCGATGGGGGACGGAAGATCAGCGTCTGTCAGCGCGGGAGGGGACGGGGTTGCTTACTGCATGAGCTGGTCCGAGGAGCTCAGAACTGTTTGATTCGGTCTTGGGTGAGTACGCATTACCGTGTAAGTGCCTCTCTCCGGCGCGGACGGGCGGGCGCATCCGGATCAAGGTCTTGGATCTTGTTTCTGAATGAAGGCTGAGAGAAATTGTCACGCTGATGCTCCAAGCTGCTTGTCGTCCCGAGAAGACGAGGGTATTTCCCCAGCTCCAAGTTCCTCGGGGTTCAGAAGTGAAAGACTGGATGACCTTCAAAGTTCGACCCTGCTTTCGCTGGCCAAAGCACCCGGGCGAATTGAGTTAAGGGACGAGGAGTTGAGACGCTGGAATCATGCAGTCTTCTGCCCGAGAGATTGAAAATGTTTCACCCCATTGATGCCGGCAGGTCGTTGACGGTAGACCGTGCCAAGCGTGTTTTTTGCTTCAGTCCGCCATGCAGCGCAATACTCTGCTGAAGAATCTTTTCCCCAAGTTCTCGCCAGTCGGAATGTATCGATGGCTCGGGCTTAGCTATGGTCATTGACTTTGACTTGGAATCCCCGAAAAGAACTTCAGATAGAGGCAGGGGATGTTTGAGAATCGGGCGTTGTCTCTTCTCCCCCCACCCTCCGCACAGCAGGGTTGGGTTTGAATCCTTCGCGGGAAAGACGGCATGAGCCGAGGCTGTTTAAGGCTCTTTTGCGAATCGAACCTCTGAAAATAATCTCGACGAAAAGAAACGCGAGATGACTTTGAGTACTGCTCTCTTACGCAGTGTCGATAGGCAGCGCAGCAGATACAGTATTACACTGTCTGCCTGGGAAAGCCGTTGTAACTATCGATGGGTGGTGGTACCCCATATTCCATACTCCAGGGAAGCTCAGTCTGCTCGCGAATAAGTCAAACATTGTCAAGTCAACCCGAGGAGCATCCCATCTCCCAGAATCCTCCATCCCATTCTTCTTCCGTGGGGTCCAAATGTCTCCATCCGGACTTCGTAGGTAAGGCAGAGGGGGGTAAATCCCGCGGTGCTCACACGTCCGGATTCATCACGCTCGAACGGGGTTTGCAGTTGTAGCAACTAACATCCTCACCATCCTCTTGCATGCAGGAACGTACATCAACTCTCTTGCTCTGTTTCTTACATTGACTTTCGGAATGCGGCCTTCTCCCCAAGATTTCACCAATGCAAGCATGGTTATTATCATCAGATAGATCCCTTTCTTCTCACCGGGGGCCATCCCGGAGAGATCCTGCAGGCTCGTTGTTGATGCAGTCGCCGTTTTGAAACGGCCGCGCTGCAGCGAAGGAGGTGCGTGGGAGTGATCAATGCGCCCGTTGGATGAGATATGGACAGAGTTTTTGGTTTTGTTCTTTCAACGTTTTCTTGCCAAAACAGTCTGAATAGGTTGTGTTTGAACCAATTTCAGCTGGAGCGAGGGAGAGAAAGGGTTCAGGGTGCAAATTGGGACGATGGCACTGGATGGGATGTTGGACCCGACTCGTAGCACTCGCGGCTGAAAAAGCCACATATAGTGCCTCGTGCTGTTTTGTGTTACCTTAATACTTTAATTTGTTGAGTTTGAGTCGTTGATTATCCCCGGCCCGACTTTGGCCAAGCTAATTCTTCGCATCATGTTACTGCCAAGCCGAGTCTTTTCTTTGTGTGAGTTGCGAGAGGGCGGGCTGAGAATTTCAGAAACGGTTATCGAACGTTGGGACCTGTGGCAATTGAACAGGGGGGATGAGAGTGAACAAAGGAGCCAGAGTCTAGATGCGGCGGGCAAACAATGTGAGCGTTGTACCTGAGGGTGAGGTGTTTAATCGAGGGATTGTGATTTCTTTGTTTGACTGGGTAGAAACTAATCGAGGTAGTCGGATGATTGCCCGTTTTGATGCAACCTCGCTCAAACATCGGCTTGCAGAGTGAGTGAGTGGGGGAAAGGATGAGTGAGCGGGTTGCGTGAGTGAAGTCTTCAGTGAGTGTACTCATGATTGAGTGAATGACTTGCAGCAGTAGCAGCGCCTCACTAATACAACGGGGTCCGCATTCAGGTCACCACCGACAGGGTGTGTGTCCAGGATCTACACTCCAAGACTCAAGCACATACAGCTGCAGATGGTGGTGTTCCAGCTCCGCCCCGCGGGTCCTTCGCCTTTCCGCCATGGCGCCCGCGAACGAGCGAAGAAGGTTCTCCAGCGTGTGTGTTCGTCCACGGCATCCCGCTCGGCCCACGAAGCACACCACGCCGGGCTGCTGCTGCTGGACTGTACAAGTAAGGCGTCAGGGTTTATGGCTGGGCCGAGCGGATCTGAGAAAGCTGATTGAGCGCCCAGGCTGAGCCGAGTTGAGGTAGATCCTCGTGGGGCCCGTTGTGGTACCTTGTTCTAAGTTTGGGAGAGCCACGCTTAGGTTCTCTTCTTTTCTCTCTGTCAGACTGTGGTTCAGTGCAACATTGCTGCGCAGTCTCGTTCGCTCTACCAAGACCAACAAGCCTCGATGTGTCTCCAACGCAGATCAGCCAGGCAGACGAGCACCATGGCCCCAGAGACTGACGCGAGTGCAAGTGATTCTCGTTTGTGTTATGGATTGATAGATATGGAACGATCTAGGGAGAACATTAGGCATACGTTTAGGACAACCTTCGGCCTTATTCGTTTCTTCGCCGCCGCAGAGAAAGCCGCCGCAAGAAACATGAACCGCCCCAAAAAGTCTAGGTAAATCCCTTTCCAGACACACCACACACCCTTGGATCCCCGCGGTTGGTCGGGGGGCGGATCTGTTTCCCTGCTGCGGGAGAACAGGGATGGTAGCACGACGAGGGCTACACGGCCAATTATAGCCGCATCGCATGGCGCCGGGCGAACGATTCGCGACCATGGTTCATGGTCCAACCCAATGTACAGAAAGAGAAGTTGTAAGTTGTGAGTGGCATCGCTGCGGCAGAAACAGCGCCTTATGGGGCACACTCACACGGCTACGGCTACGATTCCCAAACATTTACCCTCTTTTTTCGTTTCTGTCTCTGCTTTTCCTTCCCCAGTCCCGTCCACATCCTTACCTACCACGCCCGCAGTTGGGCGATATGCACACTCCCAACCCATGAATCTTTTGCGCGAGTGTGAGTGTGAGTGGGAAAGGCCAAGGCATCGAGGGATGCCGGCCACTCAGCGGTAGAGATGCCCTCTCTGCCTTGCAGTTGCTTCGCCTGCTTCGGCTCGTGCCCTCCTCACGCTGGACAAGGGGTCTGATAGGATTCCTCCCCCTCCATGGCCATGCTTGCTTGCATGGAAGCTCTTGTGAAGCTCTCTCTTCTCAATGCAAAGAGAACCCATTGTGTCTCGCAAGGGAAGATTCAGAAACCATGTAATAAAGGGGACCTCTCATCCCTCCTTCTGTCATCCCTTTTCCCCTCACACTCTGATCACCATTCCCCATCATCACCACACGGGCTTTTTATCTAGAGAGGGTCCACGCACAGAGCTGTCTATTCTCGTCCCCGTCATCGAACAAAAAGCTCCGAGCGGAATCAACAGAACCACAACCCCATTCTACCTATACTTACACACATAAACATTGGTGATGTCCTCGCTTGGGTGCAGTCGCCCGGAGCATCATTGACCATCCGCACAAACACCCCACACGAACACACCCCTCCTTCTGGTCCACGCCCCTCTTCCGCCCACCTTACCCGTCACACTGGCACCACCGGAGACCGGCGCCGGCGTACACTATCGCGGCACCATCTTTTATCCACACTTCTCTCAACTTCTTTCCCCAAGCTCAGCTCAGCTACGACACTCGGATCTAGAAGGGGGAAGGGCAAGCAGAAGAGTCGAGACCCCGGGGCGGGGCGTAAACGGACTACGACTTGGAGACTAGGACTGCATGTTGTTCAAAGTCCCGCTGTCAACAAACAAAACGCCCAGTTCTCTTGCTGCCCGCAACGTCAACATAAGAAGACATGGCACCTGCCATCTCCGACATACTCAGACGAGAAGAAGCAAGAATACAAACAACATTTCAAGCAACAACGACAACAATAGCAACAGCAACACCTCCATCACACACATCACCAGCACAGACAACATCACCAACATCACCAACAACACCAACGCCAACACCAATAGACGCAAGCAACGGCATCGGCGGCACACCGGGAAACATTGAATCCCCCTCCTCCGCCGGAACAACAACGGTCCTCATCATCGTCATCCTCTGCTGCGCATCCGCCATCATGTCGGCGACGTTATTCTACATCTTTGACCGCAAAAAGAACGCCCAGTTCCGCGAGGCGTGTAAGCGGGACCCCTACCTCACGCGGAAAGAATTCGCCCGCCGGCGCAAGCTCAGCGCCCTGGAGAGGCTCGAGGAAGAGGAGCTGCAGCGGAGCATCATGATTCGCAAGTCGCTTGCGAGTCGTGGGCCGTCGAGGAGTAATAGCTGCGAGGACGTGTTTGATCTCTCTTCGATGCAGGAGCAGCATCACCGCCGCCACCACCACCACCACCAGATGACGAATATGGATATGCCGGAGCCCCCGCGGGGCAGGCAGCAGATGAGGGAGCATCAGGAGGAGTTACACCATGGGCGACAAATATCTGGGGAGTGGGCGCCTAGTGAGGGGAGGAGCAGGTCCGGGTCCGAGACTTCGAGTTCGGCTTCGTCTGCGCGGCGGGCTTATACTGGGCCGGGGTGTTCCGGTGTGGATGCCGAGGGGACCGGTGTCCCGTTGACGCCGGAGTCGAGTGGGTCGGGGCCAAGCCGGTCGGTTCTGGATAAGGAGACTGCGCCGCCGCCGATTCACCCGATGGAGGAGATTACGCGACCGTTACCGGCGGTGCCCAGAGCTGATGGCTCTTCACACTTTTCATGAGGCCAAGACTGGAGTTGGGGTGTGTGTGTTGTTACGAGACATGATGAGCGAAGTAGCTCTACCTTGAAGAGGACGGGGGCTGAAGGTTTGCCCCGGTGTGTATTCTTGTACCTTCTTTTACCGTACATTTCTTTTGTATTGATACCCACGACCGAATATACGTCAACATTTCTGACTCAAGTTTGGATTATTTGAAATTAGTGAGAGACCGGTGAGTTGCGAAGGAAGGTAGTGGTTGACTTACACCTTCCTCGGCGGGCTGGAACATTCGAGATGACAAAAATCGAAAATTCGAGGTTGACAGTAGACCCACTCACCTGATGAGGTAAGCAAGGTGAGGTTGACTGAAATAAGGTTGCCGAGTCTCTCGCACTTTGCCTGCTGAGTCATCTCCGAAAACTGCCTGCCTAAGGTCTTCCAGGGTGGTCAAAGTCCTCGTCCGTAATCCGAAACCTCAGCCTCGACTCTCTCCCACTACAACCCACTTCACGTCACTCGCTCGCCGCACGAAAGATCGTCGTCTGCATTCGCCGCAACGAAATCTCGAGAAATCGTCGCATCGACTTTTTTCCAGAGCAACTTTGCGACCGTCGTATACGAGTCCTTCGAGCCGCGCGACACTGGTACAATTGCGCCGTACCATCTCCAGCCTTTGTTCGCCACTTCCAACGTCTCGGACGCCTTCACTGGTAGAATCGGTCGGCTGGCAAACAAAGCCTTTCTCTCCCTCGTCTCCTCTCCTCCTTCCCCCGCAAAATCGTCTTTCGCGACTTCCGTCAAAGGACATTTTATTTGGTGAGAGAGGATATTTCCTGCCGAAAGTCAGGAAGTCATGGCTCACCTTTATCTCTTGAAATAGTTAGGGCATCCCCGAGCGCTTTCGTCATTCTCCCGCTGAACGCCCACCCCGTTCATCAAGAAAACGCCGATCAAGTAGCCTGAGGATTCTCTATCTATATACATTCGCCTACTGCCTCGGCGTGGGATCGAGACCTTACCTCGGTTCCGAAGCAGCTTCTAGCATCGTCCTTTGAGACGATCGTTTATTGAGCGAAGTAGCCGTCGCCCAAAAAACACCGCCAAGCTGCATTCACCGCTCTTCGTTCAGCTTCACACCGACCTTCTTTGGACAGCGCAAACCAGCCAACCGACAGAAGAAACCTACCAAGCAGTCGTCAATAAGCGAAAAGAACTCCGGCGGAGAAGAAAGGAGCTCAGACGTCGTCGCAAAGTCTTCGACGAAATCAACAACATCTACACTGCCAAGCCGTACAAGCCCAAGATGCTCGGCCCCAATGGAGCCGCGACGGACGAGAATGCCGAGGGCTTCAAGGATGACCTCAACTGCGTCGTGATGTGTCCCGACTGCAAGGAGTACCCTCCCAACTTAGTTGAGGAATTCTCCTCTGGCGATATGGTGTGCGGTTCTTGCGGCCTCGTCGTGGGAGACAAGATTATCGACACCCGCTCCGAATGGCGTACATTTGCCAATGACGACCAGGGCAACGATGACCCCTCCCGTGTCGGCGACGCCGTCAACCCCCTGCTCAACGGCTCACAGCTTGAGACCACCATCGCATTCGGTGATGGTAGAGACTCTAAGCAACTTGCCCGCCTTCAGAATAAGTCCCAGAACGACAAGGCTAGCAAATCTCTGATGCAGGCGTACAAGGAGATTGGTGCCTTCTGCGATAGTATCAACCTGGGCAAGAACGTCTCTGATGCAGCCAAGCACATCTTCAAGCTGACGTACGACCACAACTTCATGAAAGGCAAGCCGCAGGAGGCTGTTATCGCAGGCTGCATTTTTATCGCCTGTCGTCAGACTGGTGTCGGCCGTACCTTCCGTGAGATCTTCCAGGTCACCCATGTGTCCAAGAAGGAAATCGGCAGGGTTTTCAAGCAGCTCGAGTCGTTCCTGCAGAAGATCAAGGAGGAGAACCCGCGTGGTGCCGGCTCTCTTTCCAATCTGGACGGATACAAGGCCAGCGCATCTACCAGTGCCGAGGACCTCTGCACTCGTTTCTGCTCCAACCTTAACTTCCGCAATGCGCAGAAGATTGAAAACGTCTCGCGCGCCCTCGCACGCAAGACGTCGAGCGTCTCTGAGTTGGCCGGTCGTTCGCCTCTGTCTGTCGCCGCCGCCTGTATCTACATGGCATCTCACCTCATGAAGGAATCGCGAACCTCCAAGGAGATTGCCTCGGTGGCAGGTGTCAGCGACGGCACCATCAAGACAGCCTATCGCTTCTTGTACCAGGCTCGCGATAGACTCATCGAGAAGGAGTGGGGTGCGGACAAGAAGGCAATCGATAATCTTCCGGTTAACTAGAAGATTTCTGGTCGCCCTTTCAACTGCCTAGGCACTGCTCATCCCCAAGGCGAGGCAGGGGAAATGATCTCCATCAAAGTCGAGGCGGAAGATTTCGGAGAAGACGTGAAACGTTTGACTACCAAACAGGAGTAGGACATCACGTCAAGACAGATCTCTCGGAGCCTCGTGCAGCCGGCTGCATTATTTTGGTCGTTAGCAGCGACTGCAAAACACAAAAATATCCATGGGCGTTTAGGGGTGGTTTCCCTGTGCCCGCCGTCTCAGTCCGTCGATTGGTTCTAGTCACCTGGAATGGTGCAACCTCGAAGCTCTTGGAAGATTAGAGCTGGAGGGTCCGATTGCCGGCGAGACAGAATTGCTTTCTTGCTCGCTTGCGTGGAGAGGTTTGGGATGGGGACTCTGGAATTATTAGGACTGGGGTGGCTTAATTGCATAATCATTGCGGATATTCCCAGATTGCTGCTTGGTTTCTTTACTACCAAGAGGATTCATAGCATAGACAGCACGAATCACAACATGCTTTCAGTCATGAGGTTGCGCTGATATTCGGTGAGCCGGATATGTTTGAGCAGAAATGGCAATGAGACGAGAAACAATAGTGAGGCCATACAGGTACAGCGTAACAAGGTTCTTGTTGAAGGGATTCGTAGATAAGCGTGTATACAGTGTTGAAGGCCGTGTAACTCGATATTCGTACTGTCTCGTTAGCCAATTAAACGCCGGCTCAGCCCCCAATGACTTTTTCCCACCGCAGGGAAAGCTGAGCCTTGCTTCGCGACGCGACTCCATCTACCAGCGCCGATTGACCATCGTTCAGCCTTGCACTGCACTGAACTTGCGAATTGCGCCCACAAATACCCATCTCGACTTCACCATCCGCCTCGTGTCCCCGACTTGCGCGCTTCACAATGTCCGGACGTCGTTCTCGGTCCGGCAGGGCTGCCGCCAAGCGCGCCTCTGCTGCGCTGCGTAAGTTGAAGCTTTCCCCAACTGTTCACCTTTGGTCGCGACTTTAGGAGCTGTATGGCCCGTGATTGAATTCCGTGAATGGCCTGCAACATGCTGGAGATGGATCATCTGCTCGAAGCTCTTTCCACAGCTTGTTGTTCTGTGGGATGCGGGCGCATGACGGCTCAAGGGTTTCCGCTGCGCTTCGTGTACCCCTCCATCCACGACAGCTACCTCTCGAACAAGTCGCTATCCCAGCCATGACTGTTGTCGGCTTTCACGAGCGGAAGCTGCTTGCTGACCCATACCGAATATAGAGAGCACACCCAGAGCCTTTGAGGGCATCGACGATGATGAGCCCGTCCCCGAAGCTGTCGAGTCCGAGCCCGAGCACGAGGCGCCACCCGAAGAAGACGAAGAGGATGAGGAGGAAGAAGAAGAAGAGAAGGCAAATGAGTCAGGCGATGAGGAGGAAGCCGCCGACGAAGACGGAGAGGAGGAAGAGGAAGAGCAAGCAAACGACGAGGGAGAGGAATCCGAACCTTCAGCCAAAGAACCCACTCCCCCGACCGAGCCTGTGGTGCGTCGCAAGCGACTAGGACGGCCCCCGAAGAACAAGCCACCGGGCTGGGACAATATGATCACCGTACCCGCATCCGAAGCCGACACGCCGCGACGTAGAGGTCGCGGAGGCTGGCGCGGTCGCGGCGGGCGTCGGCCTGCGCCTGGACAGGCACCTCCCAAGCTCAAGCAGGTGATTGACAAGGAGGGCACAGAGGTCGACATTGTCGACGACGAGTGCGTGCTTCCCGAGGACGCGGAAGGCGAGACAAAGGTCGACAAGCTCGGTAACCTCCAGGGCGGCCGCCAGTACCGCTGCAGAACATTCACGGTCAAGGATCGCGGCGAGCGGCAGTACATGTTGTCCACGGAGCCCGCCCGTTGCGTCGGTTTCCGCGACAGCTACTTGTTCTTCAACAAGCACCCGAAGCTGTACAAGATTATCGTGAGCGACGACGAGAAGATGGACATGATTGAGCGGAATATCATTCCCCACTCATACAAGGGCCGTGCGATAGGTATCGTCACGGCGCGATCCGTCTTTGTCGAGTTCGGCGCGAGGATCATTGTGGGAGGTCGGAATATCGTGGACGACTACCGCGTGGCTGACATGCGAGCTTCTGGCATCATTGAGGGACACATTGCGGACCCGTCAGACGTCTTCAACCCCAACGAGCCGTACAACACAAATCAGTATGTTGCGTGGTTCGGTGCCAGTGCCGTGTACCATACCAACCAAACACCGGCTGCCTCGGATCCCCTTGCCGGTTTGACGGAGGTCAAGAAGAAGAGGGTCAACGTGAACGATACGAACTGGCAACTGGAGCACGCTCGTGCTGCAAGGTGGGTTTGGATCTTTGGGTCGTAAAATATGTCACACTAACAAGGCTCAGCGAGTTCAACAGTCGCCTTAACGCCATCCGCATGGCAACGTTGCGGAACGGCGCATACGACATTCACACAAATCTGATGCAGAAGCCGGTCAACACACAGCCTACCCGCGCCCGCGTCGAGAGAGTGACCCCCGGCGACACAAGCGACTCGAACAGCGCATTCCCCTCCGTACCCTCAGCCGTGCAGCGCAACTTCAACGTGGTGGATATCGTCTACGAAATACCGCGCGCGGGCGTCCAATCCGCCGGAAAGCGACCCGCCGAGGTCCCCGATTTCCTGAAACCCTTCAACGGCATCCTGGCCATCGGCGACGACCTCAAGGCCCTCTTGCCGCCGGAGTGCCGCGAATCCCTCGAGAGGCACCAGGACCAGCAGCGGGAGTTCGAGTCGCGCTTCGGCGACGAGAAGGACAAGATGGCAAGGGGGAACCTGCAGATCGACAAGGCGATTGTGCCGCAGGGCAAGCACTCTTAGAAGGAGCTGATTGCGATCCCCGGCTTCTATCCCACGCCTGACGGCCGGTTTGAATCGGCGATGGGCAGGCGCGAGTGCAGCTTTTGCGGCGGTATTGTGAGGGTTTGCGGTCACGGGAGGGAGAAGAGGGCGGTGTTTCATACGAGGCATCTTGGCGCTCTCAAGGCTGAGTCTGTTGCTGCTCGGAAGATGATGAAGTCGGAGTCTTCTCAGGGCAAGATGCCGAATGGACCGTCTACCCTTTCCAAGATGGTGAGCGCGGGTGTTGATTCTCCCAGGAGGGCGACGAGCGGGATGGTGACCCGAGGCGTGAAGCGCTCTTCGGATGGACTTGGTTCGGGTGAGGCTGCGGGGAAGAGGGTTAAGATCCAGTCTGATGTATTCCGCGGTGGCATTTGAAGTTGAAGGTGAAGATGAACAAGGAGAGGCATGGTATGCTCGATGGAAGTTACTGTTTGCTTGTTTTGGGGGGGTTTCCCCGTTGGCCTGGCGTTTCTGGGGGGGAGGTATATGGTGGTGGAATGGTTTCAGGGGTGACCAGCACTACCTAGGAGACTACGGAAAAACTATTACTGTCGATGTTAATACTGCTTTTCCTCTTTCCCGCTGTTGAGAGGAGAGATTGGGGCGGCAGATCTGGGCGTGGCTTGAGATGAGAGTTGCTTCCGTGAGGGAGGTGTTGAAGAGAGGAGGGAAGTTGTATGTAGGACTAGCATGATTCATGAATGGCTTATAAAGGATTCGCCTCAAGTTTACTTGTCTTGTCTTGGCTTCTTTGTGGCTGAGAAGAAAGGCTGAGCTATTCGGCCCCGCCCAGGAAATATTGACTCCTATGGATAACCTAGGTTGATGTAAATACCTGTGGCCAGGACAAGAAAAGTATCGTTGTAGGAAGAGGGGCACACTATTTTATTACACCCACTTGATTGCGAAGCTCCATCTGTGGGTTTGTATACCCTCAGCGGGTCTCGACCGCTCAACCAACTATCACTGGATGTCAACATCCACACTTCCCCGATAGTCTAGTGGTGAGGATATCTGCTTGTCAACGGGGAATTATTCCCTATAACAAAACGCAGGGGACCGGGGTTCAATTCCCCGTCGAGGAGTATTCTTTTGCTTTTGTGAGTTATAGGGACGATGTGGTGGTGTTTATGATGCTTTTGTTGTGGTTTTGAGTTGTGAGGATGTTGGGGCTTTGGCCAGCAAGATCAAGTAATGCCTGCCTGCTGGGAAGACAAAAGAAACATCAGCCGGTTAATTGATAAGTTTATGTTCGCCCAGGGGAATTATCGTCTTTCATCTGTCGATGCGTAATACCCCATCTCATCGTCAAATCCTATGCCGACTCGGCGTGCTTCATCTCGACGCCTTCCTGTCCTTCGCTCGCTTCACTATCGCTAGGTGCGCCCTCAACCTCGAGACCCTCCACATCGTTCTTCAGCTTGGTGGGTTCCTTGACGATCACCGTACCGTAATAAAGGAAAATTTCTTTATAATAGCGCGATAAAGTCCCTCGACATAGACTCTGACGGCGCTGTACTCGTGCTCGTTAGTCAACCCCCGAAGAGCAGTCGATGCCGTCATAGAAGGCGGCAAAGACTTCAATCCGAAGGTCCGCGCAGCTTCTTGCTCAATAGGAGCACCGGCAGTCTCTGCGAGTGCTTTCTAGGTATTTTGACCGTTCTTCTTATCCTCAATACTCGGCACCCGTTTCGTATTCACAAACACATATGACGAATACGGCACGAGAGGTAAGGTGCAAGAGGTAAGGGAAGAAGAGGGAGGGAAAATAGGGAAGAGAAGAGGGGCGAGGCACTATAGGCGAAGTGGCATCAAGGCCGTGAGATTGGACTTGTATGAGAAGCCCTAGTCATGTATTTAGTAGGAATTATGGAGTATGATCCCGACTGGGAGCTCGCTCAGTGACATGCATGTTTTGGGTCGGACGAGCAGGTCTGCTCAGTTTACCACTGATGACATCTGGTATCTCCCCCTCTTGGACCGCCTTTTAATGTCTTGGAGCTCTCTTGTATAACTCGACAGCGCTCATCATAAGGCTGCTTGCTTGCATAGTGAGCTGGCTTGGGCGGATGAGACCGCTCTGTTCTGAGGTTCAAAAACTTGAAAGATATTTGACAGCACGGCAAAGGTGAGATGCTCGAGGCCCAGAACTTTCTTTACTTCAGCTTTCCATGTTGAGCAGATTTCTCTCCTGATCCTACTCTATCTTCATGCCAACTCACACTCAATAAGCGACTCGGACCCCTCCCCCCTAGACCAAACCTTGACGATCCTCAACCCAGCAGCTCCCTCCAGCAACTGATACCACTCCTCCTCCGTCCTCTCTCTCGACGCAAACACAGTCATCATAACCATGTCGAGCGCCGTGACCTGCCAATCTGCGCCCTTGGAAGGTATAACGTTCTCGTTGATCAAGAGCCTGCTATACCCTGCCCTCATCGCAGCCTTGACCCGCGCGAGAATACTCTCGCAGACCTCGTCTGTCCAGTCGTGCAGTACAGAGTGGAGATAATACGCCCTCGCGCCCTTGACCGGTTGCTCGGTATCAAAGTCATACGGCATAAGCTCAATTTTGGGGTCGAGGTCCTGGACTTGCGCTTGTGAGAGAACGTGAGGGAGATCTTGTAGGACATGCCGGCCCGGCGCGGAAGGTTGCTTGCGACAGAACTCGTCCAGGTCGTGACCGATGCCGCCTCCGATGTCGACGATGAACGCCGCGTCCGATGAGGTGGTGTCTGCGCCGTTGATGAGGCGCTCGACTACGGGATAGAAATCCGGGTCCATCCAGAGTCTCCTCCCCTGGCCGTATCCTTTCATGAACTGCTGAAACTCGCCGGCGGGGTACTTTTCCATGATATGTGTGAAAAAATCCTTGTTGCTGCCGATGGCGTCTTGTAGAGGCCCTGTCTCTGGTGTCATTCTCCGCCCGTTCTTCTTGAGATACGTGGGGAAGTTGCAAAAGGTAGGCCACACGCCGCCGACTCTAGAAGAGGCCATTAGTTTTCCCGATCTCTCATGCCGACTGGCTGGTGTAGACTTACACGCAAGAGTAGGCGCTGCCAATGATGGGGAGGGTCAGTGATTTCGAAAAGTGGTTCGTCTCGTACTCGTCAACACCGGTCTCGCGTAGATATCCGGTGGACGCCAGATGCCGCATGGAACGCGCAAGTAGATCTTTGTCAAAGTCTAGTCCCGCGGCGAGTTGGGCTACGGTCTTGGGCCCTGGGCTCCGGGCCATGAAGTCGAAGAGACCCGATTCGACTCCAGAGGCGATGGCGCAGACAGTGGCAGGCTGCGTATCAAGTTCAATTAGCAAACTACACCGTCTGCTCCCTTTGAATGACCTTGTAATACCTGTGCCCACAGGTGCTTGATCATAGTCTCTCTGGGTGTCTCTAGAGCCTGGACAAGCAGACGAGCCTGCTTCAAAAGACTAAGGCGATTCTGCTCATTGTCAAGAGAGAAGGCGCCCAACGTGCCGATGCTATCCAACAACGTTGCCACATCTTTTAGGTTGCAGGGCTGGGTCGCCATGTCGACTGAGACCCCATGAGGAAGACTGTCCGGGACTGAGCCCATTGCGGGTGATCAATAGTACGGTATGATGAAGGGTCGTGTGATTAAGTAAGGTATGTGAAAGAAAATCTCTTTTCAATGCTGGTCGCAAATACGTCGGATATGATTTTGAATACATGGGGTATTGGGCAGTGGTGCAGGACATCGCCGAGCATATTTGTATGCTTTTCTTTGCATATACCCATATGTTCTTCATGTGAACCCTTGACGAGAACCCATGTCCGATGAATCTTTTCCCATGATCGCCAAGATTCAAACACGGAAGCTCCCATCTATTCTACACGCTGCCATGCAAGGTTCTGCTGCAACTCTGGACCAACAGACCTGTTGGTCATGCATCGTTGCAACAGAACCATGTCCAACGGTCGTCTGTGGGGTGAAGCATCCCGGAACCACTCCAGTTTGAACGGGAAGGGTTCATTCGCTACGTGTGTATGGGCCTGTTCGAAACCAGAAGGATCTTGTTGGTCCAACAAATATTGGTCCATCCTAGTTACGCAGCATCTCGATTTTGTGGACCGGGTAATCTGATGGTCTGATTTATCACATCTTCGGCTGGAAACTCCGAAATATCTGACTCGATCGGTTGGAAGCATCTGAAAATGGAGGAGATGTGATTCCTGGATTCCGGTTCCAGAACAGCAGCCAGGCCTGCGTGCGAACTCTGGGATGCGCAGTTTTTCATCGCAGATGGTATCTGTGTTCCCCCTTTCTCGTCCGTACTTTTTAGAATTGACTTTCTTCGATCCCATCAATTCTCAATTGCCGCCTTTCCACAAGAGCAATGTCAACATTGACATCAAATGACACCGAAAATAAGGGGCCTTCCTCCCTAGGGATCATCATCTCAGTCACAGCTCTCAGCACCCTCTTCACTGCAGCAAGACTCTATGTACGGAGCGTGATACTAAAGAAGGTCCATTCAGATGACTACCTCATCGTGGCGTCAGTAGTGAGTTGTCTCCAATCAAATACCCCAATATTGGCTGTCTGACTAGGTTCACCAACCGCATATAGATCTGTAGCTGGGTGAGCGTCGCGACCGCCGTGGTTGCTGTATCACACGGCATGGGCCTACACTTCGAGCTCTTGACCACCCAGCAAAAGTCCGGAGCCATCTTTTGGACAATCGCCGGCTTCCCAGCCGGCGTCATGTCGTTTGGCCTACCCAAGCTCGCCGTCGTCGCCCTCCTGACGCGAATTCTGAACCCGAGTCCATGGCACAAGACGTTCCTCTGGGCCCTATCCCTCTTCTGCCTTCTCAACCTGACGGCCAACATGATTCTCCTCTTCACACATTGCCAGCCAACGCAATCGCAATGGGACTTTTCCGTATCTGGTCACTGCCTGGATAAATGGATATTGGTCTCGTTTGCTATTTACACGGGAGGTACGAGGCTAAGCTTCCCTTGATAACGAGGCCAACTTAACGCAACGACCTACTGACATGTGAGATAGCCTTTGGCGCCTTTGTTGACTTGTACCTCGCTGTCTATCCAGCATTGGTGCTTGCGAGACTACAGATGAGCATCAAGAAAAAGGCAGCTTTGAGTGTTGCGCTGGGTATTGGGTCTATGTAAGGAGACAGTCGGTAGCCATCACGACAAGAATGTGCTGACATTGAGTAGCTCGTCCGTAGTCGCGGTTTACAAATGCACCCGCGTCCCAAGTCTTGCGAGCAGCGACTTCACATGTATGTCATGAACTCCCTTCGACTGCCACCTAGGATCTCTCGGCTGACGATTACCTCTAGATGATACAGCGGATTTGGTAATTTGGACAATGTGAGTAAGAGACGAGTCGTCCAAAGTACACGCAACGCTAATCTATCCCAAATCACACAGAGTCGAAGGCGGCACAATGATCATAGCCGCCTGCATACCCATACTCCAACCGCTTGGCGAGCGCATCTTTGGCAAGCGCATATTCGGATCCGGTCCCAGCGGAGGAAGACATACCTACGAGAACTATGAAATGGGCCCTAGTGGAAGGGCAAAGTCCGAGACGGAGGCGCAACCTCGCACATGGGGGACCAGCACGAGAGTAGAGAGACGAACTGATGAAGACAGTCTGGACGAGACGGAATCAAAGATCGCAGGGGCGAGAAGTTGTAGCAGTCAGGAGATGATACTGAGCCAGGATGACTTTGATAGGAAGATTATACGGACGGATACTTTCAGCGTGAGCACGGAGAGAAAGGGAGTTTAAGTGAGAGAGGGAAGGCCAGTACGTTGTATCAAGTATGGTGGAGGAACCGATGGCCTCGCAATGATTTCTTCTTTGTTGAGGAAGACTCTGTTCTTGACCACCAAAGAGGATCTATACCCAAGAACTGAGGGCCTCTGTATAAAACAGGAGTCTGACGAAGAAGCTAAGGTTATCCAAGACAATCCAATAATTGGCATCTCCTTGCGATGGGTTGAATGCTTGCGTTTTGTATCTTGATATCGTTCACCCCCTTGAACATTCAACTGCCTACCAATCACTCACATTCACATCTCAACCCACAAAGACGACCTTCACCTTTCATCCCGAACGCCCGTTCACCTCCCTCCCCGTATTCGTCACGCCAGCCTCACGAATACGGAACAAGCACGAACGGGCGCCGTTAAACAGAACCCACAGTTCCCAGCTTAAGAGATAAATCGAGCAGATGCCGATTTCAGCACCATCAGCAAGGCGGCAGTCATGACTAGAAGGACTTTTGGGACTGGGTCCTCCGCAATGCCCCCTGGCTGGTCAACGAGCTTGCCGGGTAGACGATTCCTGACCTAAGGCCTCGATATATACTCAGTGCAACAGCCCGTGTTTAGGAATGCAGGAGCAGACGGTTGGCGGTTAGGATCTCTTGCCTTCTACGGATGATACTTGGAAACCAAAACCAATCCAAAGGTCGTTGTCGATGCAGGTCTACAAAACAGACCTCCCAGCCTCGCAACATCACCACACCACAACATCGCAATCCTACAACATCACGAAACCTCAAAACACCTCTTCAACACCTTCCACATGCACACCCACCACAAACTTCTCCCTCTCCGTTCCCGTTACCTCTCAATCCAACCCACAGACGTCATCAACCCAACCATCCGTGCGCCTCAAAGTCCCTACCAAACCCTTCTCCTCCCTCTCACACTCACCCAACCACAATCAGAATATAAAAAACCCCCGACGCTGACTTGCCCATAGCTTCCTCAAACTCTCCTCACATCCGTACCCTACCCTCGCCCAAAGCCCTCCCACATCTCTGGGTCGCCTTCAAGAGGAAGGGAATAATGGCAGCGGCGACGACTCGGGCCGTCACCACAGACATTGCCAGAAAACATCCAAGTCAAAGCTACATCAAAACCACACATACCAACCCGACAAACCAAAATAATTACAACCACAGACTCACTGGGATTTCCCATCCGAAGAAAGGGCATATGCAGAACAGCGGAACCACAGCATCAAAACGGGGCACCCAGACGACACACTCCATCCACGGTACCGCCAACCCGAGCGACATGAGCAAGTCGTCGGCATCAAACTAGGTTTTCGAAAAAGCTTATCGTAGCCTTGTCCCTTCTTCTCTGTCCGTGGGTTCGTTTGCCCTTGGGGACATGACATCACTTGCTTCGCTGCTGCCTCGCCTCTCGCCCATCCATCGACTTTCACATTTAGTACTCTACTGTATCGATCGCTCGATGTGCCTTCTTTTCTTGTCATTGACGGAACCCGTAGCGAAAGGTATTGAGCAAAGCAGGGATTCATCATTCACTCTTGAAAATACAAGTATAAGAATGCATTCACAGTATTATGCGTGTACTTCAACACGCTTGGTTACGGAGTGCGGTAGACTGGCATCGGGTGAGCCATCGGCCGTAAAAGTAAGCACGTCAATGAGATCTCATAATAGATCTCCGGACGGTGCATTGCAGTAGATCCGCTTCTACGTTCTGCTCAGTTCTGCAGCAAGGCAAGGACAAGGAAGCGGCCTGCACTCTACACTCCTGCACCTCCGTGACACTCTACAGAAAAATGCCATGATCGAGAGCAAAGCTCGAGCCCGAGAATCTAGCGTCGTCGAGGCGAGCAATGAATGGGATACTGGCGACAACACCCGTCCCACGGATTAGTCACCCACCCTCACCTCCAAGGCTCGTCCAACCGCAGAAACGTGACCGGTCGTTCTCAACCCAGCCCAACGGCACGATCCGGCATGGGTGAGCTTTAGGATGTAGCGGACTGGTGGTGGGATCGATGAGAGAGAGAGGGTGTGATGCCACACCAATGGCCAGCGAACAGCCAACATGGATGCAGCAGCAGCCACAGGCCGCCTGCTGGGCTCAAGCCGCCGTCCCGACCAAGTAAGTCCACCACCCAGCCAACGCCAAACCACAACTTACCCAACCAGAAAAAGCACGAGACTCAGCACACCCCGAAATAAAATACCCACCGTCCCGTCCACTGCGTCTACGTGCTTCCAGCCCGCTCCGTCCGTTCAGCGTGCGTGAGCGTGAGTGCGTGGGTTGCGTGTGTGCTGCCTATACGTGGTGTGCAAAGCAAGATCACGCGCCTCGAACTTGGAAGCTCGCATGGCCCGGCTCTGACCACCGCTGCAGGACGCGGCGCAGAAGGGGGCAAGGGCAGGGCAAGGGCAGGGCAAAAGGATTAGTGTAGTGAGTCGTTCGGCAGTCACTAGCTATCGAACCCAGGAGCTACCGTTGGCTGCAGCCAGGGTTGACTGATGGTCTCCCTCTCTCTGGGGAAGAGACGAAAGACACGCTTGGCCTAGCAGAAGTGTTTGCCTGCGATTGCCTAGACAAAAAAATGTCCGTAAAGAGCAGAGTCGTGACGAGCGTCAGCTCTCACAGAGCGAACCAGACGAGAGAGTACTGGCGTCAAAAGACGGTAGGCAGGCAGACATGTATGTCTAAGTCGCGCCATGCCCTTTCTCACCGCTTGCAAAGGCCGCTATTACCAGCAGCAGGTCACAACAGGGGAGTTGCATGTGCCGTCTACCGCTATCCGGCCGAATCGCGAATCCAAGGGAAGCAGAGATGCGGTACGGCCTTGTCGGTACGGACGGACGCCACGCGCATAGCCGTTTTGCGTCTGGCGCAATGTGTTCAAAAACGAAGCGTGGCTGACAGTCTACCGGCTAGTGGGCTGCTTTTGCTTTGCCTTTCCTTTTTCGACTGGAGGCAAACAAAAATGAGGCATGATTGATGCGCAAGTTCACGGTGGCTGCAACAAACTCTCGGAGCCAGGTCGTCAGATCACCGACTGGTCAACGGCGGCCCGTCCGGATACGCTGGGTGGGAGTCACAACTCCCAGATCCGTCCAGTCCGGGGTAGACAATGCGATATTGAGCTCAGTGCGTGTTTGCCTGGAGGCAGCAGACAATCGCCCTCTTGAACGCGCACGTCTCGTCTCGACGGGGATGTGTAGTAAGCGCTTGAGTGATATGGGCAGGCGGGCGGATTAACATGACGGTGATGACGACTGGGTGTTCGCGTGTCTGGGCGGGGTGTGTGTGTGTGAGTGAGATGCGAGGTCAGGATCGCCGGCCGTGGGATTGGAGACGGAGCGGAACGGCTGAGCTGCCTGCGGCACAGAGGCATGATAACAATCCCGTTGGTGAACGGGTGCGTGATATTGTCCGGATGCTAGCCAAGTCGTCCGCAAGAAAGGCTTGCCGTCTCAATGCATGTGGTAGAGGGGAGGTAAGATACTCACCTAGTTCCAAACATTAACCCATCGCATCCTGCAGACACATCTTCCGAGACAGACAGCCAGGAATAGGTCAGGGACTGCGCGACTCTTCTCCGTCCATCACTACTGCTTTCTTCCGCTCAAAGGTAAGGCACTACTACTGCAAGCACTCTAGCAAGCGCGTCTTCCCTGGGTCTGGTGGCCAATACCGCCGAGACGAGGCTTGAGACCGAGTCTGCGAGGTACTCAGTCATCGGCGGCGGGGACTGTATTCGGCTGATGAACCTCCTTCCGACGGCCGGCATGACATATACTAGGTAGGGCGACAGGCCGGGAGGGCCTTTGTCAAAAAGGTTCCTTGTCACCATAGGCTGGTTGTGGGTGTGTGAACCGTATTAGCAGATCCAGCTCCAGAAACGAGCGTCGGAAGTTGGGGGTCACTCAGCCAGGCCGTCGACGTACCGTAGATGACGGCGGGCGTTGAACAAGACCAAAACGTGCATATTCTAGCACGTTGTCGATTCACTCTGGAAGCCTTGGCTGACCCTCCGTGACTCCCTTGCCTGCACTTCGTAGTCGTTGCGCCTCCCTGCCACTCCTGCCCCTCCTCCTCTCAGTAATAGTGTATCTGTATGCGTGTGTTTGTGTGTGTGTGTGTGTGTGTGTGTGTGGGGTGGAACTCGGGGGATGGACGACGAGCCGATTCGGGGGGTTTCCTTTGATGGTGGATAGGTAGGGTCATCGGTCACGGGCTGGGCTATGAGCGTGGCGACTAAGACTACGTCAAGAGGGTTGCACCAACACATCGATGAGCGTGAAGGATGGGTGGTGAATGGTGATGCGTCTCCGCCGAACGCCTGCTGGTCCCGATTGAGAGTGGTCGTGCGGAGCAGAGGCGGGCGGCTGGGGGCCGATAGCTCCTCCCGGGACCCGTCCATGACATGCTTTCGACTCTCGAGACCATTTGTTTGGATCCTCCGTCCCAGGCGCCGTCGCGGCGTTCGTCCATCGTGGGATCGCTTGCAGATTGGCCACAGCCAGTTGTGAACTGGGCTCAGTGCAGTGGGCTGCAACACTGGCGGCTTCACAGACACGCAGAATCGCGGCATTTTCTTCTCGAATATCCCCACTGGGACAGCGGTGCACGCCGTCCGCTCCACCGGTTTCCAGATACCCGGCCAGTCAACGGTCGCCAATCGTCGCCAATAAGGCATTTCTAAGCAGTAGGCGCTGTCTCTCAACGCCAAGAGCTGTGATGCTCTGTGGCAGGGGGGAGAGGTTGGTAGTCCAAGGGGGCGTCGAAGTTTGAAGACTTGGATGGCCCCCCCAAAGTCCCGTACGGAGTCGTTCCAGGTTGGTTTGCGGGGTTTGCGAAGAGAAAGGTTCCAAGTCGTTCGACTCTGTCAGGTTGAGCGGTTTCTTTGCTATGCGACTTTCCATCTAGGCAGCTGGGTCACGATGCTCGAACATGTATTGCCCTCGGCACTCCCGCAGTCTAAAGACCGTTTCT